ATTGTGTACATTCAAGGAAATTTGGTGGAAACTTTTATTTACCTGACGTAGCCAGTAGGTTGGATCGTGAGTATTATGCCAATGCATCTGCGTCGTTCAAATTCGATTCGGAAATTAGTAACTGACGACCGATGATAGAATATTTCAAATGCAATAATATTTCTTGTACGTTTTAACACGTATGATTGAGGATCTATCATAACTCGTACAGAATCCTGATAGTAATCCAATTTCGTGACCGAACATAGACTGACATCTATAAATAGTATTTTAATTCAAATATATCAAAAGCAATAAATTCTGACATTATGCTTACTTTATATGGCATTATACACTTAAAGCAACGCATATACAAATTTAGGGGCGGGGGGAAATTTCGTCATTGACACGGGCTGTTTTCTGCATAACAAGATCGTCTTAGACAGATACAAAAACTCAAAAAGGAGAAATTACCAAAATCTCAGGTCTTGCAGAAAATTATTAAAGAAAGAAAGATTAAAGATATTAAATAAGTTTTTTTATTTTTGCCCGAAGTGCTACATTTGCATCATTATTTATATGTAATATATATTATGATAACTGTTATGATCGTGTAGTTAAAATTACTAATATTGTCATTGCCATCTCTACGGTGATCCATGCACCCATCACTTTATTCATTGTGCTTTATTTACCACAAGGGTTTGCAGAGTAAAATCTCCTCGTGTTTTCCGTTTTGAGTGGGTGGTTAAGTTAAATATTAATATTTCCGGCAACCAGTTCAATTATAGTTATTATACGTTTCAATTATACAGATAGACGCACAGCATTTTTTTTTAAAGTAAATTGGTTTTGTTAAAGGAACTTCAGCTATATGTGAACATATGAAATAGGTCGTGTTGTTGCAAACTGCATGTGTATAGATGTGCAGATTCTCCCGTTTAGTGGTGGCTATAATCATCTCAAGTGCATTTAGTATGCTGACAAGTTGATAGAATAAACGTCTTAAAAGTGCAACACTTGTTATTTGGTATTAAATTACTGAGCAAATAAGTTTGTTGATATGAGATTATCAATGAGGTCAAAGAACGCTCATTGTTAGTATACTATATGCATGTTACTGATGTTAGCACATGTATAGGGACAGTGCAAATTATCTTCAGCTATAGATGTGCCTATACATGGTGTTCTTTCTAGTCCATTGAATCGTCGTTAAAGAAGGGTGAACACACGAAGGTGCAGGACCGAGTGTATATACTTCGTGCCCATGCGCCTATTCATGAACATTCTTGACTTTCTGCATTTCCAGCATATTTTCAGTGTTTAAATAAATATATCAACTATTGCTATTGCTATGCAATACTCCTCTCTCTCTAATATCTTTGTCCTTTGAGTAGCTTGAAGTGCGGGGGTTGAAGTGCGTAAAATACCTTATCATGCATTGAAACAAACAAGATGAATGGAAGGCAAGACGTGCCCAGTTAACTGTAATCACTTCATTGCAATTGGGATCAAAAGAACTCACATATTTCCCAATACGATAGGCAGGTATAAATATGTTATGATTTGTGTTTTGACATATGTAACTTCAATGATGTGTAATAGCCACAATCGTCACTAGAGCTTATCAACCATATTTCAAATTATTTAAATAATATATAAGCTTTTAGGCTTAATCTACATGAGACTATTAGTCCATATATTGATATCAGTGTAAGGCGTTTATCTATCAAAAATATAAACTCAAGTTGTATATCGTTAATAGGTTAAAAAACTTTTTATATCCGTACATGGACTCGTCCATATATGATATTAACTTATCTCATTTGACGCAGAGAAATTGTTCCTTATCAAGTCACAAATTTAGGACTTCCTACCGGACACGATTAGGACTTTCGCAGAGCTGATATAGCTGCACTGGTCACCAAACTGAGCGAAAATGATAAATGCGAATTTCCACAGTTTTCAAGGTTATTGTCGACTTATAATTTATAGCCTATGCAGAGCAACTATAGCCCAATATGAACACAATACTGTACAATGATTACTATGAATACGTGTATAATTTTTTATAAAGTTAGGCAATCTTGTATTATATGTGTGCTGCCAACAAACCCCGTTATCTGCAGGGGAGCCCGCAAACTGCGTGCTTGCAAGTTTTCAAAATAGGACGGATTTACGTAAAAGAATGAGATCAGGACAAAAACACAACGTCAATAACACATATTTTATAATTGGCAGCAGGGTGTCTGAAGGAGAAGGCGGTAAATACGAGGCGCCCTGTAATGTTTGTAATGCATCCATGACTCCCCGCAAATTTTCGAAAACCGCGCATTGTCAGAGGATATAGCAGAACAACCAAGTCAGAGAATTTAATTTGATTCCTAGTTTACGCAGCGCTAATGTGGAAAAATTTGATAGAACATGGTTTGGGTTCATTTAGTTACATTATACTATATTATACGGATTTATTTGTTTGTGTTTGCCGGGCTCAGCAGGCTATCGGAGAAAAGTTCAAAGAACTAAGTCGTGAAATAGTGCATGCATGCATGCTTCGCTTAACTAAACAGTCGAGTTCACTCCAGATTGAGTTTACCCCAGTTTTAAGTTGCCGATCGCGAAATAACCCGAACAACTGTATTGGGTTTAGCCATACACCATTGTTCTGCGTGTAAAAGGTGGATTAACAAGTACCCGGTGCCTTTCATATTCAAATTCTATAGGCTTTATTTGAAAATTCTATTGTAGCCAATTTTAGTTCTCTGATGAGTTAAACCATTTTGCGCTGTTGCAAGTGAAACAACTTCCACTTACTTCCAGGCAAATTTCTGACGGCTTTATTTTCTTTCGCACGATAAGAATACTTTTTAACTCCCAAAGGCTAAAGGGACAAGATTCATGTTTTCAATAACTAATGATTCAATTAAGAATCAAGAAACAATAATTTAAATAGAAAAGATGATCTTATAAGAATAAAATGGCTAAAATACTAATGAACAGCTCGTGTCGGGAAAATTCATTCGGAAAGTTTGACTGACCCCTCCCTCACCCGCGAGGGCCTGGGTACAGGCGGATAAACGCACATGCGTCACAACAGTTCGACAGGAACAACAATTTGAGCGTTTTCACGCATAACATTCAATCCCTCTAAAAGGGCTGTTAAGATTGAAACAAAACTGTTGACAAGCAGGTTTGAGGAATACGTGCGGCGTAACAATTCTAATTCCTGTTTTTTTTTCAAACGGGAACAACTTGAGCGTTTTTACACGTGTAGAAAAATTGCGATGAAAGAATTTTTGCAATGACCATGCATTGCGTGCATACATTTGCGTAAAAGCTTCGACTTATCGACTAGTCATATAATTTCGGCCACGATTACAGCTACCTCAAAAAAGCTATCTTCTGCACAGCGCACACCTTTTAGAGCGCACGATTTAAGGTTAGTTAATGTTGTCACTATGGTTCCTACCTTGACCTTAGCTTTGCCATTTCGGACATATCTTCGAACAACGTCATCCAGGCCTGGTGGTTGCGGATATATAGTTCAGACGAAGAACGTCATCCAGAACACATATAGTAAGAAGGCGCATCTCTAAAAATATACCATCACTTCAGATACGATCAAAATTTCACTGAAGATGCGTTCACTTCGCATGAGATTGACGCAAAAAGCTCAAATCAAGTCGAAATCTAGATGCAAAAATTTTTGTGTTTGTTCGATGTCTAAAAAATATTGACCAGGAAGATATTTCTTCAAGTAAATAAAACGTTTCCGTTGGATTTGTCTCGGGTAAGGTTAGGCGTTGGACGAGAAAAATGCATAAATAGTGTTGGTGACTGCTAAAAATCCAAGCTATCGGTGGATTGTTGTTTTGTGATAATGTTGTTCAAAACAATCTCCGTTGGCTAAAATTTATTTACATATCCGGATAGGATGCGATGTGCGAGGGTACTTAGACCGTCATTTTACCTTATACATACGCATGACGTATATGCATGGTATATTCACCGGTGAATATTCGTTACCCATGGTTCGTCAAGTCATATTTGAAATTACTTAAATGTATGGCCTTTATATGATACTTACAAAAACAAAAATTCCATTCGTATGGCAGTAATACTCTAGCTGTTTCTATTAAAAAACGTCAAACAAATTTAGCGAAATGCATCGTGCACAAATTGCATGCACATATTAGCATATGTCCTGGTTGATCATTCGCTGTAGCTACATATTTGGTTCTGATTTTTGTCCAATACGATCAAGGGAGAAAAGTACAGCATGTGGCAGTGTGTAAATACAAGCAGCTTAAGTCTTCTTCCATATTTGGCTGCCTAATAACTTAATTAACTTTCTTGTGATGGAGGACGTATCACGGGTGGAAAGAATCCCTTTGTTTCGAGAACAGAATGACAGTTTCCGTTCTATTGGGGTCACCCGCTGAAGAACGTTATGTGGCAAGTTGCATCCTAAAATACTGACGGCTGTAGTTTTAAACCGATTCTGAGTAAAAGGTAAATGGATCTATTATAAACAGTTCAACAATTTCAAAATATAATAGTTGGGAGATGTGTAAACAATTTAGGTAATATGCCGTTAATGCTCGCGCAGTTTTAATATAACATTACACCCCATGGCATCTGGAAGATTCTAATTCCTCATTTCCTAAGTAGATTTATCTATTACACAATACCGACGGTATTCTTGATTTGGTACGCCATATTAACGTTTACGAATGTCCTGTTTGTTTGTTTAATTTTTATCGATAAAAACCGTGGCCACACGTGGCTTTCGAGATCATAATCACCTGTTACTAAATTCTGGCCATCTATTTAATGTAATTAAATCTGGCAATCTCCCTGACACTGACGAGTACGCGCGCCTAGACACCGCCTGCGCATTAGCTCAAAACGCTTTGGCTTAGACCATGCACACAGCACAAGAGCGCGATTTACGAGTGATATAATTTGAAGGGAGGCTAATCTGTGATCCATCTGCTCACCTCGCATATATAAGGTATGTCGAAATAGTCGAATTACCTCAAATACGTCTAGATATGTATAATTTCGATTCACAATTCTTCAGAATATACCTGATACTCGAATTCTAGAACCACAAAGCGCTAAGATGTGGCGAATGCGCAAATCTACGCAACAGATATAAATACATTCAAGCATTTCACAAGCTGTCATGGAATGCCCTTGATTAATTGGTCGACATTCATCGAGGACAATAACAAACAATTCCATTTTAAGCTTTTTATCTCTTTATATAGTCTAGGTTGTAGTTGTGTATATTCCATAATACCCCGGGTGACATACTCCATACTAGGTTATGCCATACGCGCGATTGTTTCCACGCTTTGCAACGGCTCAGCGGAGGTCGCAGGGTGAAACAATACGATCTATAGAGTCCTAATTTTCATTCTATCATTCATTTCTACCACTCGAACAATCATCGGGAAAAATGCAGCCAAATTCCGTCAATTTTTGAACATGGAACTAATTCGCGGACGCCGCTTTAACGGTGTGTGAACACTGAGGATCTGGTTTAGTTATCGCTTAGTTGCGAAAGTCGCAAACAGGCACAAGCGAGAGCCAACCAAGGGCATAAGGCAAAGATATTTGAAGGCAGGCACAAAGGTCAGTGTTGTTCCACATTCTTCTACATAAACACCAATAACCTTATACTTTATTCATCTGTTGTCCCAGCTGTAAATATTTCATTGTACCGGGTATATTGTACTACGCTATTGGTGAAACAGGCATCACTGTAAGTGCGTTCACATAAAATAATACATGGAAATCGGGTAGTGACAAGGCGCATTGCAATGTGTATAACTCGCTGTAATATTATCGTGTAGTAGACGTACGTATATAACCCTATCACACTTTAAATGAGACAAAAGCACGTTGTAAGGTATATTTATACATCGTGGCAAAGTGAATGTATCCAACTTGTACAGTGTGTAGCGTGTGTTGTGTGATGCCACAAAGCTTAACTCGGCACATGGTAAGAGTATATAACTGTAAAAGCCTTTATAGAAATCAAATTTCACCGACGTTGGCAATCAACTTGCGTTACAAAAGGAGAATTCTTATAAGCTAAACTGAGCATTAAAAGGAGTTCAATAAGCTAAACTAGGTATGTAACAAGGTCTACGTTTTGTGAAAATACCTTGCTTTGGTATTCAAAACCACTTCACTGACTATCCAGCGATGTTTGTATTCAATAATCAATTCGCGTTATAAAAGTATTTTTTAATAACGTTGATATTGTTTTCAAGTTTCAATCTACATAAATAGTTTTCGAAAATATTTCTACCCATGGCCACGGATAAACAATTTTATATAGCGAGCCTATTGCGATGTGGTTTTCCGTTTCGAATTTAAAACTAGACCTCAGATACTAATTAATTTATCGCTCCCACTAAATACACTGAAATATCAAATTTCATGTAGCGAGCAAACAATTCAAAGTGACCAAATATGATTAATTCGTTCGAAACACATAGATATGGCAAAATTCATTACCATGCAAGCACCAGATAGATCTGCACGGATCGAAATACGTATATATACTTAACCTAATGGTCTAACAAGAGCAGTAACATACGATTAGATCTATGCAAGAGGGTATTTGATGAGATTTTGGGTATATAGTTTGTAATATCAATTGGCGTGCGTGGTAAAATCGTTGTGTCAGATGGCATATCTCATTTTGCGCTTCTTCAGGGCGTCTTGCTCGGGGTAATAACCAAATTTAGCTCTAAATTTCTTATTTGCCGCCATGCAACAGTCGCAAAATCGGGCAAAGAGCGAGGTATCATCTAGGTAAAAATACGTTATGATAATGATGGCTTCGTGGGAAGCTTGCAAATGTCTGCAGATGGTAAACAATAACATGCGCCACGCAGCGAACTATTAATAACATTTAATTTTAAATTTAAGCACTTGAGAATGATAACTTGTTTGTATAACTAGTCTGGTCAGTCCACTTGGGAAAGAACTGCTGCTTGTTATCTTCGCCTGCAAGCAGTTGGCACGCATGCATTTGGCATTCATTCCCATCCATACAAGATTAACTCTATCCATAAATCCCTGTATCATTTTGTCTATGAATGTAAACGCTGGATTTCGTGTGATTGGCATCGCTAAATCTTTGCGAAATTTCGTCGCGACCTGCGTGTTTACTTGCTAGTTGGTTCTTGCTCACCGTCGGAGGTAATGGAACACACTTATAATCATATTAATCTAAAATGTTTTAGTTAGTTTGGAACACACTTATAATCATATTAATCTAAAATATTTTAGTTAGTTTGAGGCGAAAGTTTTAGTTTGCGTAAAATGAAAATTAACAGCACAATGAATGCATTGAAATTTGAAATGCCATAGTGCAGCTAACGACCAGTGTGATTTATAATGTGAGATATATCTGATCTACTGATAACTTATCCTTCGCACTCTCTCTCAACACGCCACACCCACCATACCATTTCTCGAATAAAAATATTTGTGGAGTGGGCCCTGTCCACATGATCCAGGGGAGAAATATGCTCGATATGGTAAATTTCTTCAATTTCCACTTTAAATTGACGGTGTTTGAAGCCGTTTTAGCATGAAAACGAAAATAATTACTCGCGAAAACGCTACTGTGTCTACATAGTCCAAGATTAACCGTAAAAGTAATATCCTGATATCCATTTAGGTTCGCCTAACTGTTTGCTTCTAACAATGCAGGGCGCGTAAATTTAATAAAAATTGCTAATAAATTTCGCATGTTCCGGATTTTTTTGAACCCAGATTCTATAGCTCACATTCATTTAAGCCATGCATTGCCAAACAAAACGCTTACTTACTTACGACTGAATATCACGTATAAAATATCGATATTTCGGACTATCTACTTTATTTTAGTTTCCAACGAAGCCTATAGGCATATCCTTATTCTATAATAGCTACAATTTCGAATAATTTAATGTGATACAAATCATACAATTTCATAAAATTAAATAGAAACCCAAAACAGGCAGTTGATTCAACTCCAGCCATGCATAGTTTTTACGTATTATCTATATAGTTTTGTTTTGTATTGTTACAACCCTTTTTGCGTTTGATTAAAACAAATTTCGGCGGAAATGCATGGGAGAGTCATAGTGCTGAAATGTCATACGCCACAGCTGTGATGACCACAACCGACATAAAATAAGATAACTTCCTTGTAAAGAAGTTATATTGGGCAAAATAGAGATCGTAGACATGGTTGAGAAATGTTTTCATAATATCACGCAAGCAATCTGATTGGCTTAGCGCGAGCGTTTTATGACGTAATACACTACGTTCCATCTTTTGAGTGCCCCCCCTCTTTTGGTCTCGGAACATAATAATACAAAACAAGTTACATTGTTCTAGAAATGAATTTGGCGTAAACAGAATTTTTCACAAACAGAAACTCAAGAATGTACGCATTTAGTCACTAAAAGAAAGATTATAGAGTCAATTGAACAACTGGTTGCATATTATAGGAGATGATAAGAGCAGCTTAAAAAATACCTTCGTTTTAATGAAAAACGTGACAAAATAAGGCAAAGCTGCGAAAATCTAATCTGTTTAATCTGTCTGCTATCATATAGACTATTTTGAATCTTTTCGAAAATTAATTGTGACATTTTCTTTCAAGAATTCAAAATGTGTCGCCCACTTGCCGGTTTTTTTCCGAGCGTGGCTGTTGTTGCCAAGCAGGGAAAACATTGTGATAAAACACTCGCTAAATACGAAATTATGTAATTCTTTTATATGTCTATTATTGACTAGGATTAATAAACTCAATTAAAATGTTATTCGTAAAATATCTTTGAGCTAGTTGCTAGTTGCTTAATGCCCGAGGAGATGTAGCTACGTTATATTTTTGGAATAATAACTATTTACAGTATTTCTTGAGCTGTTTATGGTAAGTTTGGTTATGTTTCCACATTTGGTAATATGTTTAAAAGTAATCGGATAATCAATGTTTACTGTACTTTCATTCATCATTACTTTATAATTAGTGTATTATATGCAGGAAAACTGGAATGCGAGTTCAAAGATAGCATAGTCCCATGGAGCATTAAGCTACTATGGTATAGTCATACAAAGTGTTTTGCTTACTCTTTTGTGTTTTGCGATCACGAAGTTAACGCAGATTGTAGATCTCATGACGATGCATGCATTCCAGAGATAGATTGCTTGGACTATGCATGGTTTATTGGCAGTCAGAAGTTCATAGTTTATCATAGTTTATAAGTGCAGATAATCCCTAACGACATACCGACCACATAATGTCTTTCCATTATCAATTTATCGACACAAAAAGTGGGTCCAGCAATTAGTAAAAAGCCCCAAGGTCTTTCACGGTTCCTGCTTTATCATAATCGTGACGCTGAGAAAAGATATCGGACACCTTTTGTCTTTGTTGTATTGTATAATGGTAATCGCCAACAATGGTATAGACTATAGTAATAAGTTAATAACCAGTACTGACACACAGCAAAGTGAATACCTGCCAAGCACTGTGATTTAGAGTATAAATTAGTAATTAATTCAACTGCTCAGATCATGAAATTTAATATCACTGAATGATTTCATCATGGCCATGGCCTATAGTTCTTCTCGCAAGATGCTTCTATAAAAGGTTGTGTACGCTTTGTTTGTAACACTATATTTCTTATTATATCATTTACTGTTTTTTGACACCATTTTGCAATAGATCCGCTTTGCTATTGAAGAATTGAAGTTTTTATGCTTGCAAAATTGGAAAATGTGAAATTTTGCAGTCTCCCATTGTAATGAATATAACGAACGCACAGAAGCGGTCTAAAGTGGGACGGCTGTTATATATGAGTTTATGCCAGTCAGCTTAAAAGGTACTTAGGGTTTGGCTGCGTTACGGTTTTTTGCTCTATGTGTTTACTAAAAATGGTTGACATTTTCCACGTTTGACAACCCAGCCTGAATCGATCGGAATTTTTATGAAGCATAACTTGCATAAATGTTTTATGTTGCCTTAGATTACTGACACATAAAAAACGTTATGAATTCGATTGGGTTTTTTACGAAAGATTTATGCGCTAATACAATCCCGAAAGATCTAAACGTCTGATCTGATCTTCTGCGTGAAAATCGTCAGTTAAATAACGCAATCACCAATTTGTAAAATGTTCATCCCTTCAACAGCTGTTGCTGGTTTTATATTTAGATCTTTAAGCGTCTATGCATGTTGCACGTAACGTTTATCTGTAGTCTATCGCGGCGCTCACAGAATTCACATGGTATATGGCTACAACGCATATGGCATATATAGTTTTAGGGACGTTTCCTTTTTATGACCTTAGTCCCAATATGTGTAGCTACATAAAAAATGCATGACCGTTATATGGTCAAATTGCCAACTAAGGATCAAATAACTATGGCCTTCTCCGCGTTCTTTCATTGTTATAACAGTCTACTAAAAGATTAAGATTGATAACATCCGTTGACATTTTTGTAACTTTTTTTGATCAAGCTTATTGTTGGCATTTAGATAGATGAACATATTTTAGACATGGATTAACATTTTTAGATATTCACCTTGCAATTCTGCGATTAACAATGAATTAATGAACATGTTTTTTTATAAATGACGAAGAAATCACAGTGTTCCATCAAAGGTAATTTGCTTAGGAATCACGCCAAGCGTACTTTTGTGGTAAAAAGAAACTTCCAATGCAGAACTTTCCGATAGGCCTTCGGACAGAAAGCACTCGATACACGCTAGTAAGTCCAGTGAACACCGGAAAGGTGTTATACTCATGCATGGTATAATCATGCAAACGATTGGGTGAAGCCAAGATGGCTACATATATATAGTGTGCGGATGAACTCGCTAGAATCGATACATTGAAACCTGATGCTATCAAAAATCAATACAACTGGAATTATCCTTATTGACGTATTCAAGGATGGCAGCTAGGATACATTGTTCTAGTTATCTCAGCGTTCTCTCACTCCATACTGCAAACTGTATACCGTATAGGATATTATTCCTTGGTAGAATTAATCCAATTTTATTATTATCGTTATGCTTATCGTTTAATCTTCCTAGCATGCTATTCACAGCGAGAAATTTTTTTACCTTGCCAAATAAAACCAAGGTCTTCATACCTAATATATACTCCATTCGCATTCCGCAAATTGTTGGTTGACAAATGTTGTTTTTATTTCTACTCATGAAAACAGCGTGTGTCTGGGATTACCCAGGGATTGAAATAAAAATAACCACAGAGGGATTATGTATACAAATTATAGAAAAGTAAAAATTTGTTGTGATCATTTAGAGATCTTTGAAGGACCTTTTGTTAGGCCCATCTGAAGACGACAGTATATATATATTTCTTATTAATATTTCGAAATCATTCGTTATCGGTAAAGCCTTATACTCAAATCATCATTTACGTCAAAAAAGACGATGGGATTAAATTGAATTCCCACGAGTATAGTGCATTGATCGTACCCACAATAAGACTCCACGTTTACATTCATCGGTTTTCCTCCATATATACATGTCAGCGTGGCCTGAAATTTTTAATAATGAAGTTGCAAGGTAAAGCAGGCTTGAAAAGGCTTGAAATATAACATGTAAGTCAAGGATTTTCTACGCAATCTGGAATTTTAATCATTTGCCAAGGTGAAAGGTGCCTGATATACCTTGCCACCATGAACATACCCATAATGGGATAATCGCCTTCCCACACAGACAAGCAAAAGCGAAACGTGGCAAATGTCTCGCAGCACAAAAAAGGAGTATTATTGGCAATGCCAAAGGCATAGAGTAAGCTTATTGAGCACCCATCCTTATACGGAAGATATTGACTCTGCGTAATCAACAAATGTATAACGTAACGCATGTTGAAGAGGTACAGTTCACTGCGTTCATCCACATATGGTGCATGTAAAGCATGAGCGTCGACCTTTCTATGCTTTTTTTTTCAACTATTTTTAGCGCAGCTATATACGCATATATAGTTAAAGCTAACTATAGCTATCTTTTAATATAGAGTTGAATTTTACTGGTCCACCTGTTTAAAAAAAGATTGTGACAGAAATATACTTACTAATTCCAGAAACAGTCTCAGAGATATGTAATGAAATATGAAACCCGTGCATGTATATACCATATTTCCAAGTCCACTATAGATTATAGAATCGTGCAACGTTTCGTACAATGATATGCGTATATATCGAATAAATTACATGAATAAAAACATTACGTCTATATGGCGCCAAATACGAACATCAGCGACTGGTTCGGTGTCCGGTTGTAGCGTCTTCTAAAGCCGGTTTTCTACTAGCGATATTTTTCGCGCGAATCGACATTTTACTTTTGTTCCAGAGCTCTCAACTGCAACCATCTGGAACAAATTGCTCAAATACAAAGGAATAAAGTCGCTTCGCGCGAAAAATATCGCTAGTGGAAAACCGGCATTATTCGTTCTCGCCTGCGCGCATTTAAAAACCACAGAGAGTCGCTGGTATCATTTAAAGTACTTATACTTTAAGATGATTTCCAGTCGGTAATGTAAACAAACACACTGTTTACATTTTTGAATTTTATATATTTTTTTAAAATATGACAAAATTTCAAATTGGTTCACCATCGCTCTAAAGGAAAATATAAATTATAGTACTTATATCAGTACTTATACTTTATATATTTTAAAATGAGAGAATCTATTGAATCTATAAACATCAAACTATCGCCCAAGAGGGTAAGCCACTCAATAGTACGTGGCGTGCTCTTTTCAATGTCAATCACGACTAACGTGTAAACGTGACGTGTAAATGTGTATTTAGGTAATTCCACCACAGAGGAGAGATTGATATATATCCTCTCCATGGAGTGATTGATCCATATCTCCTCTGTGATTGCACTGATGAAGGCCCGGGTTAACAGACCGAAAGCTTTGCAGTATTAAATATACTTAAGTGGTGTACCTACAAGCTAAGTTACTTATTGACTGTCACCATGCAAACATACAAGAATATTATATAAGTATTAGGTTATAAAGTATTAAATTATAAAATATTAGGTTAGCTATACAGATATATTTGTGGGTCAGGCATATAGCTATTTGCCTTTACGAAATATCTGCTATCGCAGTCTGCTGCTATACCGACCGTCTATGGAGCGATCCCAAGGCGCCCACTGCATGGTTCACGTCATTAGGGCCGGCGTTGTTCCTTCTTTACGATTCTACTTACTTACAGGATTAAAAATTTGGCTGTGCAGTTTTCATTATTTTGAAATTCGCCGATGTACAAAATAAATAAAATAATAATAATAATAATATAATAATAATAAAGCATTTATTTTAACACGATAAGTTTACAGCGTAGCTGATGTGGTCGTAATTGTAGGTTCACTGAACGATATGTATATAAGCACAAATACACTGCACATATGTTCAGTATATTTTCTATGCTTTGAAACTGACAAACCTGGAGAAAGCCGGGTGATATATTCTCTCTATGCATTTGCAATAGCAAATTTTCTTTAGCAAATTTTCTATTACCTGAAGAGTTAGCATTCGCAAAAGAATTTCCCTGCATGATGACATGTAAAGAATTGCCCCGCGTTGACATGTATAATGAATGTCCCTGGGCAAACTATATTTGTCACATGAAATTTGTCATCTAAGATTTGCTCTTGGAGACGGGGCCTAAATATGGCTCTTCCCCAGCCGTCTATGGAACCTAATCAGCAGTATTTTTTTATTAGAAGAATACTTTGAGATAAGTAAAATCGGTTGTATTTATTAGAAGAATATTTTGACATCAGTATTTTGTCATCAGTGGTTTTGTGAAGGGTAAGATTTATTGCACTCAAATATACTGTATATAGTCAATAAATCTCACGTTTCATATGAATTATCAATAAATCTCACTCAAACACTGACGACAAAATATACTTACGTCATCTCAAAATATTCTTCTAATAAAAAAATGCTACTCGATAAAAAATACTGCTACTTAAATACCATATACAACTGGGGACGAGTCAGGGCCTAAATATGGCAAGGCAACATAGCTAAGAAAGGAAGTGGTGTTCTCCGCCAATTACTTGGTACCTTTAATTTTCACTACAACGGCTCTTTCTTTGTGTTTGCAGGGATAAAAATATAAGAAAGAAAATGAAGACGAGAATTGGATTACTGACAGCAGGTAATTTCCGAATGGAATTTGCTAAAAATAAAACGATAACTTGCTTAGCAGCAATATATTTAAGTATTTTGCATGCAAGTGACTGCATGGCGAAACCAGTCAGCCAACTTTTTATCACCATTGCGCAACGCTATAAAGTGCAGTGGGCCCAGACAACGTGCCATTTATAGATCTTTAGTGAATAGGGGAGATCCAATTATTCTAGTAATTCTTATATATATAGCTATATCTTTCAAGTCAATCAAGGACATAATGGTTCTAAAGCGTGTAGAGAGTTTCCGGCCTCGCCTCATGTCACCTTCATTCCACTTAGTCACACCAATAGGCATAGTGACGATCGACGTAAATTTGTTTGTGATCCAAAGTTAAAATTATAGGGGCTGTGGCGGAAGAGAATAAAAGCTACTGGAATATATTTTCTCGCCCATCCTTTCTCATGCATATGCCTTTTAACCGCAATATACTGCGCGGCTTATAACATTGCGTGTATAATTGTATAATCGTGTATTAGGCACCCTTCCAAAGTGTTGTTCTCCGGTGTATGAATAACTGCATGCTATGATTTTTTAAGAACTGTTTTAAAGGCAATGCTATCTGTAGTCATGAATTAATGAAATCAACAACATGCTAAAAATTTCAGTATGCGCTATTTTTTAATAGCATTTCTTATTTTATGCAATCTGGGGCCAGTTGTATAAAAAGCTAGTTAACTTTTACGTTTCAACTGTATTTAGTGACAGGATTGGACAATCAGAGTCGTGTATTTCTGAGGTAACTAGGATTATGCAAAATGTAGTGAAAGAATTTTATACAACCGGCTACAGTAGTGTAAAACAACGCATTCCTCATTTTACGCCTTCGAGCGTATGAAACTACCCAACGGCAACTATTTATCATTTTAAGTGTACATTTACACCTAAATGATAAGTGATTCTGAAGAGTTTCCCTTTGTAATATATTGTTTTGAATAATTAGGAAAATTGAAAGTACCCTAAAACTATTTGGGTACAATTGCTATGTTCATCATAAGAAAGGCTAATTGTCGCTGCGTATCAGATAATTCGTGTCAGTATGGTTTTGTACAGATATGCTGTATAGTTTGACAAATCATTATATCCCATTGACGCAAGCCTTATTTAAACCGCAATCGTTTCCGGTCAATTCATGTGTACTGGACAGTAGATCACGCATGCATTTGCTACGACTGATTTAAGCCAATGACGGCAATGTTGAATGGTCCCATGCAGTTAAATCCAACTTACTGTTGTCGAAAATTAAGTCGAAAGATGTGCTATTTAACAATTAGACAACGAGTCCAAGTTGTCTATGAAGGCGAAGCCTGAGTTGACTATTCGCTCAAATATAGACAACGAAGGTGAGTTGTCTAATTGTTTTAGTATACACCCTGTACCTAGATATATTGATTTCGAGAAAATAATCGATACACCGCAATTACACCGGGAAATAATTTAATTGATTCAATTTTATACGGTCGCGCGAATGAATTTTTCCCAAACGTTCACTATCACGAATAGACAATGGTTGAGTAGCCAATCAGAATGTAGGATTTGTAATAGACCATAGTCGGATGTATACTAAACGTTGATAGTTGTTCGGTGGAAAGGAAAACTATATGTCTATATATATATAAATTCTGAGCATTCAAAATAAAGGAACCATTTGCTTTATCATGCCGTGTGAAGGGATGCTAAATCTATGGATTACGAAATTTTGGGAACTCTTTTTCCGAAAAATATATGTGCTTCTTACCCGTCATGAAAAACAAAGACGTTTAGCCAGCTCAATTGTCAAGAATTTGACACATGCATAAATCGGATCTCATTTGAAATGTTCTGCTTAAAATCGCGTTAGTGAACTTAGTATAGGACGCGTTTTTAATTCTCAGAAGCGTTGTCTCCTTCATGAATATTAAAAATTGAAGAAGAATCATTGCAGAAACATCATTTGCTGCATATGCATGACCACCGCTACAGTTATCCTATTAAGACATATATACGTCGTTTTTTATTGATGGTTAGCTCGAGTGTGCTTATCTATGGCGCCAATGGGAAAAAGCACTTAAAACTTACCCTCCGGAAAAAGGTATCAAGTGCATGCATACCTCGTATTGACAGATAATATGCTTTTAAGTTATATTCCAAAAGAGTGGGGTGAAGAGGCTCATAACCAAATCTAATTAGGGATAGTTAACAATCTCAATTATATCCCATGCCTCATACTCCACTGTATACGTTTGAAAAACTTTACACCATAAAAACTGAATGGTCGAAATGAGGGCCAACAAAAAAAGTTGCAACCATCTGGATTGTTGGCGTTATTATACTATACTACAAATTTTTAAAAATTATTCCGCAGACACAATTTCTCCTCCCAGAGCGAACTGTGATAGTGTTTGATGGTTTATATAAGAACGAATTTATAACGGGACTTGAAATAATTCATGATGAACTTGAAGTGAATCGTTTTTTGAGCAACGTAAGCCTGGTTTCCATTTGTCGTCACTGCATGTTGTGAACAAGTCATGAAAATGGCCCATTTGAAGGCGTCTTAAGAATGCATGGCAAGTGGCAACGCTGTCATGGGGCCACAAGTTATGCATACCTATAAATGTCTCGCGTGTGGTGTTTCTTTGTTTTGTAAGCACGTCGAATAAGGATGCAATTAAATCTCAATTTCAAAAGAATATTTCCTCAAATCTGCGAGAGAATTATTTTACTCAGATGTGAGCTGTTATAATTTAGTTTGACTATTCCTAAATTCGCCACTGTCTTGGATCAAACTAAGGAAAGAAATTTTTACACCTTTCTGTAAACTCTTCAGATTGTTAAAACAACTAATTTGGACTATTTTTTTGTTGTTTTAACTGATAAAAATTAGTCCAATAAATGAATCTGAAGTAATCATTTGAAATTGTTACTGCCGTTTTAGAGCTTGTATTATTTTTTTCCTGGTATTGATAAGCGGGTTCACTCTGTGTTTGTTTTTTTTTAGTTTTTTTTTACTTTTCAGTTCAAAAAGCAAACATGCATTGCGATTAAAGTTTTATTAAACAATGAAATCATATGTTCATGTAGAACAACATAGGAAGAATATAAATTCTCATGCATATATTGGCTGTGACTACGGATGTGTGCACGATATATAGTTTGTTTTTGCCAACATACAATTTTTTCCTAAAAACTTGGAGGGTTTTTCGGGCGTGTATATATAGGCGTATATGCGTAAAAAACGCGACGGTGAAAATTAATCTTAAGCCTCTGCTTTCTTGTCCTGTCTCACTTTCAACGCGTCAAACCTCATTGCAGTTTGGAGCCAACGATAGAAATATGATTTTTTTGTAAAATTTTCCTATCCCTTTTATGGTCAAATGTCGATAATTTTTCGCACTAAATGTGAAGATGAATTTACGTTTTGTACGCTTGCTCGACTGCTTGAGCATATTTAAAAAATATGAATATGAAATGTTTAGCGCACTTTAGTGCCGGAAATCTGTTAAAGTGCGTTCGTTTAAACATGCATGTGTAGGCTAATCGTATGTCTGACTATACGTGTATAATAAACCTTCGATAACGCCCTAGCAGTGTGGGGAATGAGAAGATTAGGGGTTTAGCTGCGGTTAGATTGCACTATTCAACAATCACGTATAGCGGACTATTGGGGTCAAATGATATATATATGGCCAATACATTTGTCAATTACCATGATTATATCGATACGCTTATGCTAAAATCATCGCCGTAGGTGTTGTTATCAAAGTTGGGTGGGGTAAATGCTTGAGAGTCGTTTCGTAAACAGAAATGAATGCAGACCTAATATAAATATGATCACCATCCTTTTTTTGTTAATTAAAATGAATCACAACCCCATGAGTCTAAACGTAGGTGATACAGCATGATGACAAACATATAAAGCCTCCTTTGTCCATTTTAATGTCAGCATATTCTTTCCCCCCTAGGAAAAGGCACGACCTAATGCGTCATTGCGGAGGTGCAGCGAGTGCACTCCGAAATTACTGTAAGGTCCTGAGTCAGATCACAGTTAATAGAAATGTGACAGATGTAGGCACACGTTATACCTTGGGAGAGAGTTTTAAATTTAAACACGGGTCGCTGGCAAAAAGCCCGCTCATCCGGCTAAATTTTTTTATACAAATATTCGTGCAATGTGTAAGTTACGTAAACACTTGGAATTAGGCATTAAGGAAAAAAGGATATTGAAAAATACCACAGTGTATGCCATTAACCAGAAATGACGAGTTTTTTATTCAACATAATTCTGTTTATTTCAAGAGCAAACAATGATAGAAGATTAAAAGCTATCGCCAGGGCATACCGAAGGGGGTGATGCATGAGGGTGATTGGTAATGGTGGGGAGGAGCAGTTAAATCCCCTTATTTGATTACCCGTGGTGAGGGTGACTATCCTAAAAGCTAGTATGGGAAAGCTTTGAGCCTATTCGGACACAAATAAACTACTGTTTAAACGGTTCGGGTTTCGAAATACTCGGTACGGCCCTTTAGTCATTCGCGTTTATCCTATATAGCCCTGACACTTTATACCGTATCTATAATAAATATTTGTAAAGCCTAATTGTCAGCCGCCGATATATATATATATTCAAGCATATTTCGGCTGTTCAGATTATGATGTAGGAACTATTCCGTCGCCAATAATAATTTTAGCAATAACAGAAATAATTTCTGCGTTAACCGCACGTTCGAAAGGACTTATGATCTAGTATAAATGGTGTTTTTATTGTTTGGGTACTTCATGATAAGTAGCGTGGTCAAGTTAATTACGGTTGTATAATTAATTGGTGGGTATATTTCTTTCGCGGTTTCTTCCCCAATCCGTTTTATTCGGGCATGTAATCGGTTGGATAACAGAACTTGGTTACCTTCGTATACCTATATTTTCTATTTCATAACCTAAAGAGCGAACAGCAAAACATATGTTGAAACATACCAAATATATATATATCACATTAAAATCATTGCGACCACATACAAATGTTATATAATTTTTATTGTAACAAAAATTGTAGCTATACAATTAATTACAACTATATACGACAGAATTCTGATCAACTCATTTCCGAATGTTTAATGTTTCTAAATTCAGAAACTCGTCATTTCAAAGCAATTTTACAGTTATGTAGCGCGTTGCATTTTTTTTGGAAATCTGTTGGTTCGTCAATGCCAAGTGCGTGCTTATGCTATGTAAATTGCCCAAATACCTGGACTGAAATTCAAGCCAGAAATCCGAATTTTTGAAGATAGCTTATTCGTTCATCTTAGAACTATACTTATATGACCAGAGATCGTGTGTCAACGTCTGACCCTTGTGTCATAAACAATTAGATTCTATAATCGCCGCTCTCATGCAATTTAAATACGGCGAACTGCGCAGGACGCAAAAATTTAGGGGACACGATTTAAGACATCGAATAACTCCGTGTCGTTGTCAAAGTGATAAAGAAAAACGACTTGGAATGAAACAGTCCCATGCGGAACAGAATTAGAATAACGCTAGCCTAAGACCACTCGACTACCGGCTCATTGCAGAACTGTGGAAAGTTTAAGACCACAAATGTTGCCTCAAATGGAAAGTAGATAAAGATTAGTAACGCATTCTGGAAGATCTCAAAATATACTTCGAAATATTGCGATTGGGTTGCGGCAAATTTGGGTTGTCGGCTTGTCGCTTGTACAAAACATCACCAGTTCATGTGCGAACATTATCGTTACTTTCATAACGTCACGTCGTCGTATATTCCCATAACATGAAAAGATGATGTCTGAAAAAAAAAAGCATCTGTAATTTTTAAACCCCCCTAACAAGGAAGGCCTTAATGTGTTCATTTATATATAGCGACCACATGAACGTGTTATTGTGAAATCGTCCTTTGACTTTCTCTTCATTTCACACGTCAACGTCAAGAGTAAATAAACGCAATGTTTCGATGAAGTCATACAAACGCCCAAATTTCATGACAATCCTAATAAAGGGTTGCGATGCAATGCATATAGTGATGTAGTCGTGAGTTAGAAACAATTGCCAGATACGAACTGTCGGCAATTCGCTTTGTCGTCTAACCATACGAACCGCGAATTCTTCCTATAATATTCATACCTTTAATGGCATATGTTAGCTCATTGCATTTTTTTTATCGCTTTGCATTCCTGCTGCGACCGGAAAATGCTCTCAATTATTAAAATAAACGCCCCTATTCTAGACCGTGAGCTATGTACGTTGGCTAACAATCTGTGTTGATATAAAAAACCACACGCATCCGTCCGAATTGAATCATCCTGAAATCATATAGCACTGACACACACGTATATAAACACGGTAAAAATACACGACCAGAGAGTCAGACATAAAGCTTCGACATCTACTTCAACTGGCGATAGTTTTAAGCAAACATATTTAACTCTCGAAACGAGAGACGTTTTGACATTAATCTAATCAAGATGAATAAATGCTTCTCGTATTCTTTGCTATTGTTAGTATTGCTCTGCTGGTTGTCGGTGAGCACGTTTGCGAAAAACACGACGAGTAATCATACAGAACCGGAGGAGGAACATCACTCGTCCACAGAAGAACTTCTCGAAGGTTTTTATGAGAAATATTTCGATAAAGATGGCAATATGCCGGTGTCGCAGTTGTGTAATTTCACCACAAAGTTGGGTGAATGCAGCGCCAAGGCAGCTGATGACGGCCATGGTCACGGCCATGGCAATGAGAAAACTCAAGAGAAACTAGTCGATAATACGAAGGAGAATGGAGAGGAACACCACGAAGATGAAAAAGATCATGACGAGAAGGGGGGCAAAGAGGAAGGCCACGACGAGGAGGAAGGCCACGACGAGGAGGAGGGCCACGACGACGAGGAGGAGGGCCACGACGACGAGGAGGGCCACGAAGAAGGAAAGGTGAGAATGCTCATTTTATAACTGAAATCCATTCACTACTTGAATTTCTACCTGAAACCCTTCAACTGCTCGGATTTTCCTTGATCCGAACAAGCTTAAGTTTGAAGGTTGCCAAAATGCATCAATTCATCATGTTACTGCTGTGTTGTGATTGATTATTCAACTCACGAAACTTGTGTACATGTCATGTAAAAATGTTTACAAGTAAAAGATTAAGGTCCCGATTACCCTATACCGGATCTGCTCTGAACGACACTTCCTTTATGGTTATATATTGGTTATTTTTATGACATATATTTAGTTCATTTTTTCAATCTGTGGTATTGAAAATCCTCACAGCTTTTTAATCACCTGCAAACTACATCCGCGCCAATAGCAATCTGGTATAGTGTAATAATTGGAGCCTACCTTAATGGCATGCGCAACCCTAGATGTGTCTAGTAATGTTCTGTTTATCGACACAAACTTCAATCTTCCTAACAAAAATCCCTTGTCTTACACAGTATTTTTGAGACAGCTCATCGAAAGCAGTCTATTCTTTAGAATAAATACGGTGACTTGATGTGAAATACGATATCCCACTACCGCCACGTCATTTCCTCCTAGACGTTGTGGGTCATATTATGGATAATTAAGTCCTACTACGTTCCAACGGTGCTAGCGCTGAAGAACCTGTTTTTATGAATCATTGAAAAGGGGAAATATTTCGTACATTTGTAACTTTGCTCATATGTTTATTAGGGAATTCCCCACTCCCAGATCCCTGAATGGAAATTGATCGAACCTGCACTCAATGAAAAATTTGATACTCCAGGTCGGCCTCCCTATCCCTGAATTTTGCATTTGAATTTTATTGCCGAACTTCTATGTCGCCAAAATGAAAAGCGTTATGGGGAAACTGGAAAACCTTAGCAGGTTTCTTTTCATAACTAAGCACTTTAACCGGCTGAATGGATTGAGGGCATTTTCTCGTGAAATATGCAGTTTTTTGTTTTATATGCATCTTAAGTGCATTTGTCCATCCTTTTAGTGCGTGGGAGTCTACAATGTTTTGAAGGACAATAATTACAACGAAACAAGTAGCATAAGTAAAGATGTATTTAGCAAGCTCTGCCCAGCTTTGTACGCGTTATTTGTCGAAGAAATCAATAAGTATTCTCCTGAAGAAGCTGAGGAGGCCGAGCATCATAAGTTATCCCAGGGTGAAGGTGAGACTATGTTTTACATATTGTTCGAAATTAGTCAAAAGTTTATTTTTCAAAATGTTTATCGAGTTTAAAGAGTCTCCATTGTTCCGTACAAAAGCAAACTCGTTTACGTAATTTCTTAAAAAAAAAGTTACGAAAAAACCACACGTGCAAGAGGTTTAAGTTAATGAGATAACGTGCCTGATAACGTACATTAAATTAACAAACTGATTCATGTGATAATCAAGTAGATGTTTTTAAACCATGACAAGATTAGATTTATCAGATACGAATGACACGCAACGATCTTCGGTGGTGAGAGATTCTAAGAGTATCACTTCTCTTTAAAAAAATCCAACCTCGATACCCTTAAAAACACGAACAACACAACAATTTACTGAAAATCATTCACATATGAAGTTAAGTCACATATTTTAAATCTTAAATTACGAGAGGTTCGCATTCCTTTTGAATCACAACACCATTGTAGTCAATTGATTTGATTTTTTGATATCTTAAAGGATTCTAACGTAGGATTCTAGCACTACTCGAAAGTATTTTGAAATTTTATTACTTATTGTATTTTATAGTATGGGGTTATGCAACAGTTGCTATCACAATAATCAGTTTGAGCTCATTGCTTGTTATCGCGGTCATACCTCTGTTGGGCAAATCATTCTACAACAAAATTATGTCCTTCTTGGTTGCTCTTGCCATTGGGTGTTTGGCTGGCGACGCCCTTCTACATCTTATACCTCATGTAAGTGTGTGTAACGTGCCCTGAATACTAACGCTAGTAATAGACCTCTGTGTCGGCGCTGGCTGATGTAATGAGCGCTAATCGTGTCAATATTTTGCTCTATTCAGAGTCTTGTTCCTCACTCCGAACACGATCACGACGAAGAGGCTGCGAAAGAAGACGAACAGGCTCTATTTCGTGCTTTCATTATCTTTATTGGCATATATGTCTTCTTCATTGTTGAATGTTGTATGAAGTTAAAACTGGCAAGCAGAAAAAAGCCTGACGCACGTGTGAGTATTCACTTTTTCTAAACCAGTATATAGGTCATATGTATAGGTCTTTTATACATCCTCACCATATCTGACTGTGCTATTCTGTCCAGATACCAATGTATATAGACTTAACAATCGCTGTACTTGTGTATAGTATACTGGACACTCAAAGATGAGACAACTTCAGATTTCACAAATGTTTTTAAAAATTAACCTATTCTTACCTGCAGATACTCTACGGCGCTGGCAAACAGCAACTCCAACAAATAGCCGCCGGCAACGAATCAACGCAATTAGCAACGGCCGTTGAAGCCGTACCGGAAGACCCAGAAAGTGCGGAACCGACAAGACATTCTATAAACAAGTTCATTATGGAAGTAACCAGCGGAAACAGACGTAGTAGCAGACAGGTGCGCGATAGTTTATGGATGGCGTATATGGCCGCGATTGATGATAATGGCGAGCTACAGTCATTTCCCGAGGATGGTCCACAACAACCAGGTGTTCCGAAAGAACATTATAGAAGCAACCGTGAGAGGTAAGACTGCAAAATTCACTTACTAGTATTCCTGTCCATGCACGATTTATACGCCATTGTCTCTTCTTTTTAGTCGAGGTACTATGAACAGAATCCCTTTGTTAAAATTAAATTTTCTTTACCTACCCATGGCAGGTCTTAAAAGCCTGGCGCACAAGAGATAGCTATGTTCTTAGCAAATGTCAGGTTCCGTACTTATTTATAAAAGAGATAGCTCTAATGTACAGGTGGTTGAAAATGCACGTGGCACTTTTGCTGTACGCGGCATGAACGATAAAAGTCGTTCGTGCATGGCATCGCAGACACGAAAGCCATCTCCTTAATCATCGGACACGCGTGCTATACTGAATTTTAAGTATGTACACAGCTTTAGTGCGCTGCACCAGGTTACCACGTCCGGAAGACCTTTCCACAGCCTGTGCATGAATGTCGGGGAAATCATTTCGCTTTAAGTTGTATCATATAAGAGTTGAATTTAGCGCTATTGGATGGTAACGAGGAAAATAACTTTGAGGTGTATGTGCCGAAGAACTTGAGGACGCCATGTTTCTCATGCCATTAAATTAATTTGGTCAACAATGTACTTTTTCAGTTACGCCGGAAGAAAAATTGAGACACTCCGCGAAGAGGATTCGAGGGAAGATTTGCTTCCACAGATTGCCGAATCTCGCGAGAACAAACGTGGAAGTTCCGAAGGTTCTACCAACAGTAAAACCGACTCCGAGAGCCAAGAAAACCAAAGTAACCATAACAACAATCACAATAATCAAAACCACACTGAAAACCATACCGCTGGACATGGACACAGTCACTCGCATCCAAAGGAAATCGACAGTTCAACCAAGATTGCTTCGTTAGCGTGGATGGTGATCGTTGGCGACGGTTTTCATAATTTGGCTGACGGTTTGGCCGTAGGAGCTGCCTTTTCTGCTTCGTTCACAAGCGGACTGTCAACAGCTGTTGCTGTATTTTGCCATGAATTGCCACACGAGTTAGGTAAGGAACTGCTCGTGCATTACTAGTATTTGCAAAACTTCTTTCATGCATACTATTCATCAATGACTTTTGCCACGAAGTCAGCCCCAGAGACCGTATATTTGCATACGTTATCTAAAATGCAGTACGTCCTAGTCATTTTGCCTTGGTTGAGCTCACAGCAAATGTAATGTAAGGGTTGCTATTCCTTTTTTTAGGCGATTTTGCCGTTTTGGTTAAAGCCGGTATGACTGTCAAGCAAGCCATTACGTACAACATGGTCTCTGCTGTTATCGCATTCTTAGGCATGGTTATTGGAATACTTATTGGCAGTAATGAATCTTCTATAGTCTGGGTGCTTGCTCTCACCGCTGGAATGTTCCTTTATATATCTCTTGTGGACATGGTGGGTTGAATAAAATCATTTGTAAAATACCACGCAATATATATAATGCAGTAAAATACAACAATGGTATAAGACGAATTATGTACTTTATTTCAATAGCAGTTTAATGGCTGTCAATTGCATGCATATCAAGCAACGTCAACTATTTTGAAATGCACGCATGATATTAATTTATGTCTCGATATTTTATAGCAACCCTGTAGTTTTATAAGCGTAATCATGATAAACGTGGTGCACGAATTAGGGTGTCAAACTTGAACAGCTAGGTTATAACCATGTGGGTGCATGGCATGAATTTAGGAGAGTACTTTGAGTGTCTCAAAAGTTTTAATACTGTATTCAGCTATAGCAATATACCAACTGGTATTTCTTCAATAGTTTAAACAACTTCTTTGCTCATGCAATATGAAAGTGTGCGAAAAAAACGAAAACAAGGACTTAGAACAAAAGGATAAGAGCAGTTTTTCGTCACGTTATTTGATACTGATATTTTTCTTCACGTTTGATATTTATAGCTTCCGGAGCTGTGTACTCAGCTAGCCGAGGAGGACTTCAGAACTGGCCTATGGACATTCTTCTATCAAAATCTGGGTATTCTATGCGGAGTTCTCATCATGTATCTTATATCGTTAATGGAGTGAGGTGCCGTCATACAGCACAAGAAACTATGATGTGATCCCTGTCATAATATCATTTAATAGAGGAAAATCTTTTTGGATTAAAACGTCGAACTCTTAAATTTGCGAGATAGGAAAACTTTGGAAAAATAGAAACTATAGCAAATTATTCGATGCCAATTGCTTCGGGTTTTTACCCGAAATGTTTGAGTGTCTTCTGATGGTATTCTGCGAATACTAGAAAATATCTGGGAAACTCGGGAGTTTCCGGTCACGTACGATGGAATACGCGGACTGAGAATTTTGGAATGTTAATAATAATTAATGTACTTAAATATATTTTTCCTGATAAACACCATCAGTAATTATGGAGTAGCTATAGTTTTATACTTAAATGAATCGAACTATTATTGCACAAGTTGCGTCATGTACATAGTTTGGAGCAGTCGCTATAACGTCAAAATAGGACGTAAACTGGTTCCGTCTGCATTTTTTTCTAGTTGTTTGCGAATTGATTTGAAGTTTAATTTTTTCGCAGCGATTGCAATGTATGTATATGTAATATAGACACTCATTACTGTCCATTTTCATAGGAATATTTGGTGATGTTATATATATACAGTATATAATTAGTTGTGTGTCAGTGTCAGGACATGAAAATGTCGAGGACAAAAAGCCTGGGGCCGGTTGTACGAAGTTAATTATACCGGATGATTACGTCGCTCTAAAATTGCACGTAAGCTGGTAGGGCACAGTTGGTACATAAGTATTTTCAGCTTCAGTTTTATTGTATTGTGACTGCATGGGTAAATATCTGTGGTTTTAATCCCTTTTTAGACATTTTTTTCATTTTACAACGGTTCTGGAAACGTCATCCAACCTTCGTGCAAACGGTCACTGGTTTTCATTTGTAACTGTGTTGTACTGTTTTGAATAGGTCATGTTCAAAGCTTCTTAGCTACTAATAACGTTAAATCGAAGCAAAGAGAAGCGTATGATTCTGTGCGCATGATTCTGTTGTTTTGCGTACTTCTTTAAAAATTTCTGTATGTTTCCATTGAATTTTAGAGTATTAGATTACATCTGCTGGTCAATGTCAGAGAAATTGCGAGCCATAAGAGTTGTATTATGAAAAAGTTCAGGGCATTATATAATAGCGTATGGCATTTTTTAGCGCGGCACATCAGGGTTTGGAACTATATACTAATATACAGTTGTTGCCGAAAAGGTTGTCATGTTCATATTAAATACCTAAATATTATAATCGCATTGCCCGGGATTTTCCACAGGGTCGAACATACCATTGGACTGTCCTCATAGAGGGATAGCAATGACAAAAGGGAGAAACAAATAATTTTTGAAAAGAATGCTTAAACCACAGACCCACTTTGTGAACAGTGTATGCAGTAGCGGATTTAGCGTAACCGCGTAACCATACTTCGGTACCTAGATACTTCGGTCATACCATTCGACCATGGTCGAGTATACCATATTCCGGTATTTTCGACCATGGTCGAGTATACCATATTTCAGTTTATATATAACAGCTTCATAATAATAAATTTTTTTTAATTGGTTGTTTTTGATCACGTAGCATTAAATAAAATTTCCATTTCACGGTCTAGCCGTGCAAATAGTTTTTTTTTCCTTTGCACAGTGGCTTTCATCAAATTTCATATGATATCACTAAGTTAAGATAAAATAAGACATTCGACCGTGGTCAAGTATATCGTTTTTTGGTACATTCGACCATGGTCGATTATATCGTTTTTTGGTACATTCGACTATGGTCGATTATATCGTTTTTTGGTACATTCGACCATGGTCGATTATATCGTTTTTTGGTACATTCGACTATGGTCGATTATACCGCAGCGAGAATACCGAACTTCGCGGAACCTGCTGGTCTATTTTTTTAAATGGTTACTCTTTCGCCGAAGCAACAAAACAGAAAATTAAAGACAACAGTATTAAAAAACAGAAAAGTCAAAAAACGAGGCTAAAATAATTTGAGGTGCTTGGACAAAATTGTATATGAATCAGTTGTATAAAAGATTATATAGTTAATTAACTTTTAACTGTAGTTAAGGATAGAATTGACCAATCAGAGCCGTGTATTTCTGAGTTAATTAGGATTTAACTATTCAAAATGTAATTAAATAGTTTTAGAAAAACAGCCCCAGAAATTTAAGAGCAGACAAAATATTTGTAGTGAAAATGAACCAAAATTTTTAATAAGATTTATGAAGTGAATTTTGCTAAAGATGTGTTTATTATTATTTGTAAAAATCTAGAATTTCGCATACCAAACAAGTGGTTAAAACTGAGGACAGTCGGACTCTGTGGATATATCTTAATTGTGATAACGTTGTCTTTATTGTTCATTATGGCAGAGTATATAGTGACATAAAGAGTTTATATAATCTCCAAGACTAATTACATATACCTTTTTTGCAGGATTATCAAAATATCGTTGTTTCACTGTAGTTATATTACGCTTTCCGAAAGTCTCGCAACATCTCTTCCAGACATGCGAGGCGCATGTACGCGTGTACTATATTTAATTATCTGCGCATATGATGTGTGCACGTGGTCATACGTGCCCTATTCGACAAAATCAATAAAATTTCAATTGTTCTTTATTCACTTTATTTCTTAATTAAATCAACCTGTTTTAGCTTGTAGTAAATGCAGGCAGTGGAAAAGGACACTTTACGTTCATTAAACACACTTAAACGCTATTGCAAAACGATAAAAAGCCAAACTTCGTATTAAGAAAATCCGCGCAGTCGCAGTGAACGAGTAATAAATCCATGATCACCACATTGAGAAATATCATATATACTAAGACTTCCGTTGAAGGCGTTGTGTTTCATGCGTCCTTTGAGCGCCATGTTCTTACAACTTTAAACTTGGCGCTGTAGGTTTTGTCTTCTCGCACGTCTTGAAAAGCTGTGTTTGAATTTTTTAAAAAATGTGTTTCACAATGACCCTTCGAAAGGTTTAAGTAAAATAAAAACACCGTCAATTATAGCAAGAACAACAAGGTTTCGCAACTTAATGGTTCGAGCCTTGCATGGAGGAAATGTTTTCATCATGACAGAACCTCGTGACAGGATAAAGTTAATGAAAAAACGATAGCTGCTCAGTGGCTAAGTAGTTTTCGTAGTCTACTGGCGAAGTGGCGAAGACAATAGTCTCCCAAGTGGTAAGTCAATGGATCAAATCCTACTAGTATATAGCTGTTTTTAATTATGTCCTTCAAGAAAAGGATAAAGTCAATTAAATAACCATAGTTGTTCAGCACAACATATCGTAGTCTAGTGGCGAGCGAAGGCAATGGTCTCTCAAGTGGTAAGTCGATGGATCTAATCCCAGTGTAGCTGTTTCCTATCATGTCCTTCAAGAAAAGAATAAAGCAAATTACATAACCATAGCCGTTCCGTACAAGATATCGTAGTCTAATGGCAAAGACAATGGTCTTCCAAGTGGTAAGTCGATGGTTCGAATCCTTGTATCGCTGTTTTTCATTATCTCTTTCAAGAAAAGGATAAAGTAAGTTTCCTAATTATAGTCGTTTAGCACAAGTCTCGCAGTCTAGTGGCGAAGACAATAGTCTGCCATGTGGAAAGTGGAAGGATCGAATCCTTGTATAGCTGTTTTTCATTATATCCTTCAAGAAAAGGATAAAGTAAATTAAATAACCACAGCCATTCAGCACAAAATCTCGCAGTCTAGTGGCGAAGACAATGGTCTGCCATGTGGTAAGTAGATGGGTCGAATCCTTGTATAGCGGTTTTTCATTATATCCTTCAAGAAAAGGATAAAGTAAATTAAATAATCATAGCCGTTTAGCACAAGATCTAGCAGTGTTGTGGTCAAGATGTCAGTCTCATGTGATGACAGTCAAAGGTTCAAATCTCGTTTTGGATGAAAATTTTCGTTATTAATAAAACGTGGTAAGGTTATGGTGAATAAATTGGTGTAGGCTTCCAACAATCACCAGTTAGCCTTGTGGTAAAGTCGTGGACTATCAAGCACAAGATCGTGGTATCAAGAACAGTATGGTACGTTCCTCATGGCAGCAGGAAAAGAAGAAAAAAAGGAAAGAAAAGAAAAAAACAATGGTAGGCATGTTGGAGGTTTGTATTCGGTTAATCTTTGCAAATCAAAGTTAATCTTTAGGGAAATCAGGGAATAGATAGGGTGAATGAGGGGTATATGAGTACAAAAAGACTTAGTAATTGGGCGGCGGCCTCGGCTCCCGGGGCAAGGGGGAGGGTATAGGTGAGAAAACAGTATATAAAATGTTTAAGTCTTTTTGTACTCATTTAAACCTCTTTACCCCTATTTATCCACCTATTTACTCCTATCTATCCCTACTTTTTCCTATCCTCACATATCCCTAACTATCCTCTAACGCAATTAAATGTTTGAAGAAAGCTTGCTTTGACAGTCAGGAAAGCCGGGGGAAAGAGAACCCCCCTCAGTCTACTCCTCGCCCAAGGCGAGGGCATATTCGCCCTCTCGCTCTACTCCTCTCACACTCACAAATTCTCACTTTATATTATTACCTTGTTCTTTTTCGGTTTATCCAGGGCTTGAACCATCGACTGTATACTTGGCAGATCATCGTCGTCACCATTACACCACCAGTTCTTGTGGTGAAAGCCTACAGTTTTTATCTTACTCATTCCTTTTTGGAAGGATCTTTGATGAAATAGAAGAAAAAAAACATTCCCATCTGGGACTCGAACCTCCGCCTTTAAACTCGGAGAACACTGCCTTTACCAGTAGACCGCACGATCTTGCGATGAAAAGCTGTGCTTTTTTATATTACCGAATACCTTATAGGTAGGATCTCAAATGAAATAACAATTTAAAGGAGTTCTTTTTAATGTTCATGATTTATTTTCTCGTCTAAAACACACACACAATTGTATCTTATGCGTAGCTTGTAACCTCATAGTAGCCATTTGTGTTTCGCTAAAAATCACATACAAGGTATGAAGTGCCTTAAGGCACAAATGTTTCCATAAGTTAGTTGTTATATGCGGCCCAAGTGAAGCTAATAGTTACGGTGCGATTGTTTTGTATTTTTAATGAAGTAGATTCAAAGTGAAGTACAAGAATTAAGAAAAGCCGAATACTCATGTTACCGGCTGAGACTGGAAAGTTGATAGCTGTAAAAACCCGTCTGAATGTGAATTGGGATATGGAAAATTTATACGTGTGATGCATGGTTCGGGTAATGCGTGATCATTACGTTAATAATTGTGTTTATTTTCCGTCTTTGACCGTGCTGATATTTCTCAAACTCGTCTGATTTACTGATCCGGCCGTCTAAATGCGAATTTAAGACGAGTTTCTCTTCCAGACGAGTTTTCCGTCTTCAATAAGTTTCCCATCTTTAATGAGTTTCCCGTGTATATGATTTCGATTAATTAATTGAATAATTATGAGTCGTTGCCGTAATATTGTAGAGCTGCTGTTTGTTTGTTTGTTACCGTGGTTAACTGCGGAATTGCGTTTTAAAACTGAACTTCATTTTTCTTAGCGTATTTTATATTCGACAAACCTGCTAGACAAGCTAGTATTTCGACTCTTTATACAACAAAGTCTTGAGATAAATAGTTAATATCTGTTTAACTGGATATTTGCTTCAATTGAGATTTCAGATGTAATCTACGAGAGTACGAGGTGCTTGCTTGTTGCCTCATGATTATACGTGTTATACACATTGAAATACATTCTTAATTCTTGTACTTTTTTCTTTTAAACCTATTTTGAAATGCATTGTTAACTCCTGTACTTTACTTTTACCTCTCTTCATTAAAAATACAAAACAATCGCACCGTAACCATTAGCTTCACTTGCGCCGCATATAACTAACTTATGGAAAGATAGTGCTCTAATGCACAGGCATGCTTTAAGATTGTGTGCGTTTTAGACAAGAAAATCAATCATGAACATTAAAATGAACCTATTGAAATTGTTAGTTCATTTGAGATCCTACCAAAAATTAAGATATTAAAAGTAACATAAAAAAGTGTAGCCTTTCACCGCAGGTTGTGGTCTTCTGGTTAAAGCAGTGCTCTCCGAGTTTAGAGGCGGAAAATTCTTTGAAAAGGGTTAGGTCAAATAAAGAACAATAGGTTTTCGACAAATGACGCGGTGGTTTAGTGGTTAAGACCTTGGTATTTACAATCCTGGGACAAACGGTTCAAGTCCTGGTAATGCAAAGAAAGTTAACCATACGAATTTCGGTATGATTTTGAAAGCTTAAAAAAGTTAGGACTTTCAGTCTTCAAAAGTGCTTGTAAAGTTGAAAGAAATTGGAAATAAAAAAATTGAGAAACCTTTGAACAATTTTCGCTTCATAAAAGTACGTGAAATTGATAAAAAAACGCAAGTCAAAAAAAGTTTAAAAACATGTGTCTCCTAAAAAGGCTGAAAATTAAAACATGTCCGACTAACAACTTTAAAAAAAGTTTAAAAATTTCCCGCCTTTAATGCTAATGTTTACTTACCTTAATTTTTTTTTCACGAAAATTTGACAGGGTGATTTTCTCGAGACTGAAAAAATTTACTTTTTTTCACTTTTTTGAAATTCTCTTAGATTTTTTTTGACGAAGAAGTATTTTGTCTTGGGCTACCTGTGTTGGTCTTGGGCTACCTGTGTCAGGACCAACACAGGTAGCCCAAGACAAAATACTTCTTCGTCAAAAAAAAAATCTAAGAGAATTTCAAAAAAGTGAAAAAAAGTGAATTTTTTCAGTCTCGAGAAAATCACCCTGTCAAATTTTCGTGAAAAAAAAATTATTAAGGTAAGTAAACATTAGCATTAAAGGCGGGAAATTCTTAAACTTTTTTTAAAGTTGTTAGTCGGACATGTTTTAATTTTCAGCCTTTTTAGGAGACACATGTTTTTAAACTTTTTTTGACTTGCGTTTTTTTATCAATTTCACGTACTTTTATGAAGCGAAAATTGTTCAAAGGTTTCTCAATTTTTTTATTTCCAATTTCTTTCAACTTTACAAGCACTTTTGAAGACTGAAATTCCTAACTTTTTTAAGCTTTCAAAATCATACCGAAATTCGTATGGTTAACTTTCTTTGCATTACCAGGACTTGAACCGTTTGTCCCAGGATTGTAAAGACCAAGGTCTTAACCACTAAACCACCGCGTCATTTGTCGAAAACCTATTGTTCTTTATTTGACCTAACCCTTTTCAAAGAATTTTCCGCCTCTAAACTCGGAGAGCACTGCTTTAACCAGAAGACCACAACCTGCGGTGAAAGGCTACACTTTTTTATGTTACTTTTAATATCTTAATTTTTGGTAGGATCTCAAATGAACTAACAATTTCAATAGGTTCATTTTAATGTTCATGATTGATTTTCTTGTCTAAAACGCACACAATCTTAAAGCATGCCTGTGCATTAGAGCACTATCTTTCCATAAGTTAGTTATATGCGGCGCAAGTGAAGCTAATGGTTACGGTGCGATTGTTTTGTATTTTTAATGAAGAGAGGTAAAAGTAAAGTACAGGAGTTAACAATGCATTTCAAAATAGGTTTAAAAGAAAAAAGTACAAGAATTAAGAATGTATTTCAATGTGTATAACACGTATAATCATGAGGCAACAAGCAAGCACCTCGTACTCTCGTAGATTACATCTGAAATCTCAATTGAAGCAAATATCCAGTTAAACAGATATTAACTATTTATCTCAAGACTTTGTTGTATAAAGAGTCGAAATACTAGCTTGTCTAGCAGGTTTGTCGAATATAAAATACGCTAAGAAAAATGAAGTTCAGTTTTAAAACGCAATTCCGCAGTTAACCACGGTAACAAACAAACAAACAGCAGCTCTACAATATTACGGCAACGACTCATAATTATTCAATTAATTAATCGAAATCATATACACGGGAAACTCATTAAAGATGGGAAACTTATTGAAGACGGAAAACTCGTCTGGAAGAGAAACTCGTCTTAAATTCGCATTTAGACGGCCGGATCAGTAAATCAGACGAGTTTGAGAAATATCAGCACGGTCAAAGACGGAAAATAAACACAATTATTAACGTAATGATCACGCATTACCCGAACCATGCATCACACGTATAAATTTTCCATATCCCAATTCACATTCAGACGGGTTTTTACAGCTATCAACTTTCCAGTCTCAGCCGGTAACATGAGTATTCGGCTTTTCTTAATTCTTGTACTTCACTTTGAATCTACTTCATTAAAAATACAAAACAATCGCACCGTAACTATTAGCTTCACTTGGGCCGCATATAACAACTAACTTATGGAAACATTTGTGCCTTAAGGCACTTCATACCTTGTATGTGATATTTTAGCGAAACACAAATGGCTACTATGAGGTTACAAGCTACGCATAAGATACAATTGTGTGTGTGTTTTAGACGAGAAAATAAATCATGAACATTAAAAAGAACTCCTTTAAATTGTTATTTCATTTGAGATCCTACCTATAAGGTATTCGGTAATATAAAAAAGCACAGCTTTTCATCGCAAGATCGTGCGGTCTACTGGTAAAGGCAGTGTTCTCCGAGTTTAAAGGCGGAGGTTCGAGTCCCAGATGGGAATGTTTTTTTTCTTCTATTTCATCAAAGATCCTTCCAAAAAGGAATGAGTAAGATAAAAACTGTAGGCTTTCACCACAAGAACTGGTGGTGTAATGGTGACGACGATGATCTGCCAAGTATACAGTCGATGGTTCAAGCCCTGGATAAACCGAAAAAGAACAAGGTAATAATATAAAGTGAGAATTTGTGAGTGTGAGAGGAGTAGAGCGAGAGGGCGAATATGCCCTCGCCTTGGGCGAGGAGTAGACTGAGGGGGTTCTCTTTCCCCCGGCTTTCCTGACTGTCAAAGCAAGCTTTCTTCAAACATTTAATTGCGTTAGAGGATAGTTAGGGATATGTGAGGATAGGAAAAAGTAGGGATAGATAGGAGTAAATAGGTGGATAAATAGGGGTAAAGAGGTTTAAATGAGTACAAAAAGACTTAAACATTTTATATACTGTTTTCTCACCTATACCCTCCCCCTTGCCCCGGGAGCCGAGGCCGCCGCCCAATTACTAAGTCTTTTTGTACTCATATACCCCTCATTCACCCTATCTATTCCCTGATTTCCCTAAAGATTAACTTTGATTTGCAAAGATTAACCGAATACAAACCTCCAACATGCCTACCATTGTTTTTTTCTTTTCTTTCCTTTTTTTCTTCTTTTCCTGCTGCCATGAGGAACGTACCATACTGTTCTTGATACCACGATCTTGTGCTTGATAGTCCACGACTTTACCACAAGGCTAACTGGTGATTGTTGGAAGCCTACACCAATTTATTCACCATAACCTTACCACGTTTTATTAATAACGAAAATTTTCATCCAAAACGAGATTTGAACCTTTGACTGTCATCACATGAGACTGACATCTTGACCACAACACTGCTAGATCTTGTGCTAAACGGCTATGATTATTTAATTTACTTTATCCTTTTCTTGAAGGATATAATGAAAAACCGCTATACAAGGATTCGACCCATCTACTTACCACATGGCAGACCATTGTCTTCGCCACTAGACTGCGAGATTTTGTGCTGAATGGCTGTGGTTATTTAATTTACTTCATTCATTTCTTGAAGGATATAATGAAAAACAGCTATACAAGGATTCGAACCATCTATTTACCACATGACAGACCATTGTCTTCGCCACTAGACTACGAAATCTTGTGCTGATTGGCTGTGGTTATTTAATTTACTTTATCCTTTTCTTGAAGGATATAATGAAAAACAGCTATACTAGGATTCGATCCATCTGCTTATCACTTGGGAGACCATTGTCGTCGCCATTAGACTACGAGATCTTTTGCTGAGCAGCAATGGTTACTTCATTTATTTTGTCCTTTTCTTGAAGGACATAATAAAAAACAGCTATACTAGGATTTGATCCATCTACTTATCACTTGGGAGACCATTGTCGTCGCTACTAGACTACGAGATCTTTTGCTGAGTAGCAATGGTTACTTCATTTATTCTGTCCTTTTCTTGAAGGACATAATAAAAAACAGCTATACTAGGATTTGATCCATCTACTTATCACTTGGGAGACCATTGTCGTCGCCACTAGACTACGAGATCTTTTGCTGAGCAGCAATGGTTACTTCATTTATTTTGTCCTTTTCTTGAAGGACATAATAAAAAAACAGCTATACTAGGATTTGATCCATCTACTTATCACTTGGGACAACATTGTCGTCGCCACTAGACTACGAGATCTTTTGCTTTAATACCTAATTAAATATAGTACACGTACATGCAATCTCGCATGTAGTATAGCAGCGAGTTTACGAGTCACGACGCGGGCAGCGCGACGTACCCTTTCATGTCTATATAGGGGGGGGGGGGTTATCTACGATTGTGGTAACAGGTATAGTTAGTGGAAAATGTTGAAAAACTCGTCACCGTTTAAGGATTTCGAACTGTCTCAAAACGCCGAAAAAACAATAATACTCATAAAGATTTTGAGAGCAAGTCATTTAAGTTAAGTCATTTAAGAGAAATAGATTGGAGTACAATTTTAGCTGTGAAATTAGTGGCAAATGTTGAAACATTCTAATGAAACAATCAAATTAATTAATTAATTACCATTTTCATTAAATTTTAATTTGCATGCGACCCGATAGACCAGCTAGTGAATATCTTGTCAATAATAAATTGTCAATGTCTGTTTAGCTGGATATTTGCTTTATTTGCGATTTCAGATGTAATCTACGAAAGTACGAGGTGCATGCTTGTTGACGATTTAAATACAATGCTAAAGACTATACGCGTTATATACATTGAAATATATTATTAATACTTGACCTTTTTTCTTTTAAAACTGTTTTGAAATACATTGTTAATTCTTGTACTTCTTTTTAGATTAAAAATGCAAAACAATCGCACCGTATCCATTATAGCCTCAGTCAGGCCGTATATAACTAACTTTGGTTATGTGCAAAACTTCAACACAAGCATAAGAAAACAAGGCCCCTGTGACCCTGTCAAATGTCAATCGTGCATGCAAATCGTTTTAGCAAATGGGTTATCTTGAACCAATAATTTTCACTGATGAGAGTCGATCATTTGAATGTAAATTCGTCTTTATTTCCGAATATGTTTGAGGCTATTTTTCAGCAAATCCCAAGAATGTGTAGATTCGTTTTAATTTTAAACGATTTGTTTTGTAGATTTGTTTTACTTTTAATACGAAGGTAAGAGAATCTATAAGCGTTTCCTTTTTGCACTCGGTTCTTCAATGGAACTATACAGAGCATCTAAATCAAGATCGTCCCAATCATCTTTATCTATATTATCAAACCAGTCTTCTGACACATCGTTAATCATGCTGGCTTCGCTATTCTCAATATGGTCACTGTTGGTTTTTGAAGTTTCTCCACAATCCGCTCTCTCACTCCATAATTTGGCCTGTTCTTTCTTATTTTTACCGTTGTCGCCGCTGCCACATGCAGTTTCTCCATCGATTTCAGTATTATCCTTATTCTCAAGACAATCTTTCACGAAAGATTCGTCGTCTTCAAATTCATCAATCATCGTTTCAAATAGATCTTTCAAATCACGTTGTTTTGGATCCTACAGTTCCAGTACATATAAAGAGATTCAGGCAGGAAAAAGTCATTTTACGCTTCGTTAATGCTCACGTAAACCGACTCAAAAACCTCATGTAAATACCCCCAAAAAGCTTCAGGTGTTTAATCGTATACGTTCTAACAGGTGATTAATATGTTCTAACAGTCGATTTTAATGCAAGCAACCTCTTGTTAGAGAATGTAGGAGTAGTAGCAGAAGTTCTGCTCTGAACAAGGCTTACGAAGTGAAAAAACCTTGCCATTTGCAAATATCCATGTTAATGTATACATTAATTCTTTTGCACCTCATCGGTCATGCTTTGTTCATTCGGAAAATATTTGTTGAAAACGGTTCTTAGTCTAGTGTAGACATGAAAATGATTTTACCTGAAAGGTCTTTGTATCCAAGTCAGCAAAATTTTCCTTATTCAAACCTGCCTCGCTGAGTACATCCAGTTTCTTTTGTATAAGAGGCCTTTAACAAAAGCTATAGTGTGAGCCTTATTAAAAACAGTTAGTAATGAACACTGGACACCCAACAATAGCGTGTACTGAGACTAGCCCACGAGGCACTCTTGGTAAAAATGTACGTATGCGATCTCATATACAATATACGTGTTCACTTGTATTACAATCTGATTGCGATGTAGAAATGATTAACACACTTACCAAAGATAATCATCGGCCGTTTTCTTTGCGATCAAATAATGAATTACGACAGAATTCTTTTGGCCAATCCTATAGGCCCGATCTTCTGCTTGAACAAGAACCTTGGCGAAGAATTGGAGGAACATTACATGCGCATGAAATACGGTCAGACCGGTTCTGTTTTAGTTTACAGACAGATTACTGGTATATATTTTAGAGTGTTTCAAGAACTCTCCATTCAAGTATATCGTTATTTACATCAGCCTAGCACGGGAAATGCAGTTTCACCGCTATATCCCTAACAAAATACTCTATTTCAATTTAAAATATGACTCCGGTCTGACCATTTTGGCCGCGCTAAAATCCCGGATGAAATTGGCAAATTTCTATAAGATATTTCCTTATATGCTTTTCAGCATATACAAGGGGCGCTTTCCTTTATTTTCATTATCAATTTGAAAACACAGCACGTCATGTACACAAATCAATTACGTTAAGAGTAGTATATAACCTACCCCGGGGTTCCAAAAAAGCTCCGCAAATACCACACATGTTGCTGCGGTCAACGTAAGACCTAAACACAGTAACGAAAAATTCGAATGGTTTTCAAAAAGCCATTTTTTATCGTCGCACTTTTCACGTGCCGTATCGAATGCAAATGAATTTAAACAAAGAAACAAAGACTTAAGCCTATCAAAATTAGGTTCATACGGGCCGTAAGCAGATATAAATTACGGGCCGTAAGCAGATATAAATAAACCTATACGCATTCGTTTAAGCTGCACAAAATAATAATTAGAGTAATTTCTAATGGCTGAAATATGTTTTAACGAATGCGCTATCTGGGTCATTGTTTTGCGACAGGAACACGCATGCATGAGCGGATGGGTTACCTGTATTTGCGGCTGTCACAGACAAAACAGCGGCTCGTGTTGCCGTATGTCTTTGAAACTTATCACAGAGTTGTTGTCGTCGGACAGAGGGAGTTCTACCATCGATTCGAATGTACTCAGTTTTCTAGACCAAAACGAAGTAGGTAGTATGGCAGCAATATAGACCACTTAAAATCCGTGACCAACTACACTAAGAAGCCTAACAAATGTTGTAGAGAAGTGGAATGTGCAGTATAAAGTAACTGAAAAGAAATCATGCAGTGTCGTGTGGCCAAGCATGCACAAATGATGTAAAATAGTAAGACTTTGTCCCAATCGATGATGGCTAGACTCAGATTTTCACATAACAATACTTGCTTGCAGCGTAAGGCATAAAAAACTTGATTACCGCTTTCATAAGAGACTCGCTAATTGCGTCAAGCATTTCCCGATGGTGAGCGAAAACGATGAGTTTGTGACCTCCCTCCAAAAGATCCATAATGTACTCCCTTAAAAGAGAACGGGTATATACTGTAGGACATATACCCCAATTTTTTTAGATATATTCTTGGAATTTGATTGGCAACGCTGGATCAAATCAGGAACGAAAACCTGATTTGACGTTTGTAAGATGTTAAAAATGTGGTGTCCGTGGGATGTACGGAAAGGGTACATAATTTATTGTATTATTACATGACTTGTACCAAAAGTGTACTTATTTTATCCCAGGAATTCTTCGACTAACCTAACAGCCCGTGCTTTCGCGGAAGACGTTTCGCCAAAGTACTCTAAAAGAGCTGAACGTCTCTCTTTAACCTATCAGAAATAAGGTAAAGTGCTCATGGTTTCAGGTTTATGTTTTCAAGAATCCAGAACTAGAAACTTTAATAGTTCAAACCTTGGCTTTGGCCAGTTGTTTTTCAGCTCCCGTTAACATTTTGTCTTTTATGAGAGAAGGGTCAAGATAGACCTACATCCCAAAGAAAAGGACAATATTAAATTCATAACTAATAATAGACCTTTTCGGTAATAACGTTTCAACATTTTAACATCAGAACGTTTTAAATTTAGATCCACCTTAAATAAAATGAATTTCAAGTTTTACTCTCACGAGTCACGTGCAAAGATGCAAAACATCCCTCTTCAACACATGCATGAAAATATTTCTTATTTTGACCAATAGATGTGGAAATAAGCCATAACACAAGAACGAGGCTGAGGAACTAAGACCGCGGGCCTCGTTTCCGCGTTATGGCTTATTTCCATGCTTATTTGTCAAAATGAAAAATATTTTATGCACGGATTATAGAAGATGTTTTGCATCTTGGCACATAGCTTGTGAGAGTATTAAACTAAAGTCTTGAAATATTTAGATTTAGCCCACGTACAACTTCTCTGGTTTTTGATGGCAGTTGGTCCAAAACAACTTTCTTCAGCCGTCTGTAAGGAAAATTGAAACATAAATTGTGGTCTACAAATGCTAGACGCTGCAATAGCTTAAGAATCCTTTATCCAGCTTGAAACCCCACACGTTTGAATGATTCGCAACTGACCTGATCATGATACATTCTTCCAATATCAATTGTAATTCCTCCATGTTGGACGACCCGGAATAATCCCAACCAAATTTGTTCTTTAATAAAAGGATTTTGAAACTCATAGTAATACAACATATTAGAAAAACCAAGAAATTCTCATAGCATCGCCTCAGAGAAATGCAAGAGGTTTTAGAGTTGTTTCCCAACTGAAAGTCTAGACTTTGATTAAATATTGAAAATGATCAAAACCGAGACTTTCTGCTCTTGGGAAAATAATTCATAGGAAAACATGCTATAAAAACACGTACTAATACCGAACCTTTATAGCAGCACAATAGCGAATTCCATAATCATGGTAAGACGGGAATAGTTTAGGGTTAACAGCAGATATTTGTGTATACAATTCAGAAGGTCGCGACAAGGCGGGAGTCCCGGAGAGTAAAATGACATGAGATGATGCCTGAAAGGAAACAAGATGATGGCATTTTAACAATCAAAATCAGGACTGCTCTGTATACACGATGAACATGTCTTTGGCATGGCCAAGACTGGATTTTACAATTATACGGCTTTACAAGATATACAGCTTTATAGCATTTTAAAGCATTTTTACGACTGGTAGAAAAAATCACTATATCTATAGTGGATATCTTTTATTCACTTTTTCATCTTCATAACTACAGGCTAACTGATTATGAATAAGGCCATGAACCAAGTCCTTAAATTTGGTTCATATTGGATCTAACCAGTGCTTGCGTGAGCACCGTTCCTTCACCGTTTGTTGAAGACCATATACATAACGCATGCTTGTATACATTTTTACCTTAAGTAGTGGCATCAGAGCTTTCGTTCTCTCAGCCTTGCGGTTTTTTATTGAATGACATTCATCCTGCAATTGCAAGTAGCAATCTTTATTTTTGCGAGTAGCAACTGCATGCTGATTCATCCATATAAAAGTAACAGAACAACACGGGACACAAGTCAAAGGCGCTGATCGCCTTGCCCTTTTTGCTTTCACAGTCTCTAACAATTCGGTCTCTTTCTATCCCTAATTTTTCTATGCGAAACAAACGTAATGAGGACACTGAATGGAAAACTGTGGGACTGGGTCTCATACGTCTGCTATGAAAAATTGTATAACTAATGGCAGCCATATTCTATGTCGTCTCATATAATGAGATCTCACTTGCTGTTGTTGAGTCGTTTTGATTGGGCCGATTTAGTAAGTGTTGCGTTGTTTTGATTGGACCATCATATAAGGCTCATTTCCCTCTGATGGTAAATGCGTGAACAAATTTTTATGAGCACGTGTAGGTAAAGTATATTAAATGCATGACAAAAGTAAAAATGGTATACATTCCGGTATTCATATACTTACAGCAATAATGACTTTATATCTTTGATTTTGGATTTCTTTAATCTGTTTAACCAGGATGTCATAACTAACAACGTTAACCAGGCCAGCATTTGGCGGATCTTTGCCCGTTAGAACAACGTTTATCAGATCAGGTCTTACTGAAGGAAGCCATCGTAAAAAAGCCTTGAAATACAGTGAAGTTAAGAATGAATTCATCCTTGGTGAATTGAAGGCGCAAAAAGCACAATGGTATATAGAAACGTCGACAGTTAATCCAATAAATACATCAATGATTTAGTGGCCAGAGCCCAGAGACCACGTCCAGACTAGATTGTCTAATTTGAAGTTGGCTGTCCCAGATTCATCGTTTATAAATCAATTTTATTTGGTAAAAACAAACAAAATATGTTTACCAATTTTTAATTCGTACAGTTTTTACAGAGTGAAAGAAAGCTTATCTATGATTTATACTGACATGCATAGGCCAAAGCGACTCACCCGTCTCCACGTCATTCTAAGAGACGATGGAACTACAACTAGTAAAGGCCATTTAGTTTTGTAGTAAGCTGCCACAGCTATTGCTTGAACCGTCTTTCCCAGTCCCATATCATCAGCAAGTAGCACGCGGCCATTTTGTTTGATGCTGAAGCTAAGGAAAGACGTTTTCGTGTATTTTGTACGGTTGAGTCGTAAATTACTCAGATACCAATAATAATATATAAATTATTAATATATGCATGATGCAGTTCACAATCCTGAAATCTGAATTCTCATATGCAACAGTTGTACTCTTCAACTCAGAATGCCCAAGATGATGGAGACGATTTTGTGGGGCAACAATTTTGATCGATGATTAATTCAGGTATAACTAATGAGAAACTGGGGGATACACGGCTAGCCCTGTGTGCCGCGGATATACGTTAGTTTCATAGTACTTTAGTAGCATATAAACTCCGGCCGGCCTGGACTGTTCTTACAGCTGGTATTTTTGTTTTCAAGGGATCATAACTTCCATTCAAGATAAACTATTGAAAGATTACACTTACATGACACCTTCTCTCTGAAAAGGCATTAGCGAACCCACAAGTTTTGGGTCAATGCGATCCCAAGCGATTTCAGTTTTTGAATCATCCACAGAACTTTCTTTCTTTTGAGGTAAAAATAATCGAGCGACCTCTTTCGGTAGTCCTGACAATGTTACCTCGTTCGCCAATGGCTTGCACAAGGACACTAAAACGTAAAATCATTTTCGCATGAAAATATGAATTCGGACTGCAATATATATATATATATACAGGGTGTCCCAAAAAAAAAGCAACCACTTAAATACTTAAATATGCAGAACATTAATACAGCTCTTAAGCGCAATAGATAAGCACCTCTGCATGGGAATTGAAAATAGCTCTTAATCCTTCATTTACAATGCTAAAAGTCATTTTAGCTGAACTATGGTGCAAACCCGAACAATATTAATATTCTTGCATATTTAAGTGGTTGCCTTTTTTTTGGGACACCCTGTATATATATATATATATATATATATATATATATATATATATATATATATATATATATATATATATATATATATATATTTATTTATTTTCAAGAGACGCCGGAACAGGGGTGGCAGCAGGGGCAACTGCCCCCTCTTGCCTTTTACCAGCTCAGGGGCAAAGAGGGCAAAATGCCCTTTCATTTTAAGATTAATTACATTCTATATACAAACGAGCATCAAGAATAACACAATCCTCTAGACACAGAAATTATCTTGGGAAGAGAAATCACGACGATACGAAGTTCAACTGACGATGTTTTGCAAACATTCTTTATTATGCGCCACTACAGGAGTGCCCTTTCACCAAAATCTGCCCCCTTTGCCCTCGCATCGTTCCGGCGTCCCTGTAATAATATTTTCACACATTTTAAAACCGGCTTCATTTTTCTGCTGAAAGTACACACTGACGCAGTTTTAATTCCCACTGGAAGAATTGTCATTGGGTAGAAAGCCATAATTATGGAGCAATACGTTTATAACCTCCAGGCCGATTCCGCCACTCCGAATCCAAAATATACACTTAAAATAATTTGAAACGAGTTAACGTTACTACAAGGTATATAGTGGATTGACCACCTGCACAAAAATAAAATCTACATGCATGGTTTAAGATGGTTAGGGTAATTTATAATTGAACCATCATAATGTTTACAGAAAACGCTTTGTAAATCAGCTATTTGACCATGCAATTGCCATACTGGTACCTAGGAGAATGCCTTGCAAAGCATTTACATTACACAGCATTTGTTACCTACTTAGTTTGTCATAATCTTCCAGAAGGTAGTTCCATGTTCGCGTCTGCGCATCTACAGAAATTATAACAATAATTAATTAGCTAGAGTTAGAACTATGCATGGTTATATTTGATTGTAAATGACCTAGACTGACCATGCCTAGACCCTAAAGGTTCAATGTTACACGAAACAACTTTCAACATCATAACAACACAACAAAGTTTTGAAAAAGGTATATAGCTAGTTTGTAACACACTTAAATTGTTTTGGAAACAACTTGAACGTTTATGAACTGTTTTTATTCTACACAACATTGTTGTTTAGATTTTTGCATATTGTTGCATTGCAAATTGATGTTGAAAGTTGTTTCGTGTAACATTATTTTAATGATGAAACTGATCTCTGCACACTTTTGACCAAGTTACACGCATGATCAAGTGGGTTCCACCAAGTGATAAAAATTGATTAAAATTTTTGGTAATTCTTTCTACAGATTAAAGAAAATTCACTTTTTTGTGAAATCAATAGTATACTACCAGTAAAGAACCTTGTTTATTAGATGCAAAAATTTCAACCCTTTCTTTATAACTTTTTAACCATATCTGCCTCTGGCAATTAACTCCCAAGCATTGTCAAGTAAGGGTAAGATTTTTCAGTTGCAATCATTCTGATGCATGTCTCCAATGTTCAATCATTTCATAATGTGTTTGTGCATGTAAGCTTTTATTATTACCTACCATAGCATTTACTTGGTAGTGATTTTAAAACTCCAACTAGCTTGCCATGATAACCAACTACAACCTTGAACCTTGTTTTGTTCAACAAAACACAAGTGCCTTGCACAACTTTTGCCTTCATTAAAGCATCATTCACACTCTTAGTTTTATTACTCCCATGAAAATTATTGAATGTACTTTGCCTTTTGACAGCAGTGCTGACAAGACCTTGGTTTGTAGCCTTGTGTGGAGAAGTAGTACTATTCTTTCCATGGTGGTATTTGAATCTTGAAAGATCAAGGCTTGTTGTGGCCACTCTCTGTACTGTTTGTCCATTGTTAAAAGTCTTATTGCGATCACTTGTGGAATGTTGTAAAATTTCCCCTGTCTTATTTTTAGATGAATGAGGTGCTGCATTCCTTTTTTGCCCCAATTTTGCCAAGGCTCTTGCTCGATTCGCCTCAATACGTTTTCGTTGTTCATCAGTCAATGAAGACATTGATTCCTTCACTCATAAGGTCTTTTATGAAGAATAAATGTCCTAAGAGAGGATTGATTAAGTTCAAACCTGCTACCAAACAAAAACATTAAGCTAAATCCCTCCAGGTACAGGCTATCAGATCAAAAGCACAATTCCAGAAGTGTGGTATGCTGATCTTATGAATATGATGGATAGTTTAAAATCACACCTTAACAGGTGGGGGGGGGGGGAGGCAACAGCTCACACAACTCATGGATCATTTCAGCTCTCCCAAAATAAAAGCTCAGCAAAATGGCAGTTGTCATTATTCAATATTCATCATATATGCTGTGATCTCTCATTTCAAACAAAATAAAACTACATTTTATCCATAAATCTGAAACTTTAACTATATAAACAAGCTATTGCAATACTTGATGTTAGACTATGTTAACCATATTATTTAAAACTCGATGTTGATTGCAAGAAAAGAATAGTCAAAAACAGGGTTTTTTTACCTTCAGGCACAGAGGCACTAGCTCCAGCGCTGCAGTTAGATTTCCCTTATCTCTAGAAGAAAAAATTTGGTGTGATCCAGTTAAATATGTAATTATATTGCCAAACACGAACAAATTCATCGAGTAATAAATCTTAAATCAGTATTGCAATGTTTTTTCCAATGTTTTGGTTTTGCAACGTTTTGTATAATATTTTTCTCACCTGAACCAAATGGATCGTATCCATTGATTGGATACCTCTAGAGGTTATTGACCAATTATCGTTTCGTATACACTGTTCCAATTTCAGGTTTCGCTTGATGTTATCTAAGTTAACACAACGATTATGGCGAATAAATGTCTTCTAAAAATCTAAAAAAAAAGTATTGCACTCATTTAAATTCTGTTTGGCTTTAAATTTCTTGTCTAAAACGCATTTACGACTTTTTTACTAAGACCAAGTTCGGGCAATCTTTATCCGACTAAATATCTGAAATATAACATAAAATATAACATTCGCGTAGGCATAAAATTACAGCCAATGAGGAATCATGTACCATTCAATGGAATATTATCAGAAGAAAGAAACCATGCAGGAACATTGAAAAATAGTAGTGTGTAGTGATTTTTTGTTCTCTTTGAACAAAAATGCCATCGTATACCTGCATTTCGTGTCGTGTAGCATTCGCTGATGGTGAAATACAACGGGCACATTACAAAAGCGACTGGCATCGCTATAATCTTAAACGCAAAGTTGCTGAAATGCCCCCAGTTACTGCCGAAGCCTTTCGCGAGAAAGTCCTGGCACAAAAAGCTGAAAGTAACGCACAACAAGAGGAAAAGAATTCTAAGCATTGTGAGGTATGCAACAAGTTTTTTTCCTCGGAAAATGCATTCTCCAACCATTTGCATTCGAAGAAACATAAAGAACAACAAACAAAACATGAAAATGATGCGAGCAGTCCAGCCGATGATGAGGTCGAAGTTCGGAACAAGAAAAATGCTGATTCAATAAATTCTGAAGAAGAAAATGAAGATTCCGATGGCGAGTACGAGGAAACCGATGATGATGAAAGCCTGGAGACGACACAGTGCCTATTTTGTCCACATTTCAGCACCACATTTGAAGATAATATGCGCCACATGATCAAATCACACAGCTTCTTCATACCTGACCTTCAGTATGTCACCAATGTGGAAGCTCTGGTAGGTTATCTTGGTGAGAAAGTTGGCCTTGGCAAAGTCTGCTTGTATTGCAACAGCAAGGGGAAAGAATTCCACTCCATCGAGGCAGTACAAAAGCATATGATGGACAAGGGACATTGCAAGATATTTTATGAAGGTGATGATATATTGGAATTCTCTGATTTTTACGATTTTACCAGCAGCTATCCAGATGCTGATCCTGACAATGATTTTGAGTCTTCAGAATCTGAAGTGAGCTTACAGGATGGTGCATTGTCTGTGTCAGAAAACACAGGAGAATTATGTCTTCCCTCTGGTACTAAAGTAGGACATAGATCATTGAGGAGGTACTATAAGCAGCAATTAAGGCCAGAACAGGTCAAGCAAAATCAGATTGTGGTCCGAGGATTGATGTCTGATTACAAGTTGCTTGGCTGGAGTGGAAATATTGGTGAAGCAAATCGACTAAAAATTCAACATTTAAATATGAAGAACAAAGTTCAAAGGCGAAAAGAATTGAAACTGAAGTTGAAAGGAAATAAACTTCAAACACATTTTAGAGAGCAAGTTAGATACTGAGTGGATTTGATGTTCATGATAAGACATTAACATCATATAACTAAATAATGGTTCCTAAGACGTATTGAATTCTAGACTATGATAAAATAAATATATCCATTATATGTGTATGCAAGTGTGTTTTAAAGCAAGAATATTTTTTAAAATACCTTTGAATCAGCCAATATGCTTACAATTTGTATCTTCGCTCGAAGGGTGACAATTGCATTTTATTGGGCACCATCATCATTCGAAACAATGCTTGCTGGGCTTTAGAACTTTGTATAGTGTGGCCAAATTATTTGTACTATTTGGGTTCCTTGCCTACCTTTCTGAGCCTAAGCTGCCAAACTGCAACACTCAACGAACTAGGAACTTTACTGTGTAAGACCAGGATAATTAACTAACCCTCAATTGGATTTTACAAGACTTGTAAGTTTTCAATCTTTGGTTTCAAAATAACATTAAGAGGTTGTATTATATGTTTTCGATGAAATCAAATGGGGAGAATATTCTTTGCTTCTCCACTTAAGATATAATGATTAATATACCCATGCAAAATGAAGTTTCAAATGAAGTTGAATGCATGCTATTTAAAATAAAATATAACTACAATTTTCATAATTAAGATTTAAGATTTATTTTAAGAGAAAGTTTTTTCTCTATGTAAATAACTTAAGATCAGCAGCAAATAATTTGTAACAACTTTCTCACAACATCTTATAGTCTTATTTACATTCCCTATTTATAGTTTTTCAATATATTATTTCTCATGTTTCATAGATAAATACTCCAGGCTATGTTCAATACTGTACACTATATAGCCTTGTTTTACACAAATGGCAATCTATGTATATTTTTACTAGCTCTTTCTTCTTGTTCCAATCTACTCTTAAACTGCTGTACTCGCTCTGGAAAAACAATCAATATCAATTAACCTTGATAACCTTGCAGGTGAAGAAGCATTTAGAAAAATATTGAAGACCAGGTGGAACTTCATGCAGCTCATTCAGGGCTCATCCAACTTACGATTTAACAGAAGACATTGTCTCTTTCTAGTACACTACGTTGAGTACGTTCCGAAGTAATTTGAGGCGTAAACATTCACAAAAAGACGCAGGGGCCGCGAAGCTTTTTAATGGTGGGGGGCTGGTTGGCTAGGGGGTCCAGGGGGTTGATCACGTAGTTTGCACGTTTATATCACTGATATTTTATATCACTTCTAGTTTTCACGATATTTCGTAAGATTATCTTTACCGCATATAATTCTATATTCTGAGAACTAGTTTAAATTAGTAATATCCTTCTTAGCGAAAAAAGTGGGGGGGCACCCTACCCCAGGTTCCGCAGCCCCCGAGGCGTTTGACTACAGTGAGGAATCGTGTGGAGTTCTCTGCATCAATGAGACAGCATTTCAGTGTGCGAGCCATTTGAGATCATATATATCATCGAGAACAAAAAAACGGGGAAAACATATGGTTCATAGGGGACGGTTTTTAGTTTACTTATCAAATTTGTATGGGTTTTACACTGCCCCCTCATTTCTCTCTAGCACTCATTTCTTAATATTTTGTCGTGATTACAACTCAATAGACATTACTACATTACCAACAGGATTGATAGCGATTTTTATCAAGACAAAAAGAAAAGTGAAATGTAGTAAAATGCAAAAATATAGCCTTGCAAAATTAGCAAATTTTGTATACTTTCAATTATCGCACGAAAATGGAAACAACGGTAGAAAATTCCGGTAGAAAATGGAAACAACTTACGCCCGAAAGGCAAGAAAACTAGCTTGCATATGTACTGAATATAAATATTAAGAGCATTGGGTATGATTGTGTACCTCTAAGATTTGTAAAGTTATCAATCTTCTGTTTCAAGATAATATCAAGACGTTGTACATATTCTAGATAAAAAAAACAACATATAGGATCATACACGATACATTCAGACACATTTAGGGAAGACTCAGAACAGCACTAAACTGACTATAGTAAAGCATAACTGCAGCCTTGTTTTCCCGCACAACATCACAGCATCATTGTCCCCAGCCCGAAACGTTGTATTCGTCGGTGTATTAGCTCTCTAGCCAATAATTTTACCCCCATTACTCTAAGTTAGAGACATATTTACGGCTGTACGTGGTCTACCGCATGTTTCTCTACTACGACTAGATCTTATGCTATGTTACGTACGTTCTAGATCAGAATCAACGTCATCGACTTTATCCAACAGATTTTCTTCTTGCTCCAACAGTGCTTTAGTTTCCTTTGAGAAAATTAAAACCAGTCAGTCGTTAGCATGTTTTAGCTCTTCATCTATGACTTTGTAAAGCCCGGTTTTTAATCTCCAATTTAAGATGAATCAAGTGTAACAGCGAAGTTGCAGCCACCAGTTTTAAAATCTAACGATTGTAAGCTTCGATTATAAACTAACTTTTCATGGTACTCTTTTAAAAAACCTGTACACGCGGTTATTCAATTAGTCGATAAGATTGAGTCAGCTATGAAACCTGTCTGAGAAGTACTCTAGTATAATTTAAGCAAAGCTTAATTGTCATTTTTACCTCTACACTTTTCTTATGACATTCAACCAACTGTTCTTCTGCATCTTGGAGCTGCGTAACCGCATTATGAAACGTATACAACTCATTTTGTTCGGCCTCTCCAGAGCCCTGGAAAGTTAATATAGAAATTTGAAATTAGTACATTAGCGAGATATTAGACAAAATATAACGATTTACTTTAATAAAAAACATGCAAGATTCCTAACTTCGTGCAAGTCATATCAATCAAATTGTGTCAGGAAAAGCATTTTGGGGCTACGACCGGTCTGCTCAGAGCATAAATTTAAAAAGGAGGCCATTTTAGACATTTTTTTTAAATACGGAGAAAGGAATTTAGGCCCACCGGCACAGTAATGAAAAACATCCTGGAATGAAATTTGGGATGCCTTTTTGCCTGACATTCTTACAAATTGTAAACAGACTGTGAAATAATTGCATAAGTATGAAAACTTGCTGTTGATGTCGCGTTTCATGCGGTCAATGTAACACACAGAAATACTAGATATTATTTATTAACAGTACAGAAGACATGTTTATCGATTATTTCTATATATGATGTAACCCTAAAGTCTAAAGTTAAATACTTACACTATGTGTACACAACAATGCAAGATCAGCATTATTCACAGCAGGATCGCCACTCGAGAGTGTAGGAGATACGACTTCCGGGATATCGTCAAAAGCTATATAATCCTCACCACCCTTCTTGTTGTTGTCTGGACCTAGTTCTTTCACTCTAAAAAGGATGGCGTTCAAAAACAGATGAAATGAGACAAGCTTCAAAGTTTTTATCATACAGGGGAGGTGCATTTACCTACGGTCCTATTGCTTAGGGGTTAATGTGCCTTGAATACAAATTAATAACTACAATAAGTACACTGTAGAGTACATTTATACAGCGGTACATACCTATCAGCATAACGTAATGTGTTCAGAGAATGCTCACAGCAATTCATTCCAGGTGAAACAGTCGCAATCTGAACATAAAAAGATATACTCTTCTATACTCATCAACGGAATTCCTTTCAAAGAATGCTTAAAGAAATTCATCGCAGGAGAAACAGTCGCGATACTGAATATAAAAATGTATACACTTATACATTTATATTTCTACACTTATAAATTTTCTTTCGGGTCTTAATTCTGCACAAAACGCCTCCCTAAAGATATTTTGATCGTCGAGTTGTCCGCAGTTTAAGTATGGGTTGTTTTCGCCTCGTGGTCAAAGGACTAACTATTTCAATAGCGTAAGGAAATGCAAGCAAATGACGTTCTCGTATTCACGGCTGAGGTCACCTATGACACGTACCATACAGGTTTTTGAGTTTTCCCCAATAAACGAATCCTTGAGAACCTGGAAACGAGAGGTGGAGAGCTTGAGTTTTATGTGGAAAGATCTCATGCAGCTACAATCCTGGAAGGGAGGATTGGAATACGCGCTAACATTACGGATAGGATTGAAGTCTTACCTGTGTGAGTTTGCTTGCTCGAAACGGAAGATGGGCACCGTTCCTTCCAAGCGCACGTATACACTCCTTTGAAGAAAACAATACAAAAACAACATGTATAGTTAAATTCTTCTTGGCAATCAACAATCATACATACGGGAAATTACATGTGCCCAAAGTACACACGAGATAAGGGATAAATCATTGCCCTACATAGCTGCTGGGTTCGAATTGGCAAGACATAATCGAAATATTAATGTCAATAACGAGGAAGCAGCATCTTCGAGCAGTAACTTCTCGTTAAATGTGGCATAATACTTGCATGAAATACCTATACAAAAAATTTCCTCGACGTTTCGACCTAAAGTGCTTCGTCAGGAGAGTCGGAATACAAAGTAAACTAACCACATTTTGGGTCTATTCAGACAGTTCAATGTACCATGTTTGATGTAAATGTATAAAGGTGAAATATTGTTTGCATGATTTGTTGCTGCATGATGTTTACCTTTAAAGCAAGTAAACTTTTATTTATTTCGGCCCCTTCTAATCTTGTTTGTCGATCAGAGTTCGACGTATCAGCTCCTCTTTCATTTCCTAAAAAATTAAATTGACCCTCTATGTTATACACGGGCATTTCTGGGGGGAGGCTCGGAAATCTGTCATAGATCATGACGACTCTCGTGTGAAAATTCCACGTATAGAGGATTATTGAGACCTATATTGGATGTTTAGGTATTGGAAAAATCAATTCTAAACAGAGCTATTAACGCAAAAGTGATTGGCACAAGAGTGGAGTTGCAGGAGTATAATCGTTACACAGTTATCCCTCATGGTTTAATAAGGCATGACAATTAATGCCATTACATGAAGATGAATGTAATACTAACCAGCGAGGTCAATCAAAGAAAATTTGCCATAGAGTTGACCACCAGCACCGCCCTTCATATGACCCCTACACAATACAAAATATAATTTAGAAACATTGGGTTAGAAACTGCTCCTGGCACAAACTAGGCTCCCGAAACGGGCAAATTTTGTTAAAGCCAGGGCGCTATAAAACACTCTGATTTTTTACAGCGCCCTGGTTAAAACATTCTATTACCTGCGACGTAATATGATTTGAAAAACAGCATGTGATCTAGACGAATTCTGATTCGCAGATGTTTGACCTGACGTCCTATACAAAGAATAAATCGATTGTTCAAATTCTCGTAACGGAGGTAGGCAAAGACATAATTGTGAAGTCGTGAAGACGATCAGTAACACCAAGCCAAATATTACATACAAAACATGTATGTATACAAAAACAAACAAATAGACGATAAAGATAAGACATGATTCTCATATAAACATGACAGAGTCCATGGTTATGCAGTTATAGGCCCACATAGTTTTGAATAGTTTTGATATGCATTCACTTTGTACAATTATAAATCAATTCCATGTACTTCCAGATATTGTACAATGATACTGTACATAGAAAAGTTCATGGACATTCATACTCAAGCAATCGTGCAAACTCGAATATTTATCAAGAAAAATAACTGAGATGTAAAAACACATTGAAGATAATTCAGGATGTAAAAACAGATTGAAGATAATTCAGAATGTAGAAAAACACATAAACTGTACCTTAAACGATTACCGATTTCAATCAGTTTCAAGACATCTTCAACTGCGTTAACGACACTTTCTTGTAGCTCACAAACCTTTGAGATTTTAAGACGAAAAAAATGAGAAGATATTCAGGGGCCAGTTGTACGAAATCTAGATCGCAGCTTTTAAAATTGCTAGTCGTTCGGAATAACCAAAAATAAACTTTGGTATCCTAGTTCATTAGTTGTTGACTCTGCATAACTGCAGTTTTGTTGTCTTTCATGCATTTTTACAACAGTTGAATCTCGATTCGATTTCGCATGTTTTTAAGACACCGTACATAATTTAGATTAGTGGTTACGTTTTCTTACTTGAACTTGCTGATTACCATCCTCCAAGACTCTCAATTTGCGTTTCTTATTCAGTAGATCAAACACCTACAGCAGACAATTTGGTTCCACAAACAGTAAATCCTCGATGTTCACAAAAGCTTTTAGTACTGTACAATATATCCTTGACATAGTTTCGATGTACATGTAACTAAGCTATCAGGTTTGTATCAAATTTTCTCACCTTAGCACCATATATTTCAAAATAACTACAAGATATTATAAGATCCTTGTTCTTGTGTTTAGGATTCTTTAAATACTTAAATACATCGTGAGCTAAAAGGGAGGATGAAAAAGAGATGCATTAGGCAAACCTGAGTACGTGGTTGCTGCTACTTATATAAAAAATTATTTTGGATTAGGGTAAATCAGTTATGACTTTTGGCACTTCACTCGATGCAGGTAAATTGTAGAGGTTTAAAGGGTTTTAATTTCGAGTGGAATTATACACACTTCAACTTCAACTTGAATTTGAAGTGTGTATAATTCCACTCGAAATTAAGACCCTTTAAACCTCCTGATTTTGGATTAGCTTGTTCATATATCATGCTAGTGTACTACTTTGACACAAGATTATGCCCAAGGCACATGATTTCAACGAATCCAAGAGGTTTATCGGGTAATACAAACCTGCTAATGCATAAATGCCCTTGCTACAATCTTGATTCTTGCCGACAATATTTCCACCCATAGTCTGCACAAAGGAGATTGTAAAATAAACTCATTTAGAATGTTTTTATAAATAACATGCAGAAAAATTCGTAGAAGGGCCAAGGCTATAGGCCCACGCACACTGGACGCGATTTGCCAACGTGTCGCGAATTATCAGGGTTTTTTAAAAGCAAATAAATTCAATATTTGAAGGAAATTTTGAGAACTATGCACCCTGGACATGTCAAAATGTGATATCCTTCAGTAATTGTCAAGAATATCACAACAGGATGAAACATTGTTGCTTCGAAAACCCGTGTGTATTGCCCTTATGGATGCATATAGGAGGTGAATGCTACAGTAAGTGCATGTGTATGGGAGAACAAACATTAACTATAGCGGAATATTTAGGCTGAAAGACTATATGCATGGGCACAGTATAGAGGAGGTGAAAATTGTCACATGTCACTGACATGAGTATACTTACAAAAGTCTTCCCACTGCCTGTTTGCCCATAAGCAAAGCATGTCGCCATTCCCTGGTTAAATATCGTCTCAATGAGCGGTCTTGCAGTGTACCTGAGGATGAAATAGAACATTCGAAATTTACCGCAGATGAAAAATGAAAAATTATTATTCTCTTGGTAGCAAATGCCGACAGAACAAACAATTTGAGTGTCCACATCGGGCATGAAAGAAATTTACCAGAGGCAAGTGTCGTGTATTCCGGGAAATATATTTGTGCGATGTTACCCTGCGTGCAGCCAATAACCGAGCAAGCCTGTTTTTTTGTTTCTGAACATCAATAAGTTGTCAAATATTTTCAGAGAAGAATTTTTCCCCGCCCAAATCTGCACTAAGTGAGTCGAACATTTATGCACGAGATTTATATAGTGTTCGTAGCGTTAGTAAGTTCAACAAACCTGTACACTAATTCATTAGTCGCCGTCTCATCAAACGAGTAGTCAAATCTGCAAGATACGTGCATGTGTTTTACTTAATCAGAAAAGTTATATTACATATGCAGAGGCCGCATGAAAAAAGAGAATTACTAAAATCATTATAATTTATTATGCAATAAATGCTTTTAACGGATTTTTAACAGCACGGGTGAAGGAATAATATTGTCAAGACGCAAATTCCAAAGGACATTTTGGAATCACGTATTTACCTAAATTTGTGATTGTCGAGATATTTTGTTAAGTCTACTTTGGTCTTTGGCTCGTGGACCTATAAACAATATATACACAGGAGTTTACAGGCTGCATATCGCGTGCGTAATGCCACCGACTTCATGTAGGCGTACGAGCCGAAAAACTTGGGGGACGAGGGACGTGTCCGCCTGTGTTCGGATGCAACTTTTATGTCCAGTCCCCTTTTCCAGTATTATAGTTCAAGAAAACTTCTATTCTACATTGTCCCAGACCACTTATATGGTGGTAGTGGACTTGGTTGACTACAGTACATTAATAAACATATTCATATTTTTTAAACATATTCATATTTTTTATAACTAGTATATCTATGGTTTGTTTCATTCAACTGAAGTGAACGTAAAAGCAATACATACCACTGTATTTTCTTTGTCGGGAATGGTGATTACATCAACTTCCTTTCTGTTTAATTCTAAATAATGCAAAGAGAATGAATAAGACAAACGAAGAAAAAAGCAAATTCTTGTTAACATTGCCGTTCTCAGCATTAACATCACTACTTTATGATTGAAACAAAATCTCATGCAAACTCTCATTTCCTACATGCAACCTCTCTCTTGAATTGTTTATTTAGGCATCTTTATTCCACTCTATTTAACTAGAGCGTAACAAGAAGTTACAGCATGGAACATCCATAGAAGTCAATTGCTCGAAAGAACATCTATTTTACATGCAAGAAAGACACAAAGATTTTTTTTCAGTAATTTCAGAAATGACATTGGTCTATAGTGAAAAGTATAGAACGCCTCACCTTTTTTGCTAAGGGGTCTTTTACGCACACATACACATATCTGATGATCTCTGACCTAAGAAATATGATATAGAACGGATCCTGGTATTGGTTTTTTTAACAAAACATTCACAAGCTTTACAAGATAATATCATTGTGTTTCAATTTTGGCTATAGGAATTTATGGGGTTTCTGTTTAGCAGTCTAGTTATACTTACAGGATCATTCATCGTTATCCGTTGCATGTCCAAGCCATTTTGGTACTCCCTACACACAGAGACATAAATTAATACTACAGTAAGTTGGTAAAAATTTCCTTGTTTCTATATATACAGCTTAGGATAAGTCTGTTTTTCCTGCATTCTGATTGTTTACGATTCATGAATTACTCTGTAACTATTGCTTTTTGCCTTTCCATCAAAGATATGGCCATTTGCATTAGAGAAGGCTAACCTAATCATTTTTATTAACTCCCAATACGGATTGCCAGGATCGATTTCTTGTTGAATCTTTTCACGAAGTATCCTCTGCTCTTGTTGCTGTGCCCTATAACCATAAACACATAAACTATAGGCTACATACAATTCCCACAGTTGCCATGAAGAGATCAGTGGTTTTTCTCTCCTCAAAATGGTTCTTTCCACCGTTTTTGGTGTTCGCCATCAAATGAAATATCTCTCCTTTAGGTATGGGTGGGTAAGTTTTCTGCAGAATGAAAGTGGGAGTATACGTAAGGTACGCCACCCAAATTTGCCTGAGCCGAAAAGATTTAAAGAGCTATACTTATCCTCTACGAGCATATATGTACACTGGCTAGCACAGGTAACTCAAATTGAGCGAGAAAAGCGAATGAGAGGAAATTAAAACGAAACATGCACACCTGTGTGGGTAAACCGTGCATACATATCACCTTTTGTTTTTATCTATATCCTGGCTAAATATACGATGATTCTCAAACGGCAGGTGAACGGCATGATTTTCAAAATTACTCTTAGATGTTGTACCTTCTTTCCTCTCGGTTCTTCTTTAATCTTTCAACTTCTTTGACACAATTTGATTTCCTCCGAGCTTTAAACAACCAAGTCATATATTAATGGCCACAGAAATGGATAATACATGTAATAAGAAACGGTAATGGTAACAGAGTAGTAGCCACCATCACCAAGCTCTTCCCTGCCCACCGTCCTAAACATCAGGGATGAGCTTGGGACTAGTAAGTGTTACGGGAATAAACACCTCTTGGTCGAATTGGGTACAACAGAAGGCTCCAAATTTTCCAAACAATTGTTCAAATTGAGGGCTGTTCTCCGCTTGATTTTCTTTGCAAATGCGAGAATTCGAAGGAAGTGGACTTTCTTGACAGATCACAATTGAAAAGAAAATCATGAAAATTTCAATCGAAAGGTTGGCTACCTTGTCACGAACGTTTGTGTAGTCTGCCGGCTTGCCTTACCCTTGCTAAGATCTAACTACAAAAAATAATTGTGCCAACAAAAATAGACCATACAGTAAATGAAACAGAGGCTATTCTACTTACACACGGAGGAGGATGTGTTTGGAGCTGCTGGTGCAGACTGGCTTTCAGGTCTTTGTATGTGGTTGTTCTCAGGTGCCGGTGAATTCTCATCTTTACCTTTGTTATTCGACTTATCCGGTGCAGCTTTAGTAACTAAAAGATCGAAGAATTACACTTTCATGTAGCAGAGATAATGAGATATGTTGAAGAGAATAAAACTTTACGCTTGCAAGTGGTTTTTATAGCTCACCTTTTTTTGAAGGTTTGGGCGATTCTGTGTCGTCAGCAGGCTAAAAAATATTGAAGAACCGTTTTTTATAACACAATTCAATTAAAGCCGTTTTTAGGGGCATGCATGCAGTTAATGTACAAAATGATTAAACTATTAAAGTAACTTAAGCCCCGTTTACACCACACTCGATTTATTGGCACGGCACGGCTAAAATGGGTACCCGTGCCCATTTCATCCGTGCTCGGCCTTTGTTTTGGTAGCCTGAACACTAATAAAATTGGGTACGGGTACCAATTTTAGCCCTGCCGTGCCGATAAACCGAGTGTAGTGTAAATGGGTTTTAAACTACACATGGATAACACAAATTTTGTGTATTCACCGTGACATTCATCGCCCCAGTAATTAATGATTTTTATAGTTATTTGTTACTAATAACTGATACCGTTGCTGGAGATGATATACGCTTGCCCACTGATGTCTTCGCTTTCCCCTGAACCAACCATGGGTTAAGAGAGAAAATTTCACGAATTTCAATCTGAAAACGAAAGAAGAATTGCTGTCATTGACATACATATGTAATTAGGGGGGAGTTCAGAATCGTGCTCCTGTAGCTACATTAACTAGCGATAGCACACTAGGTCTAGTGCGTTGTTGAACAAAATAAACAACAAATTCCGAATAAACAATTTGAGAGTCAAAATATGAATCAAGCAAGACACAGGTTGAAACTGTCAATTTTCGACTTTATTTCAATGTCATCTTCAGACATAATGATATTTTCTGTGGTCATAGTTTTTGTTGAACAAACCTCCTTTCCTTTTGTTTCACCATTTTCAAACCATTCAACTGTTGCACTTTTTGAATCCAAGTTAATTCCACTCAACATTGATGAATGAACCCGACCTAGGACATGGTACAGTACGTATTAGCTCGTCTTCACACGAGACTCTATGCCGTTAGCTTGTGTTCTGGCGTACATCTCTGTTATACATACGAGAGATATCGCGCGTTAAGACTCTAAAGCCTTGTTTAAAAAAAGGACCGAACATTGTTGATCCAACATCGTCCAGAATAAAAACCCCCCAAAAACGTGTTCATTAAGACATTTTAACATAGCTTGTTGCCTGACGTTGTGCCAATATTATCGCGTCCGTTTTAATTAAACGAGCTTTGAAGTTTGATCTAGGCAAGCTAAGAATGCATAGTTAAGTTCTAACGTTTGCAATGCTCGCAAATTGACAAAGAAGCAAATTATACGTTTCTAATTAAAAAGACGAAATGAAATGTGGCCTGTCAAAATGACTGGTTAAAATGTTCTCAAACATCCTGGCACGGTTCTGATAATGCCAGTGCAGTGTGTCATCCAACTCACACGTATCCTATTTATTTTACTATCTGTAGTCTGTATTCTGGCACCAATAAGTCAACCATATGACTTCCAAATGTTTACATACTAGGATATTATTGTTACACCTAATTAATTTGAAGAGTTTCTTTTTCAATCCACTCCACTCTCTATTCTGGCATAAAACGTAATTTTGAAATTGACTAAGATTTGAATTGTTTAGGCTGTGAGACAGTAGGATATCAAAATTATGTGCTGTTATTTGTCAAATGAAATACTTAAGATCTTATGTACTATCCACTGGGACTGCTTCCAACAATTCCTGGCAGTCCTAAACATTTTTTGGTCTAATACAATCTTTTTTGTATCTATCCATGTCACATTGCTGGACATTTTATTCACATTAAAAACAATTTGTGGGAATCTGTTATAAGACACACCTATAGTTGGTAAAAAATGCTCATTATTATATAATATATTATATATATTACATTATTATCTAGTGGATGATATCTAATACAAAATTGAAAGAGCCTAAAAAAAATATACATAGTTTATTTGCCTGGAGTAAACGTCCAGGGGCTGGTTGTTGTATAAAAGACCAGTTAACTTTTAACTGTAGTTAAGGACAGAATTGGCTAATCAGAGTTGTGTATTTCTTAGTAAACTAGGATTTAACTATGACAAGTGTAGTTAAAGAGTTTAATACAACCGGCCCCAGTAAAGATGACAACTATGTATGTATGTATGTATATATTATAATATATAATAATATATATATATTATATATATATATAATATATATTATAATATATATATATATATATTGCATATAAACAAAGGATGTCATTATAACATTATCTTGATGTCAAATTCAATGTGGAAAAGAAGCAGTTTGGGTGAATTGGCTAGCATCAGTATGAGGATATGTGTTGGATACATTAGTCTTAAGATGTACATGTCTCTTAGCTAATTATTAAATTTAGAAGGCTACACGTTGTGATTTTTCCAAAAACCTCTGAATTCTGAGTGTGCAAGGGATGATGGGTATTTTCTTAAATAAATTAAATGTATTGAAATGTGATGTTTTTTCCTGCTGTAGGTTTTTGCAAAATTAAATTTCCATGTGTCTGCCTGCTGGTCTCTTTTGTTAACCTATTGAACCAAGAATGTCCTCATAATTTTACCCAATTCAACTAACATGCAATTTGCCTTGTTAATGGCTAAATCTTGTTAGTAAAAATGTGAAGGCGCTGTGGGGCAGGGTTTACAGAAGCTTGCAGAAAAAAACAGATGTGACCATTTATGTTCGTTGTCATGGTACCATCACAATATTTATTGTCAAAGCAGTTGTCATTTCAAACTGCAAGGCACAGATGTAAATTTGCGTTGGTAACATATTTGTGAATGTTCATCTAAAAAGCTAGAATTTAACTAAATTGTGACTGAGGTGGACCAGTGGGTCTGTCACAATCAAAAATGTTATACTAGCAGTCTACACAGTACCTTACTCATTCTAATTTCACGGAATAGAAACCTATCCGAAAGTCATCTTTATTGTCTTCTGGGTAAGCGTGATTATAGGAAATTTGTCACACAGCAAGTGACTTTCTTAGCAAGTGACTTTCGAGTGCCATAAGTCACTTGCTGGTGTAAAAGTCACTTGCTGCTAATGTCATACAATTTGACTCATCAGCAGAGTGAAATACAGAACTGTGCACATCTTGGATCATTGCCAGTAGTTAATGGTCTAAAAATGAAAGAGGCCTCTTTTGGTAGTCACTTAAAGTGCTTCAGACAACCACAAAATTCAAATATAAAAGCCCATATCCGTTATAATTAGCTAAAGTACAATACAACAACACGCGCTTCAGCCCTTATACAACAGTTTACACAATTCATCATTTTGAAACTCTGAAAACTTGGGAAAATTCGAAGGCAACAATACAAAGGCATGACACATCCCTAACTATTGAGATAAACTGATACGAATCAGTAAATTTGCCTAAAAGCGGAGGCAGCCCGGCTCGTGTATGACACACGTACACAAACCTCTAGGCACACACAATGAAACTGAATTAAAAATTTTCGAAAGACAACACATTTAAAACTGAAATACTATCATTAGATTGAATATTACAGAAGCCACGTTTACTATTGAGACATATCTAATGAGAATGCTAAACAAACATGGCTAAGTTACAGCAGCGGTTTCAAAACCATCAGGATGACAATTTATAATTTTTTTGTATATAGAGATGCATGCATGACGGCTGAAATCAAATTCAAACACATCTCACCGTCGCTTCGCCGTATATCTATGGTCGTGCCAATGACCAGCTTGCTAAATTTGTCCATTCTCGTCGCGAAAATTTTCCCCAGCGCCAAAGTATCCTAACGTAGTTATTAGATAACAGATGACTATAAAATTTTTCGTATAAATATTTACAAGGCGCTAGGCTTGCCTGTTTCGTTGCCTTGATTACAACGTCCCCCGGGTTTCGAGCCCGCAAATACGCGAACCATCTGACACGAACCGGTTGCAGTACTTCGTGATATCTATGTTTTCATTCCCTCGTTCCGTCGTTCGTCATTTTACCAAGTTACCAGCGGCGAAAGGTGGATGCATGAAAATGATTCAACGTCAGTGAAATCAACGTTATCTTAAATACTGTAATAATCGACCTCGTCATTTAATTCGACCATTAGGCTTCAGACAGGCGTGGCCATAGAGAGTTTGTTGTGATAAAATCATTCTTATAATGCGCTTTAAGTCACTTGTTCAAGCCATTGTGATTTTTGGCATTGATTTACCCTCACCTATTCCCGGCATTACCACCCTATGCACATGAACCACGCTTGCTCTTGTCAGCTACCTCAGTAGCTCAGTCGCAAGAGCATTGCTGACCGGCATCGCAATTCGCAAAAGCGTAGGTTCGATTCCTGCCAGAGGACCTATGGTTGACTCATTTTTATTCAACTGTTCCTGGCTTGAATTTGAAGTGTGTATAATTCCACTCGAAATTGAGACCCTTTAAACCCTAGTTTTTAACCATGTTTTAACTTTCTAGTACTAATGCACCATGCACCTGCACTTCACAATTCACGAAAATGATAAGTGACAATTGCCCTATAAAAATTTAACGGAATGTTGGGCGTCATTGGAATTTGTTAACTAACGTAACGCTTTACGGGCTAACCGTTTCCTGCCAGAGAACATGCGTAGTCATTGCATTTTTTAACTGTATAACTACTGGGGCATTTACCCCAGTAGGCCCTGTGCCTGCCCCAGTAGTGAACCTTGATTTCCTGATAGAATGGGCCCTTTTGTCACTGTAAAGGGTTGGTAATTTATTAGTTGTAACATATGGGCCTTGAAATTTGTTCAAAGAAATAAATACGTATGTAATTACGGCATTTACGTGAGACATCTGTCAGGGGCGGCGGAACAGGGGGGGCTAGGGGGCGGCTTTAGTCCCCCCAAAAATTTCATGAAGAATGCCAGAATGGGAGATTAAATATACAAATTACGTTACCACGAAATCGTCAAATTAATGCTCGCCGGCGTATCAAATGCTAATAAGATATCCTATATTGTGGTACGGATCAAGTGAATGTAAATTGACTTTCTTTGATCTTTCGTAGTTGTCTTTTACAGCAGATTATTCGTGGTTGTATAATTATTGCTATTATTTTCGGACCGCCATTTTGTTTGGAAATTATTTTGGGAATTTGAGAGATGATTTTTTAAAAGCAGAAGATATCACAACACGCGCTGCATGTGCCGTTTCAGTTGGCGGTGTTTGGCCATGAAAAACTACGATGAAAGCTGCAAGTAAGACTCTGAAATGGCCATTTCCGAAGATCTAGAGCATTGAAATTCCAAAAAAATTCGCTCGGCGCCAACCATGGTGGCGCCTCGTGAAATTAACCCCCCAAAATATATTATGTTCCGCCGTCCCTGACATCTCTATGTAATAGACGATTCCCTTTATTGAGATTTAGTAGCGCTTTGCATCATGGTTATAGTGGTATCTTTGATTGTCAAGCCACATGTAATTTTTTTGTCTTCACCTGTGCAAGAGCGTTTGGGAAAGTTAGGGCAGGTGTATAAGGAATGACCAACAGCAAAATCGTGAGGAAAACATTCAATATTCTCATTCAAACTGTCTTGAATGTCAGTGATAACACCATAACCATAATGCAAAGCGCTACTAATTCTTAATAAGGGGAATCGTCTATTACATATTTGTCTTGCGCATGGGCCCCAATACACACTTTACCCCACTAGTCAAAATTCCTTAAAAAATGCCCTGTGCGTAGTATGAACTAATCATTGATATTCCATGCATTTTACTATTTACCAACATGGGCATATATCACTCAACTGATAACACTGTATATAAAAACTATATCAAAAAAAGACATTGTTTACGTATAGTTTTGGTACACAACCTAATTCGAGTTAACATCGGAACTGATAACAGCGGCATGCAATAACCCAGTCAGAGAAATTTTATCACATTAATTATTCATATTATTATTTGCCATGCTCTCACATGCCTTCAAGATCACATAACTGACATAAGATACTGCATCGCATTTTAGCTATTAGCAATTTTAGTTTATTTTTTAATCATGCAGTTTACATCGTCACCTTTTCTCTTGATGTGACCTTTAGTAGGATAGGCTTGTTTGGTTGCATGGTCCCTTCTATTACACTTCGACTAACATCAGGTTCCCCGACGTATTCTAGACGATAATTTAGTAAAATCTTGCTCACCAAAATAATAACGATTGACTCGGCCATCCTCCTTCCCAGACACATTCTCACTCCATAACCGAATGGTAATGTAGTAAACGGATGAAATTCTTTCTTCTCCCCAGTTTCATCACGCAGCCATCGCTCGGGTACGAACTGCTTCGCGTCTTGCCCATAATAACGCTCGTCGATGGACAGCAGATGTTCGAACAAGAGAATATTCACACCAGCTGGGATATTGTAACCGATAACCTCGATGTCTTTACGAAACAGACGAGGAACAATGTACCCTCCGACTGGATACATGCGTTGCGACTCCTTCAGAGCCGCTTTGAGAAGCGATGGGACATTTTTCGCTGATAATTCTTCGTTTGGGCCAACGACAGAAGCAATCTGCTGATAAAGTTTATCCTGCAATCTGGATTCCGGGAAAGTTCGTACAAGAGCCAGAGACATGTAATGCTTGTTGTATCGACGCCTGCTGCTATTAATCCAATTATGGCAGCCATACTCTTTGGTGTATTCATGCCATTTTCAACAAGATACTCAAACACTGATTGTTTGTTCCTGGAATCGCTCTCTCGTCCTTGCTGCTTCGTTGCCAACACCTCTTCTATAATATCCATCCCTAAAGCAGGAATAGTGGCAAGATTTCTCTTCAACCGATAGTATGGCGGTGTCTTGATATACTTGTTTAGAGGAGTGGTGTAAAAAAGCTTCCCAACATTACGAACCATATCAAGAGCCGTATTCACAAACGCGACGGCTGCAGGTTCTGGCGGATGGTTGTAGAATCCAAGACGTTGGTTGAAAAAAAAAGAAGCAAACGATTCCACCATAAAGTACGCTAACTCCTTACGAATATTGTCCACCACGCCGTCGGACTGCTTGAGGAGATCTAATCGCTTCATGAAGTCATTCGCTACAGTATTTAGCACTGGAAATGATTCTCTGACTTCCTTCGGGCGCATCAACTTCGGCGATATGGTGGATCTTTCCGGATACCATGTTTCATAGTCGTTTGATGCGAGCCCAAGACCATTGTCGTCCTCAACAATCTCAGCGAGGGCTTCGAAACCGGGCCGCATCGGAAATTCTCGTTCGATGTTTAAAACTTTTTCTATCGCATCAACGTCAGAAATGTTGACAATTCGTGTGTCCAAAATTTGCTCGCGGTAAATCGGACCAAATCTTTCAAAGCGTTTTGATAAAACGTCAAGAATCTCGCCTTTGTTAAGCGCATAGCCCCAAAGATTTTGGAGAGTTCCTTTAGGACCTGGAATATCAGCAAACGGCAAAACTTTGCTGTTGCTCGACGCTGTTACAGACGATGAACTCTGTGCTTTAATCGCAAGCGACCAAGATGATCTGAGGAATCGTTTAGAGAAACAATTACGCGGAATAATGCAAGATAAAAACGCCATTGTCGCATAAAAAACTACGTACTGCCCGAAACCAGTTTTAATCAAGTTGAACACCGTACACGCACTCTAGCGACACGTATATAGTAGTTATATGATGATTAAAAAGTCTTTAAGGCTGACTGTACTGTTCAGTCATGCATGGTATAAAAAGTCTTTATGTTAAAGTCGAAAAAATTTTGTTTACATCTTTGAAAATCTCAGCAACATCATATTTCTAGTCAAAATGAACGGCTATAGTTTATTTTCCGAAAAATTTGAAACATGCGGCCCACTGGGCAGAACGGGTGCCTCAAAATCATTATTTAGAATTACCATTGAGTGGGTTCACAGAAAGAGGACGTCATCGTCGTCACGGTAACAACGATTATAGTGTAGTTATATTCTTATGGTATAGTTATATTCAAAAGTTTTACATCAATTAACGTAATTTTTGGCACGCAATGGCACGGCATTTCTAAACTTTGTTCTAAATATGCAGAACTAATGTGAGAAAAACAAAGAAAAAGTCTGCTTCGCGCGCAAAATTTCGCCTAGTGGAAAACAGGCTTTATAGTAGATACTGTAATAATCGATCTCGTCATTTAATTCGACCATTAGGCTTCAGACAGGCGTGGCCATAGAGAGTTTGTTGTTATAAAATCATTCTTATAATGCGCTTTAAGTCACTTGTTCAAGCCATTGTGATTTTTGGCATTGATTTACCCTCACCTATTCCCGGCATTACCACCCTATGCACATGAACCACGCTTGCTCTTGTCAGCTACCTGAGTAGCTCAGTCGCAAGAGCATTGCTGACCGTCATCGCAATTCGCAAAAGCGTAGGTTCGATTCCTGCCACTGAGGACCTATGGTTGACTCATTTTTCTTCAACTGTTCCTGGCTTGAATTTGAAGTGTGTATAATTCCACTCGAAATTGAGACCCTTTAAACCCTAGTTTTTAACCATGTTTTAACTTTCTAGTACTAATGCACCATGCACCTGCACTTAACAATTCGCGAAAATGATAAGTGACAGTTGCCCTATTAAAATTTAACGGAATGTTGGACGTCATTGGAATTCGTTAACTAACGTAACGCTTTACGGGCTAACCGTTTCCTGCCGGAGAACATTTGTAGTATGAACTGATCATTGATATTCCATGCATGTTTCTATTTACTAACATGGGCATATATCACTCAACTGATAACACTGTATATGAAAACTATATCAAAAAAAGACATTGTTTACGTATAGTTTTGGTACACAACCTAATTCGAGTTAACATCGGAACTGATAACAGCGGCATGCAATAACCCAGTCAGAGAAATTTTATCACATTAATTATTCATATTATTATTTGCCATGCTCTCACATGCCTTCAAGATCACATAACTGACATAAGATACTGCATCGCATTTTAGCTATTAGCAATTTTAGTTTATTTTTTAATCATGCAGTTTACATCGTCACCTTTTCTCTTGATGTGACCTTTAGTAGGATAGGCTTGTTTGGTTGCATGGTCCCTTCTATTATACTTCGACTAACATCAGGTTCCCCGACGTATTCTAGGCGATAATTTAGTAAAATCTTGCTCACCAAAATAATGACGATTGACTCGGCCATCCTCCTTCCCAGACACATTCTCACTCCATAACCGAATGGTAATGTAGTAAACGGATGAAATTCTTTCTTCTCTCCAGTTTCATCACGCAGCCATCGCTCGGGGACAAACTGCTTCGCGTCTTCGCCATAATAACGCTCGTCGATGGACAGCAGATGTTCGAACAAGAGAATATTCACACCAGCTGGGATGTTGTAACCGAGAACTTCGAGGTCTTTACGAAACACACGAGGAACAATATACCCTCCGACTGGATACATGCGTTGCGACTCCTTCAGAGCCGCTTTGAGAAGCGATGGAACATTTTTCGCTGATAATTCCTCGTTTGGACCAACGACAGATGCAATCTCCTGATAAAGTTTATCCTGGAAGTCTGGATTCCGGGAAAGTTCGTACAAGAGCCAGAGACATGTAATGCTTGTTGTATCCACGCCTCCTGCTATCAATCCAGTTATGGCAGCCATACTCTTTGGCGTATTCATGCCATTTTCAACAAGGTACTCAAACACTGATTGTTTGATGCTGAAATCGTTTTCTCGTCCTTGCTGTTTCGTTGCCAATACCTCTTCTATAATATCCATCCCTAAAGCATGAATAGTGGCGAGATTTCTCTTCAACTGATAGTATGGCGGTGTCTTGATATACTTGTTGAGAGGAGTGGTGTAAAAAAGCTTCCCAACATTACGAACCATATCAAGAGCCGCATTCACAAACGCGACTGCTGCAGGTTCTGGCGGATGGTTGTAGAATCCAAGACGTTGATTGAAAAAAAACGAAGCAAACGATTCCACCATAAAGTACGCTAACTCCTTACGAATATTGTCTACCACGCCGTCGGACTGCTTGAGGAGATCTAATCGCTTCATGAAGTCATTCGCTACAGTATTTAGCACTGGAAATGATTCTCTGACTTCCTTCGGGCGCATCAACTTCGGCGATATGGTGGATCTTTCCGGATACCATGTTTCATAGTCGTTTGACACGAGCCCAAGACCATTTTCGTCCTCAACAATCTCAGCGAGGGCTTCGAAACCGGGCCGCATTGGAAATTCTCGTTCGATGTTTAAAACTTTTTCTATCGCATCAACGTCAGAAATGTTGACAATTCGTGTGTCCAAAATTTGCTCGCGGTAAATCGGACCAAATCTTTCAAAGCGTTTTGATAAAACGTCAAGAATCTCACCTTTGTTCAGCGCATAGCCCCAAAGATTTTGGAGAGTTCCTTTAGGACCTGGAATATCAGCAAACGGCAACACTTTGCTGTTGCTCGACGCTGTTACAGACGATGAACTCTGTGCTTTAATCGCAAGCGACCAAGATGATCTGAGGAATCGTTTAGAGAAACAATTACGCGGAATAATGCAAGATAAAGACGCCATTGTCTCATCAAAAACTACGTACTACCTGAAACCAATTTTAATCAAGTCGAACACCGTACACGCACTCTAGCTACACGTATAGTAGTTATATGATGATTAACAAGTCTTTAAGACTGACTGTACTGTTCAGTCATGCATGATATAAAGAGTCTTTATGTTAAAGTCGAAAACAATTTTTGTTTACATCTTTGAAAATCTCAGCAACATCATATTTCTAGTCAAAATGAACGGCTATAGTTTATTTTCCGAAAAATTTGAAACATGCGGCACGCTGGGCAGAACGGATGCTTCAAAATCATTATTTAGATTTACTATCGAGTCGGTTCACGGAAAGAGGACGTCTTCGTCGTCACGGTAACAACGATTATAGTATAGTTATATATATAGGCTGTGGTTATATTCTTATTGTATAGTTATATTCAAATGCTTTACATGAATTAACGTAATTTTTGGCACGCAATGGCACTGCATTTTTAAACTTTGTCGTGTAAACAAGCATAATATGCAGAACTAATGTGAGAAAAACAAAGAAAAAGTCTGCTTCGGCGCAAAATTTTGCCTAGTGGAAAACAGGCTTTATAGAGCTGCATGCTAGCTACGAACACGTAAAATTTCAATCTATCACGTTAGATTTTCAGGTAGAGTTTAAAAGAGCTAAAGTCAAACTACAAGAAGTGCCGCGTGGGCAAGAATATCGCCATCGATAACGGCTGAAATTGCCCGAAATGACTCAAGGAGACAGCGAGTCCGAAGCTGCTCGTTTACAATAATCGCTAAATGAACAGGTACATGTCTATTTTTTGACTCGCGTACAGGAGGATGGGAGAAGTTAATTGAAATGCTACTGAAGTCTACCATCGTATGCATGTTTACAACTTCAACGCGAGTTTTCTCCTATTTAAGCTTATTTTATTGAATAACTTGTGGATATCCTCGTCTATAACAAGCATTACCATTGTTTTATTTTAAGTATAGAGATTGAGCGAGTCAAAGTTACTTGAAACGAAGATTAACCTGTTCAAATTAAAATGCAAGTTTTAACAATTGAGCATTTTAGATATATACCGGGTGTATGAAAAAAACTGCAAATACCACAGTTTGTATACATTAGAATTTCTATGGCTGTACAACTATAATTAGATGATTTAGATCTTCTGGGATTTGAAAATACGTTTCCACGTGCAGAAATATCACAATAAGCCGAAGGCCCCGTTTACACAATATCGGATTGCTTTCGGAGTGGGACAAATTTTGTAGCTATTAACAGGTAGTGAAAAAAAATTATTTTCGGAGATCGAAATAAATATACCAAATCTATCAACTAATAAGCATTTGCTACTAACCGTCAATTTTTTGGACGAAAAAGGATCAGGGCTTTCATCAAAATGTTTTAATACGACAAACGGTATATAGACTTATAGAAGTTTTTTTGCAATGTTAAGGTTGTTTGGTCTTGTCGTCACTCTTCCCTCCCCATTCAAAGGGTACCTATAAGTAATGTTCGAGCTTAGTTCAGCATTCTGTATTACAGTTTCATCACGCAGCCATCGCTCTGGTACGACCTGCTTCGCGTCTTGCCCGTAATAACGCTCGTCAAGGGACAGCAACTATTCGTATACATGCATGTGGACACTCACGCCAGCCGGGATATTATAACCAAGAACTTCAATATCTTTATGAAACACGCGAGGAACCACAAACATTGATTACTTGACGCTAAAATACTTCTCACGTTTCTGCTGCTTCGTCGTCGGTGGTGGATCTTATGAAGAGGCATCAATCATCCATATATATATATCGATCGCTTCACATGGTGATTGTGAAAATGGTCACATCTACTTAGCGCACGAATCAAACAATATAGACGGTTTCGCTTTTATACACAGGCCTATCGGCCTATAGGGGGTTTTTAATATGGGAAATCGATTCCCGGATTTAAAATCTACCTAAGCCTTTGCCTAGGTGCATTTTTCCGGTTGTTTACGTTCATTGAAATATAACAACACTTCAGTTCCTTCAGTTCGAAGGCAAGCTTCGCTATATACGGGAGAATTAATAAGACTGTGTAAAAAGAAATAAAGCAAATTAAGTGAAATTTGTATAGCTACTGGGACTATACCAAATTGAAATTGTGCTTATGCATAATGGCGTAACAAGCTGTGGCGCCTGCGAGGAAATCTGGTCTTAGTGGTCACGGCGGAAAATTAAAGCCTGGTTTCCATATGACGCCGACTTGTCGCCGACTCATTCTCTGTAACCATCCAAGGAGAAAATGATTTCAGAAAGACAAAAGATTTCACTCATCAGTAATCACCGACAATAATACTTTGTCGACGTCGGCGTCATATGGAAACCAGGCTTAAACTTCAAAATTCCCCGCCATGACAGAATGCCTTGCAGGCGTCACGGCTTGTTACGTCATTATGGGTAAAAAACATAGATTAAAAAATTCAAAAATATTTTATTTGATTTTATCATACTATTGTAAAGTTTCATATGCCAAATCTAGATATGAAATTTTCATCTACATAACTCCTTATGTAAAAATAGTGGTAGATAGATAGGTGGTTTAATAAAAATTACATAATTAGATTCACAAGAGTTAAAAAACAGACATTATATAAGTATACTAGGTTACCTACAGGTAGTGAATGCTGCCTTTATTGCATCTTGTATATCTGCAAACACGCGCTTGCGCAAGCCTAGTCATGCAGGATTGAATTGTAGAAAGAATTACTTAATCATGTAATCGCCAAATCGGGTTGGACAACAGCCTTGGAGAATGAAGCACTTACTTATTCACCGTTTATGAGGAATTTTATGTAAATTGTTCTTTTTGTTTGGGCCTAAGTTTTTGCTGAATAGATTAAATGAACAAAGATGAAGCATGTGCAAGTTCGCCAGCTGTTTTATTTTGAATGCACGTGATCATAATAGTAGGTTGTTGTGTTACTGAAATCTAGTTATTTAAAAAAGATAACGTAGTTGTGAACTCTTCACATGTGACTTGAAAACTTGGCTAATTGTTTGAGATTGTCTAACTTTCGCTAGGAGTTTTAAATTTACAACATCAATTAGGCCCGTTACAGACGACGAACTTTCCATGTGCCGAACCTAATGCAAACAAGATGCCCGCTAGGCATTAACCTCGCGTGGCTCCACCAGCATACCCTCACCCCCTTATTTTGACGATAATCGTCAAAGAGTTCACGTCTTTAATCGTCTTCATCGATTTATCGAACGTTGCTCCGTCGACTGTCGAGCATATGCGATCGCATGGCGCATGCGCTGCCCGATCGTTGGGTACGCCCGTGAGGTGTTGTAAATTTCTCGACCCCATAGGAAAATAACGCTACTGGATTTAAGACCTCGCTGTGCTTACGCACGCGAGGTAATTAGCAAAATCCTTTGTTTCGCAGATTATTAATCGAGACTGCAGGTAAGCAAACAGGATCATGTGCCGTTGATCGCAAATATATCTCTAAATAACAACGTGCTCATGCCTTTCGCAGAGCCAGCAAAAGCTAGGCGATATAAAGAACAATTACTTGATGATGCAATTTCTGTTTTAACAGAATTTTTGATATCATTCTGTTCTACTCTCCTCAAGTTGGTGTTAAGCACGGTAAGTTGCTGTCAGTAAAAGATAATTTTTTGTAAAGTTTTATAGATATAAAGATATTTTACCACTTCCGATTTCACTCGCTGTATTTACTGCGCTTTTGGTGGTGAATGATTGCATTTATGGTACTTTACTAATAGCAAGTCAACCAATGAACACAAAAATCTTTGAGATTTGGCATGAAGAGGAGTAAAAAGGAAAGATTGACTATGTTGTCCTTGGTCATAAGACATTTCAAATTTTAACTGCAACTGACCAGATAAAACAAACGTTTTGAAGTCAATTCACAACATTCGATATCAAAATATATAGAACACTTCAAAACACAGAAAAAGCAAGAGGCATGTAAAATACACACCAAAAAACGAGGCATGTAAAATACACACCAAATAAGTTTAAAACAAACCAGCAGCAAATATATCAATACACAGGAATATGAAAAATGCTGAAATATTTTAAATAAAAGAAGTGTATTTGAAGCTATATGTAAAAGTCCAAAGTCTAAATTTGGCAAGTGAAATAGGAGGTGAATCAATGTCAATGCTATATAGTGGTTCAAAGTCCAATAGTTCAAGTCCAAGGGGCAAAGATCAACACACACGCAAATATATAAATTAAATAGAGAATATCATTCATCAAAAATAATGAAGATTAATAAATATAAGTTGATTGAGTCCTCTGTTTTTCAAATATTTAACGCTATGCATAAAAAGCCAACACGTGTTATCCTAAATTCGGCAAGTCAAATCGAAGCTGTATGAATGCTGTATCAAATGTCAATGGTATATACTGTATGTATCCGAGAGGCAAAGAACGGCACACACACAAAGACTGAATAGAAAATATCAATTATCATTCACCAATAACAATAAATATCGACAAATTTAAGTTGACTGAGTGCCCTGTCTTTCAAATATTTAACGCTTTGCATGTAAAGAAGCCAACAGGTGTTATAAAATTCAAAGTTCCGGCGCAAAGAACACGCACAAATATGTAAATTTAATAGCGAATAATTATGAATGGCAATGCGCATAAATGTCAATAAATATAAGCTGTCTTTCAAATATACAACGCTTTGTTGTTTGAATGTTGCGAGTGAAATCGGAAGTGGTAAAATATCTATATATCTATAAAATTTTACAAAACATTATCTTTTACTGACAGCAACTTACCGTGCTTAACACCAACTTGAGGAGAGTGGAACAGAATGATATCAAAAACTCTGTTAAAACAAAAATTGCATCATCAAGTAATTGTTCTTTATATCGCCTAGCCTCTGCTGGCTCTGCGAATGGCATGAGCACGTTGTTATTCAGAGACATATTGCGATCAACGGCACATGATCATGTTTGCTTACCTGCAGTATCGATTAATGATCTGCGAATGTAATAATCAGCGAATAAATGAGGGTAAAAAAGCTAAGAAACTGGCAATCACAAATTTTTTTAACTGTTCACCAGAATGCCCAATGGAAAAGCCGAAAAGGAAGCACATGGGAAGAAACAATATAATTATATAAAGTTGATTCACGCATAGCATTGTGGGTCTATCTAATGTTCGACCACAATGCAATGCGCTAAAGCAAAATTTAAAAAATTCCCAACTTACATCAATTAGGTCTGCTGCCTTGCTCGCTCGCCCCAGGCTCGCTCGCTGCGGCAGCAATAAGATGGTTAATATATTGCAATATAATTGCCTAAACTAAAAACAAAAGGTTACTAAAAACTTTTCTGTACACATTGCTGGTATAAAGGAATGTATAAAAGAATGTATAAAAGAATGTGAAATTTCCCGTCGAATTCGGCGGGAAGGTTACATAGAATAATTTAATTTGCAACATGTATTAATTAAGAGCAATATCTAAGGAACCAACTGATAATACATACTCCTTAAAACATGTCGTTTCTTTTTGGCGTGAATTTTAGTAGGATAGGTTTGTCTGGCTGCATCAACGCTCCTTTTATACTTCGATTAACATCAGGTTCCCCAACGTATTCTAAACGATAACTGAGTAAGATCTTGCTCACCAAAATATTGATGATTGACTCGGCCATCCTCCGTCCAACACACATTCTCACTCCATAACCGAATGGTAATGTAGTAAACGGATGAAATTCTTTCTTCCCCCCAGCTTTATCACGCAGCCATCGCTCTGGTACAAACTGCTTCGCGTCTTGCCCATAATAACGCTCGTCGAGGGACAGCAAATATTCGTGCAAGAAAACATTCACACCAGCTGGGATGTTGTAACCGAGAACTTCGAGGTCTTTAGGAAACACACGAGGAACAATATACCCTGCGACTGGATACATGCGTTGCGACTCCTTTACAGCTGCTTTAAGAAGCGAAGGAATCTTTTTTGGAGATAGGTGCTCATTCGGGCCAACGGCAGAGGCAATCTCCTGATAAATTCTATCCTGGACATCTGGATTCCGGGAAAGTTCGTACAAAAGCCACAGACATGTAGTGCTTGTTGTATCAACGCCTGCTGCTATCAATCCAGTTATGGCTGCCATACTCTTCGGCGTATTCATACCATTTTCAACAAGATATTCAAACACTGATTGTTTGATGCTGAAATCGTTTTCTTGTCCTTGCTGTTTCGTTGCCAACACCTCTTCTATAATATCCATCCCTAAAGCATGAATAGTGGCGAGATTTCTCTTCAACCGATAGTATGGCGGTGTCTTGATATACTTGTTAAGAGGAGTGGCATAAAAGAGCTTTCCAACATTGTAGATCATATCCAGAGCTGCATTCACAAACGCGACGGCTGCAGGTTCTGGCGGATGTTTGTAGAAACCAAGACGCCTATTGAACAGAAACGAAGAAAACGATTCCACCATGAAATACGTTAACTCCTCGTGAATATTGTCTACTATGCCGTCAGACTGTCTAAGGTGATCTAATCGCTTCGTGAAGTCATTCGCCACAGTATTGAGGATTGGAAATGTTTCACTGACTTCCTTTGGGCGCATCAACTTCGGCGATATGATTGATCTTTCTGGACGCCATGTTTCATAGTCGTTTGATGCGAGCCCAAGACCATTGTCGTTCTCAACAATCTCAGCGACAGCTTCGAGACCGGGCCGCATTTGAAATTCTCGTTCGTTTGTTAAAACTTTTTGTATCGCATCAACATCCGAAATGTTGACAATTCGCGTGTCCAACAATTGCTCGCTGTAAATTGGTCCAAATCTTTTGAAGCGTTTGGATACAACTTCAAGAATCGCACCTTTGCTTAACAAGTACCCCCAAAGATTTTGGGCAGTTCCTTTAGGGCCTGGAATATGAGCAAACGGCAACACTTTGCTGTCGCTCGACGACGCTGTTACAGACGACGAACTTCGAGCTTTAATTGTCATCGACCAAGATGATTCAAGAAATCGATTGAAGAGAAAATTCAGTCGCGGGAATGAACAAGATAATAAAGCCATTGTTACATAAATTCGATGATAATTCAAACACCACACGAATATTATAATCACGAATTCACAGACAGCGGTTATTTATGTGAATAAACAGCGTTTGTGTTTTTGATTTTATCTACGCGATTATATATGGAGATTACTGCCTTACTGGCATATAGTGCATGCATGCATGTATAAATATAATACAAGGTTTGTCGAGGTTACAACGTAAATTTCCCCGTGGTCACTGATTATTATTTTTTATTCATTTCATTTATCATAGCATATGTATTGCACACGTACCATTAGATTATATTTCCTTTAAGTTTTTAAAAAATAAATATATTCAGGAACGTTTATAGAATGCAGCTATACTATCTCGGCAAATTTTAAAAAATATAGTTACGTAACTTCATATCGAATTTCTAGTATAGGCACAGCTATCTTTTAATTTCTATTCTTACCATGATAAATTACTGGTTGAAGGGAATACAGCTATTTCATCAATTGTACTGCAGCATGTAGCCAATGATTACACCAATCGCGAAAGAAAACAAAATACAGGGCGCAGTTATTTGCATACAAGCTAGACACGGCTTGCAAGGAGGAACTCAAAAATGAGTGAAAATTTTAGTGTAAACAAATATACTGGTAAAAGTATAATAATTTTATTATGCATGATATTGGATCATGCTTGCATTGAAAATTTTGTCCGAAACGTTCACCATAAAGCACTACAAAATTTTACGTTTTTATCATGCTAATTATTAATAAATAACCATGCGATGTTGCTCGTACAGTTAGTTCGCACAGCTCGTAAAGAGCTCGTAATTGTTCAGTGAAAATTTTGCTTGTCCCGGTGGCTCATCCAATCATTCTGGGGCAATTTTGGCAAAATTTTAAAACATCACCTGTACTGATTATTCTAAATCCGAAATTTTTACTTACTATTTATTATCAGTACTTATTGTACTTGATATCATCATCACATGATTATACATATTATAAATACCTATACGAATTTGCTACTTTAATTAACCAGCTGATCTAAAATAGCGGGAAAGGACTGGGACAAGTTGTCAAAAATCCATTTTTCGGTTGAAACAACTAATATCTCTTGAAATATACTTTATTGCGGTTTAAAATTTATGTCAGAGCTACAGTTCTTACAACTAAACATAATCATAAAATTTCGACTGGTTCAATAAAGAATAACAAAAGATATGGTAATTGATTAAATTCTGCGGAATTGATATCTGTTTCGACAAACTTGCTAAGCGCTGATTAGCTAAAATATGAATACGAGATTTTTCGCTGCGTGTTACAAACAAAGCAAAGGGTGTTATCCATTCTGAATGATGTTGAATACCTTGACTGTTTTGAACATTCCTTTATTTCTTTCTGATCATTGTGCCATGTAACATGCATTGAAGCAGTTAAAGTTCACGACCATGCATGTTATTAAAACTATGGAAACACATATATGTAAAAATCACTCTACTACTCAAGTTACTTTGTTGATTCAGAAAGTAATTGAGAAACAAGAATATTCATGTGGAATATGCCACCATACGTCGCAGAGAATAAAATCATTCAGCCTAACGATGCGAGTATCCACCGTTTTAGGAGTCATTTTTATTTTTTCTAAACCGGTGTTTTCATATTCATGCAAAAAGCAAATTTATCAGAAAAAACTAAGACTGCATGCTAAAAGATACTGCTGACTATCTTGTCTAAATGCGTTTTGCATGCACGCGTGCATTCAATCTATCTCAAACTGATCATGCAATGATTAATCACGTAGTAATCAAATTTCAAATCCGTGGTTGATTTTATTCTTAAAGGGACAGCAAACACCAAAACCTTTGACATGACGTACTGATGTAAAATACTAAAGTTTCGAAAAAGCGATTCTGTGGAAATTGTGAACTGGATAAATCAGTTAATATACCTCAAACTGATCATGCAATGATTAATCGTGTAGTAATCAAATTTCAAATCCGTGGTTGACTCTATTCTTAAAGGGACAGCAAACACCAAAAACTTTGACATGACGTACTGATGTAAAATACTAAAGTTTCGAAAAAGCGATTCTGTGGAAATTGTGAACTGGATAAATCAGTTAATATACCTCAAACTGATCATGCAATGATTAATCGTGTAGTAATCAAATTTCAAATCCGTGGTTGACTCTATTCTTAAAGGGACAGCAAACACCAAAACCTTTGACATGACGTACTGATGTAAAATACTAAAGTTTCGAAAAAGCGATTCTGTGGAAATTGTGAACTGGATAAATCAGTTAATATACCTCAAACTGATCATGCAATGATTAATCGTGTAGTAATCAAATTTCAAATCCGTGGTTGACTCTATTCTTAAAGGGACAGCAAACACCAAAAACTTTGACATGACGTACTGATGTAAAATACTAAAGTTTCGAAAAAGCGATTCTGTGGAAATTGTGAACTGAATAAATTTAATATACCTCGAATTGATCATGCAATGATTAATCAAGAAGTAATCAAATTTCAAATCCGTGGTTGATTTTATTCGGAAAGGGACAAAAAACTGCAGATCTTTTGGCATGACACCGATGTGAAATCCCAAAGTTTTACAAAGGCGGAAGGCCATCTCTGCATGGGAGTTGCGAACTGAGGTGGTCAACCTAATTCACATCCCAGGTCTGCCTTGATTTTCCTCACTATCCCAGCCTGGACAAAATTCGTAAATGAGTTTTGAGTCTCTGAAATAGTAACGGTTTTGAGAATGGCGAATAACACGGCCTCTTAGTAAACTGTTTCCATAATGCACGGCCGTAACACGGTCAGCAACAAGTCCAACTTCTAACAACCAATCAACTAGCTCACTTCCAAAAAAAATTGGGGAATCACCATTAACCTTACCAGTGTTGTCTAACGAACTACAGAAATGAGAAAATCAATGATACAGTGTATAGTAAAGGCGTTTATAGAAATTCAGCCTTATGACGTAGTTTACGAAGAAAGCATTTTCGATTGGTCAATGCGGCCAGTTGACCAATCAGAACATGTTTCGTCCGCAAACTACGTCGCCGCAACGCCGTTTTAAAAAGGTCTATATCGATGTGGTGCTATACGTGTACATTCCACGTGCTGGTTGAAGTGACTTAATTGGCAATATGCGATAATTTTGAGCCAAGGGAAAGGAGTATGTGAGAGAGGATATTTGTTTAATTTTCATGTCCAATTTATCATCACATACATCAAACTATACTACCTCAAAAAAAGTTAGCGACAAAAGATTAAAACTTATTTTATAGTTCATTATTTTGACTTTAATTTTGACCTAATTAAGGGCCACTGTTTTGCGTCACTTTGGCGTTACAACACCATATATGCGTTTCTAATTTTGTGTAAGCTAATTCGAATCAGCAGACCAATTCAAATTAATCCTCACAATCTTAACAACTATCAAAATTTAGGGTGAAATTTCAACGAGACACGTACTCAAAGTTGGGGATTATTTATAGTCAGAAAAAGGGAACAAGCAATCATGCAGCTGTGCTTGGGGCTACTGAAGAAAACATTGAGGCATGCATGGAGTACCGACCGAGTATGTCAAACTAGCGCGAGACACTTTTTAAAACCTCACCTTTCGTGGATTTCTCTGGGAGTTAATGCTTCTACACAACTTCTTTTGTGATAATGGACAAACTGTTCGCATATATGATACTCGTCCACGGGTAGGTCAAGGATCTGTGGCAAAATGACCTCATCAATACCATACCTATAACGACGAACCCTAAACATACAAGGTTAAGTTCATTATTCTACTTATATATCTTTGCCACAGGCGATGCGAATCGCCTCGGAACCAAGCATATGCGGCATATATCGCACAGAAAGATGCCTCGTGTAATATCGTTTATTCAATTGAACCGCAAAGGCCATGCAATACCATTTGTTGTATTTCCAGTACTTAGTAAGCAGTAATATAAAACATTAGAAGTTAATTCTTGTCATCAATAAGTATAGCTATAGGTGTATTATACTGCTTGTATAAAAGTCCGATAGAGGGATGGAAAACTAAAAGGGAGATGTTAATTTATAGAACTGAAAAGTTCCACATGCGCATGCATGTTGTATTCGTGCATACATGCAGGAAGGATTGTCAAACACTGGCTTTGTTAAGATTTTTATGGCTGTTGAATAAAGCTATTATTTTTAAAGAATTGTACCAATAAGTATAAGAATTGTGATTTCGAACGAGTTCTTTTGAGCAGCTGATTTCACTACGAATTTGGAGTTGGGTGGAAAAGGTTTACAACCGAATTAAATAAACCCTTTCATTTTATGATTTTTGGCACTTCACTCGATGCAGGTAAATTCTAGAGGTTTAAGGGTCTTAATTTCGAGTGGAATTATACACACTTAAAATTCAAGCCAGGAACAGTTGATGGAAAAATTAGGCAACTATAGGTCCTCCAGCAGGAATCGAACCTACGCTTTTGCGATGCCGGTGCAATGCTCTTGCCACTGAGCTACAGATGTAGCTGCATGACAAGAGCAAGCGCGGTTCATGTGCATATGATGGTAATTTAAATGTGTATATAATTTATTTTATGTTCTTGTATCACACGACTTTATCATAGTGCGCTGATCCACCTATTAGGTCATCGACTTACTTTTGCAATAACGGGTCAATGAAAAGTGCTCGTTCAAATCCAAAGGCAGCGAACAGAACTAGAATCTAGAAAAACAAACAAACAACAGATTTGCAACAGTTTCCCTATAACACTGGTATATATTCTAGCTATTCTATTAAAATTATTTCTATTCTATTATATAATATGTGTTCGTTATAAAATTCATTTTCTTAAGACTGAATTGAAAAGTTCGTTACAGAGTTTGACACACTACAGTGCAATGCATCTGAAATATTCCCCAGTGTAAATATTTTTAGTTTCAGTATTAAAGGGAGGTCATTTATTATATAATTATTGTTAGTTTTTACCATAAAATACTCTAAAGCTAGAAAATCACAACAGAGCCAGTGGCCATTGGCATCAAATTGCTTTTTTAAAATTTAATCATATATTGCACTCCATGATTGTAGTAGGAAAGAACAATAAATGCAGACATTACCTGTGCTGAAAGTATGATAGAAACCAAAAGTTGAACTTCCAAAAATATTCCAGACATTTTTTCATCACCAACCAGGATCCACATGGAGTAAAATATACACTTGATAAAATACAAGTTACATATAGTCACACACAGCTACTTCGATATAAAGTTTGCGAGAGGATCAATTGTACAATGCAAATGACTGTACAACATTATCAATCTTAATTATCACAGCTAGTTTTCTAAAGTTAGACATATCATATATAGCCTCATATGATTACGTTTGTTATTAATTTTTACCACGGCTCGCAATGCAATTTGTTTGCCCATATAACTTCGTTCGCTTCGAAAAGAATTCGCACGACAATATGAATTGTGTAAACTGAGTACCAAAGGCATCAACGCGCGATGTCTTATATTTTACTTAACCATAAGAGACGAATCATTATTTCCCTAGCCCTTTGTTCTGGAAAATACATTAACCTACTTCAAGACTAAGAAATTTACCCCATGCACCACATCGTCAACCTGTTATAAGAAGCGTTATAATATTGAAAGCTTTGAATGCTGATTGAGCCGTGTTGACTATTTTTTATAATATCAGTCACGGCTTTGTAAATTGATTTAGATTGTACAGTTCATGTTTGATTTTACAATTTTATGAAGAAAAGATATATATTTTCCACCTTTCACTTTCTCAATTATTTTTCTACCCCGCCCCACACATTCCTATTTCTTCAGCTACCCCACCATTTCCTCTTCAGCCCTACCCACGCTATTTAAATGAGCGGTCGCTAACTTACCACAACCATAAGCAAAACTTGGCAGACTACAACGATAATGTGTCGTGCACTCTGATGTTGTTCTCCTTCGTAATATTTATCCAACTGAAGCTTATTGTTGTGACTCGCTAGTTTTGTTTGCTCTGGTTCACGGCCCTTGGTTTTTACTATTGCATACAATGCATCCAAATCCTCGATATCTGTACCACAGTTAGTGCTGGAACTCGTCGATGACTGCTTTTCTATTGCACTTGCACACTTGCCTGAATTCATACAACGATGACATTGTTCCCTACATTAGAGTATTTAAAAAAACCCTGTTGACATTTTAACAACCTGGAAACTAGAAAAATAGTCGAGGATGAAAGATAATTATCTGTATATTTTTCATACTAGTATCAATCAGTAAATTGTAATATCAACAACAGGTGGGAAATTTGTTTCCGCTATCCAAGAGATCACGAGCGAAAACTAAGCACATCGTATTTTCATTCAGAACAAATAAAAAGTTATTAAAAGACTGTTTTTAACCGAAGGATTATCGCTTTCTCTTCAACGATCTACAACTTAGTTAAGCCCTGGTCAAACGAGAATGATAGTTGATGAGAGTTGATGAGAGTTGCAACTCTCGCTTGCGTTTGACAGCGAACTCTCATACACTCTCGTGCACTCTCATCAACTATCATCGACTTTGAACTGATTCAAATTTTGATGAGAGTTGATGAGAGTTTGGGCGCTCTCGTTCTCAACTCTCATCAACTCTCATTCTCGTTTGACCGTCGCATCGAGAGTTTGGAAAACTCTCGTGCGAACTCTCACTTCTCAACTCTCATCATCTCGTTTGACCAGGGCTTTATTCTTTTGAAAAGCATGACTTGAAATTGAGTTTTCAAAAAAACGGCCCGTGGTAAAAGGAAAGGTAAAAGAAAAGAAAAACTTTTTTGGCATTTTAAGTAACAATTATATATTCAGGAAAATTGTGGCTTATAATTTTTGAAGCAAGTGTTTGAGACCCACTTGCTTTCCACGTGTTTCTGTGAATTTTTGGTGACGAGTAGAAAAGAAATGAAGATGTTTTAAAAACTGGCCGTGGCCTCACGACCAAACATTGCTAAAATGTTCATTGTTTCATACAGTTTTATGTCATATCTTGTACGTAATTGGCAAAATTGTGGCTCATACACTTTTCAAGGTTATACTTCACAGCCTGGATGCATTGTGATGTAAACAGCAAAATGTACTCCCCACATACACACATCACATTTTTTTAAAGGACGTTTTCCTGATAAAACAAATTTTAATTCACAAAAATCCGAAGTTATCAAAAATAGCAAAAAACTTTCCGCAATTTAAAATTCACTTATTACTTTTGTTTTGGCGCGCCTTTCGTGCAAACACGCATTGCGTGTACTCCAAGCAATCGCGTGGCTCAATTTGCTTGCGCATGTGCAGACAAATTTCCCACCTGTTAATAATATCAAGTGGAATGCTAACTCTTATAGGGTAATAATCCAAAATTGAAGCAAAAAATTGAGTTTTTGACTCTGTTTCTCGTTCAATTCTTATAAAAATTAGTAAATGATTGTATTTTACATAGTTCTAGACATTCCTGGATTATTATTTTCTACGTCTGTTTCAAAACGTTCAAAAACTCAGAAAAACTACTTTCAAATTTGGCTTCAAAGATGGCAGCCAAGTTAGCGTTCCAGGTTTCACTACAGTTCATTGGTATATCAACTCGCTATAACTTTCGCCTACAAATCCCGCCGTTAGTTATGTTGGCAGACTATAAAACATGACTTCTGTACATTGAATATATTGTTCAGTCATATATACCTTGCAGATTTTGCAAGCAATGGTGTAGCTTCCCCTATATGGCTTCCGCTCTTCATCATCTCACATTTGCAAAATTTGTCGCATCTGTAAAGGCGTACCAGAGATCCAACACAAACGGGCACACAAATGAACTGGATGGTGACCCAAAACGCCAAGAACGTATGCTATTTTATAAACGATAAACGGTTGGGTTAAAAATTTGTTAATACTTGAACGGAAAATTACATCAAAAGAACGTCAAGCTTAAACAAACCTTTTCGGCGAAGAAATCAAAGAAATCCTTTTTACTCAACCTATAATCCTGAATGTCGGACCTTAGCACGAGGACAAGTACTCCACTGCAACAAGCCGGTAATCTAACGAAAGAAAGCTCTTGGATCAGTTTACAACACCGGCTGATATAATATTACATATGTGAATAGAGATCTATTTAACAACGGCATGCTTTTTGAGAAAAGATACAGCGAGCAAAAAAAATAGAAATTTTATCCATCGCAGCATATTTAATAAGGAACGTTTACAAGTGGCAATTTGTTTTACACGATTCGTCTTTTAGCGTATAAAAATTACTACAGACGCGTCACTCGATTATAAATGCCAAAATGCGAAAGTTATCGAATACGACAAATCGCAATGTGAAAACGTACATTCGCTGTTCAGCGTCAACTGAAACTATATATGTATTTCCTCTGTATAACCTTTATATACGAAAAAGTGAATTGTCGGGAAGCGTAAGAAGCATTAATGAGTTACACTAAAGCAGCTGCTTTCATGCATTCCATATATAACTTTACCCCCATCCAATTATGTACATCGCCAATCTATTGGCATAGAGGCTTTGATTCGTCGCACATCGAAGACTAGCCAATGCGAAAGCCAAAATAACAGTCCAACAATGTGTAGCAAATAGAAATGTTGCTATTAGCCAAGCTTCAAACACTTTACAACAACTGAGGAAGGAGTCCAGCTTTGTTAGAACGAATGAAATGCAAAGAAATAACTAGAGAAGAAGAAGAACAAGGAATGTTGGTTATCACAGACAGAATTTAGTTCTGGGTTCATTAAAAATTTCCGAAGTCGACCTCTAGAGGTCCATAATTACGTCGCAACATTACCGTTTTAAATTTAGAACCATACTAAATACAGCAAATGGAGGCATGTACTCTCACACGCAACCTGCAATTATGCACAACACATACATGAAAATTTAATTTTTTATTGACCAATAAATGCGGAAATCAACCGTAACACGAGAACGAGGCCCGGTGGCCAAGACCGCGAGCCTCGTTCTCGCGTTATGGCTTATTTCCACATTTATTTGTCAAAATAAAAATTCCTTCTCATGCTTGTGTTAAAGAAGGATGTTTTCCACCTTTGCACGTGGCATATGAGATCGAAAATTATCTCATTTAAAATGGTTCTGAATTTAAGACAATAGTTTTGTGACGGAATTATCGCAATTGTCCATGGCATTAGCTGAGACAATAGTACATTTTTCCCATCTACCACTAAACATCCATATTCTCTACGTTTAACTGCAAATATGATTAATGTGTGGAAATTAATGGGGTTTCGACTGGAACAACAATTCTAGGTAGAATAGATGTAGCTATGTATGACATACCTGTGATAACGCAAGACAAATCGTGTAATTGTGCGGTGGAATTTTGTACCGACGACTGAGAAATAAAATCACAACGACCCAACACTATAAAGATTTGTTTAAAGATAAATGCATCAAGGCTGCAAGCACGACTATATATAAACCTTTATTCAAGTTCAGTCACACTCGTACTTATCGAGTGCGTGTAACATAGAAATGCAATTATTATCACTGAGGAGTGAAGTGAATGTGGAGATTCTTTACTAATTAATTGCAAATATAGGCTCCCGGCTTATGAATATTATAATAATAACAAAAATATTTTATGTAAAACACTGAAAATCAAGGCCTTAATTACTCGATGGGAAATACTTTCATTGAAATCTTATAAGATTGAGATCTCTCACTCGATGAGTATCACATTGAGAGAGCTAGAATACAGGCGATATAGACTCGTAGCCCTAAATGTATTTTTCTTCATGGCTCTTGGTACGAAACTGGTAATCTACTGATCGGTTACGCGTGCGCTGCAGTGCATTGAAAGTATAATCAAAACTGCTTATCAAAAGGCTGAAACAAAATGACGGACTTACGGCTAAGATAATGGCAACAAAACTGATATCATTTCGCGTGTTGGAAAGAAGATTTCGGTATTCGATGTTTGTAGAATTCATATTTTTCACAGTTGCCATTTTAGATGAACTGTACATCACAGGCGCTGAAAACATCGTTGAAATCACCAGACCAAATGCAATCTAATCGGGGAAGAATGGTAACAAATTACTCGGGTTACACTTATAGAAAGGTAAAGGGTTAATGGTCTTTTTTCGAGTGGAAATAATACATATATACAACTTAAATTCAAGCAAGGAACAGTTAACAGTCTTTGCGATGCCGGTGCAGACGTGCAGTGCTCAGACCACTAAGCTACACAGGTAAAAAACAAGAGCAAGCGTGGTTAACGCGTAATACCGAGTTGGTATATAATGCCTAAGAATAGGTTAGTATAGAATAACGGTTATATAAGAATAGCGGTTTTCTGGCATTTAACCCGATAAGGAATGTCAGGGAATAAATTTTTCAACTCTTCCAGTCAAAATTAAGACCAACTTATTAAAATACTAGTAAAATACTGGTAAAAATTTATACTAATGACATATAAATAGCTGTACTTGCCAAATCTTCTTGAATACCAAACGATGCAGCGTATATAACAGTTGTAGGAGCGGTTGGTATAGTGCCGTAAATGAAGCCAAATATACTCCAATCTTCACGCATCTCATCGCCACCAACATTAAATGACGTGCACAACCCACGTATGATCAGAGGTAAAATTACACTGGAAATCATAAGCAAGTATGCATGGCTATAAAGTTATCATGTATGTATGATTATACTAGTTATCATGTATGTATGATTATACTAGTTATCATGTATGTATGATTATATTAGTTATCATGTATGTATGATTATATTGGTTATCATATATGTATGATTATATTAGTTATCATGTATGTATGATTATATTAGTTATCATGTACCTATATATATGATTATATTAGTTATCATGTACGTGTGATTACATTAGTTATCATGTACGTATGAATGTATTAGTAATCATGTATGTATGATTATATTAGTTATCATGTATGTATGTATAGTTATCATGTATGTATGATTATATTAGTTATCATGTACGTATGATTATATTAGATATCATGTAAGCATGATTATATTAGTTATCATGTATGTATGAATACTATAACCCTGCTTCGTTACTTAATTCGGTTAGTTCCGTGGTAATAACTCAGATGAGCTTTTGAAAAAGCATAAAGAAAATGAAAGGTTTAAAATTGATCATGAGATAAAGAATAAGTAACAAATAAAACTCACACTTTTGCTACGCTAAGTGACAATGGAACCAAAATGATCATGCCCATTTTTGCCCTTATTTTTCCAACAACGCTTAAGCCAAGGTAAAACAGCGCCGTAGCGCCGAAAGCGTTGCTCAATGTTTCCAATGGTGCATCCACGCCAGTAGGTAGATCCTGTTTGAAGGCCCTGTTGGCGGCAATACCAAATAATGACGCAAGTACAACTGGCGAGAGCAAAATGGATTTGATCGTTTTAAACAACGTTGCTCCAATACTGGAAGTCGTACTTCTTGACCGCTGCTGACTATATTCCATCATAAGAAGTCCCGCCGTTAGGAACAACGTCACGTTCACAAGGACATTAAAATAGACGGAGTATAAGAAATCTTTGTGGGTGTGTTTGTACAAAGCGTTTACTGAAAAACAACAATCAGTATGAACATTCATACATATTAATCTAAATTTGATGTATTCCATCTATTTCTTATCTATTATCTTTGCCATTAAAACTAATGGAAAAAACCCATTTAAGAAATAACAGGAAAGCTACATTTTATATAAGGCATATGGTAGAGAAGAGTTAAAAAATATTCCAAGACCTGCATGAGTGACAAATGTTCCACATGCACTTGCAGATATATTAGATATAGCTATAGATTGCAAGTAAAGAGAATTAGAGGTATGCAGATATGTGCAGATGTCAGTAAAATAATTTCACTAAAATTACCCTAAAATTACTATGGAGGTAATTATATGTATTACTAAGGGGTGTCAATATGTATTACTAAGGGAAAAAACTCTTATACAGAAGAGACAGTGAAACAACGCTGTCGCAACGCTGTTCTTAACTGGGTGATGTGACATTGCTGTTTCTTCAGGCTTCATATTTTGCAAGTAACAAAGTAGAATAGCACTGTCACGTGTGTGATCAGAGAATCACCCAACTGCATTAATTCATAATACCAGTATTGTGAAATAATGAAATGTATAGTCATATGTAGGTAAAACTGGAACAGTGGTGTAAAACTAAACTCTAACTTTACTTCTATAATACTGTAGTGATTGAACAATAAAGTATTATATCTTGTTTGTATCAGTGCAGGCCAGTTGAGGTTTAGCCTCTACATATATGTGATATATATGTGGTATACAAGCTCCTAGCTTGGCTTGAACCAAGTAACATAGTGTCAAAGTATAGGTATTTATATAGATGCAATGATGCAATTTTACTGTGTTATTACTAGATAACATTTACAAAGATGAATATATCAGATAAAAGACTACAATTCAATATCTGTTGATAAACATAGACTTGTACAATTTGTCTGTGCATGTGCCCGATTGTCAAAAACAAGATGGCAGCACTGAAAAAAGCTAGGATTTTTGACAGAGGATTTTTGGGGGGATTTTTACATCATATTATATATATATTTATATATATATATATATATATGATGTATATGATGTAAAATATATATATATATATATATATATATATATATATATATATATATATATATATATAGTGGATCTAGAAAAGGTTGTCCGAAAATATATACATATATACAAATAGTTGTGACATGTGACCACATATTTCCATCACGTGTCGCACTTAATTACGCATGCAAACGCTGCGAACGCTTCCTTAAATCCATAGCTGGCAAAGCGTAAACAATGTGACAACAGGCTATTAGTAAAATATACCTTCATTGATTTTATCTGAGAGCCCGTTTATCACCGAATGTCAGCGTTTTCTAATTGATCGGCGATTTACTTAAGGTATAGCTCTGGATGTCTGAGAATTATTTCACATATTGCCAGTTCCTCATGCTGGTAAATTGTTGTTGCTACAAAGTGGCCTGCCAAACTTATGGGGCAACGTAACGTTACCAGTATTAATAAACAGGTTGAAAACGCGATCTACTGTCCTTGGCAAAACAAACAAATCGACAGCAACTCTGGTTGAAGACCGGTTATAAAATAATTTCTGCCACACAATCCCCCCTCTTATATCGTCTGAATACGGCTTAGGCATTTTACAACAAAAATATCTCAACTAAGCAATAACCTTGAAGCAATTTTGCAGCGTTTGCATGCGTAATTAGATATGACACGTGATGGAAATATGTGGTCACATGTCACAACTATTTCTATATATGTATATATTTTCGGACAACCTTTCCTAGATCCACTATATATATATATATATATATATATATATATATATATATATATATATATATATATATATATATATAATATATATATATATATATATATATATATATATATATATATATATATATACACCCATTTGCAAAAACGTTGGCTCCTGATAGATAGATAGATAGATAGATAGAGACTCGAAATCTAATTAGAATTGCATGTGTTGTGTAATATGATTGAAATCCCATGCAAATCTAGTCATATGCATTTCTAATTGGACTTCGAGTATCTATCTATCTATCTATCTGCGGCCAACGTTTTTATATATATATATATATATATATATATATATATATATATATATATATATATATATATATTAAAAAGCCAGGACTTTATTATGGATTTCAAAATTCTATAAAGCTCAAAATCTTTTATTTTTGGCGACAAGTCAATTGTAATCTAAATCCAAGCTTCTCTCAGTGCTGCCATCTTGTTTTCAACAATCTAGAGCATGCTTAGACAAACTGCACCTGCTGTCTGCGATGTACAAGTTTTCTATTATTACAAGACTCATCTAAAGACAGCAAATACCATGGGTGAATATTGTGCAAGGTTCGCATATTGGCAAATTACCATTTTGTTTTAGCAAAAGTTAGTGAGGTTGAATCCTGTGATAGCAATCATAGCATCACAGGTGTATTCATGGAACTTACATATAGTTTTCGCGAGACATCAAGTCAAAGATTCTCAAACATGCCTGCTTGTTGTTTATTGATGTCTTAACGCCATGCACGTGTATTACGCAATCCATGTTATTCGACCTATTGTTACATAATCAAGCTTTCTCCAATTACATAAGAAGGATGCAACTCATGTGATACCATGCTTGCGATCGATATTGTTTACATGGCGTCATGGCTTATACTTACATATAGGCATTCCCAAGGCAAGGTCATTCGACACTGTGCAAAACATTGAATAAATCCCGGCCTTTCCAATATCCCTCGTGAACAAGAAGGTTACGAACGTAACTCCGGCAAATACAATGCATTTCGATAGGGTCACGACGAACACAAACATCCATTTTAGCTTCGAGAAATCGATCGTAGCAATAGCCCGAAAAATAAACGCAGGCAATGTGGGAAATATGGCGAACTTACTTAATCCCTTCGCTTCTGTTACAGAAATAACGCCCAGACGTCCTGCAATATAGCCCAAAATTATCACAGCAAATACACGAATCAAGGCAGGGTACAAGTGATCAAATGACGCACTGCCAACTCCTGTCGAATTTTGGCCGTGTTCTGAAGAGTTTCCATATGAAAGCAAGGTTTCCATTTTGATAGATTTCTCATATATTAAATGACGGCATCTTACTTACACGGCATCTGTAGTACAATTAAGTATTAATATTTCGTCTAGAACAATAACAAGTCCAATCCAAATAAAACACGTCGAGCTCGATAATGTCACTCTACCAATATTATTAAAAGCAGACGTCACAAACTCTGAAAACAAATTTGGTTACCAGTTAGATCACGTCCCATGGGCGTTATTTCTTCCTATACTTTTCAAGAAATTTTAAAAATAGAACCAGAGAAATTGCCACTGACCTCCAGCAAATGTTCAAGTCCAGTCCAGTCCAGTCATATATCCATGAGTCCAATAGCTGCACTCCAGTTTGTCCAGTTGTCTTTGTCGCCAGTGCTTCCAACTTTAAAATAAAATTTCTCATATAAATGCTCTAAATTTCTTACATTTAATTTATCATTTTCTTTACATGTTTTACATTTCATCGGAGTTTCGCCAACCAGTTGGCAGCGAGCTTGTAGCAAACAAGTTACAAAGGTTTTAATTATTCTAAGACAAAATAGCATCCAGCTTGTTCATTAAGGTTGTCCATTCGAAACATTAACTTTACACTCGGGCAGAACGCGCAGAATGGTTATATCGCTTGTTTAGACCCGTTGAAACTTGAAGAATGGCTAAACCGATCGATATTAATTTTTCGCAACAGGAACATACTTGCTCGAGGAGCAGTTGGGCCGACTTGAAGAACCCTTAGCCTTTTATAGATGACATAAAGACAGTCTTTGCTTGCGCGCAAAGAGTTCAAGGTCCGGAGTTTTGACGGCCCAATAGTTTGTTAAACAAAATTGTAAAAAAGCTGCGGGTAGACGGTACCACCCGTGAGGACGTTTTCAAGTCGAATACGCTAATTAATCACATATGTATGTACCAAAAAAGACAAAGTATACACACACGACGTTTTGAGGAAGGTTTTCAAAACTTTGACTTCCTACCCGCAGGAAGGTTGAACTCATTTTTGTTTTCACACGTACTAACTTCATCCGTTTGCGCCACTTTACACTTTTTTCATTTTCAGTTTTCGTACAGATTAAATAGAGATTGATGAAATTTGGACTGCATAAATGCCCCAAAATTGCGCGTCGTGTAAAGCGGGCTTAAGTCTAGAGTCGCAGCACAAAAACGTTTGAGGCCGAAATCGCCTACACTGCAAGAAATTCCGTTACAAAAATGGACAGCCAAGGCCCAAGAGCATGTGATGAATTTAGGTTATGCCTCCCCCCTGGCTCCAATAAATATCATAGTCTTACCTTCTTCGTCTGAAGTGTTCTGTGCAGTAATAATAGTATGAACATCCACTGATCCACAATTAACCGAACAAGAGCAAATATTTTGTTCGTATTTATGTAAATAGATATGATTGTTATATACCACTTGTCAAAGTTTGGTGTTCGTAGCGTTTCATTGGTCGAATGCGAATCACGCGAGAGTGACGAAATTTTGATGTCGCCCGGGCGACCCCGTGCAGAGTGAGATAACGTGTTATCTCATGGGAAATAACAACTTTAATCACGTGCGGCGCACCTGGACATGCGACCTTTAGACTGTTTATCCATTTGAAATTATATCTTCCATGAATAGATATTTCTTTGTTTAACTTGTAGTTTTGTTCTTCTTTGACAAGTGGTATAAAAACCTTGCCCGTGTTTCGTAAAAACGAGGAATGTCGCAGATAATACTGATAGATATAGCCTATAGGCCTATCTTTCGTGCTGAGTTGACTAGGATTTAACTATGCAAAATATAGTGGAAGAGTTTTACGCAACCAGCCTAGCCCTAAGTCGTAATTTCAGCTTGGTTGGTCGTGTCGAGCTTTTTGCCACGCGACATACATACGTTTACGTCACTAGTGCCGTGAACTTCTATGAAGAATGTGTTATTATAAACTCGGAAAAACCTGCAAGTTTATAATAATATAGTTTGGCCATTTGTTTTTGCTGACGCCGTGATAGCCATTGCCATTGGTGTACTTTCTGTATGTGTATACTGACCAGGTTCTGAAAAACATGAAGATTGCTAGCACCGAAGGGCTAAAGAAGGTCGCCTAACATGTCTTTACCTGCACCCTGTACTTCCGGTTTCCATTAATTCCCTTTGTTTATACTTCGCGTCTTGTTTTTTGAAGATTCTAAGTATACTACCAACATACCTGAGTATAGCAGTTTGCAAATCAAGATTATGTACAAGATTGTTAGTCTTCAGCTAAGATTTTTAAGTTTACCGAAGTCAGTTCAAGAATTACAACAAAGAGGCCTTTTGCGAGGACATATCTAATGCTCCATGGTCCGTCATTAACAACGTTAATGATGTCAATGACAGTTTGAATGCTTCAGTTTGATGTGTTATTTAATGGGATTCTTGATCATCATGCACCAGTCAGAAAAGTTAAAGTAAGAGTTCGTCCAAATCCCTTCGTAACTGAAAGGAAATTCGAGAGCTGATGAGAACAAGAGATCATTGGAGAAAAATAACTCGGAAAACTGGTGATCCTGCTGTGTGGTCTACCTATACAGGGAATAAAAACAGGATGTTAAACGCAAACTACGTCAAGCACAAAGAGCGTATGTAGAGCAGAAAATAAAGAAAACCCCAAAGGACACAGGTAATATGTGGAAAGTTATTCGAACATGTGTTCCCGAGAAAACCTCTGGAAAGAAGTCCTTTAGTGATGATGATAAATCAGTGGCAAATAACTTTAATGAGTTTTTCACAGCTGTCGGTTCAAACACCGTCATGAAAATTAAATCACTTGCCGAAGAAAATAATTACACTCTCTCCCAATTACCAATTGTTCCAACTAGTTACACCGTGTCGGATCAGTTCACTTTTGAACCTGTGGAATGTTCCTTAGAAGAATATATTGTGAAGTCAATGCCTGATAACAAGGCACCTGGAATAGATAAAGTACCTATTCGCGTTATCAAAGACTGTCTTCCCGTTATTGCACCATGGATCACCTCCATCATAAACAACTCGCTTGTCAACAACATTTTTCCAAGTGCTTGGAAAATTTCTGAAGTAATTCCCATCCTGAAAGAAAGTGACCATGAGCAAGCCAACAACAACAGACCAATTTCCCTCCTTCCCGTTCTATCTAAGGCATGCGAGAGAGTAGCACTCAATCAACTAACCTCCTACCTAACCTTTAATCATCGCGCCTGGCACTCAACGGAAACCTCCCTCATCCATTCTACCGACTCCATTCTCAAAGCAATAAATTAAAAGAAAGTCTAGGCAGTTATTCTTTTGGACATGAGTAAAGCTTTTGACAGCATAAAAGTTACCTGAGTGAAAGATATCAAGCAGTACGCATAAATTCTACTCTATCTGAGAAACTGCCAGTGACTAGTGGTGTCCCACAAGGAAGTATTCTCGGTCCGCTGCTGTTCAGTATTTATGTCAATGATCTACCGTCTGCCACTAAAACGTCTTCCTCTGAATCATACGTTGACGATACTAAACTCCTTCTGCATGTCCTTCAATATCAATGACACAAATGCTGCTCTGGTTGATCTGAATGAGGACTTAATTAGAATTAGAAATTGGTGTTTTGACAACCTGCTCTTGCTGAACCCAGGCAAGACCAAATTGATGGTGTACGGAAGTCGTCAAATGCTTGCTATAGCCGGCTACCTGAATTTAGACTCTCACTACTCGGTAAAGAACTAACGCCTGCTGCAACAGTCAAAGATCTTGGAGTTACGTTTGACCCAATCCTCTCTTTCGACAATCATATCCTTTCCACCGTCTCGTCCTGCAAGTCAAGTCTCTGTCAGATAAATCGTGCTAAACACGCCCTTAATAAAAATCTGTTAATAACTGAGTGTGATCAATGCTCTGGTCTTCAGCAAGCTTTACTATTGTTCCTCACTTTGGTCAAACACTTCCTGCAGTAACCTATCCCGTCTTCAAGGAGTCCAGAATTTTCTCATAACCAGAATAGTTCTCAAATTCAAGACATTTTCACACTCAGCACATTGTAAAAAACTTTCGGAAAAAATATCTATTGAACAAAATTTCTATTGAAGAAAATAAGAAAAAAAGATAATAGATATGTTTTGATGCACATAAAATTTCCATTTTGGTTGCTTGCTGAGTTTTTGTATTAAAAGCGCGTCGTTGTCAAATTGATCTCAATGCAAATTTAATAAAACACTGAAATTACTTCGTTTGTACGATTTTTATTATGCACTCGTTGTGAAGGATCGCAAACTCACTCGTTCGCTACGCTCACTCGCGTTCGTTTTGCTCACTCGTTCCTTCACAACTCGTGCATAAATCGTACGCACTCGCCAACTATGAAATAATCTATATTTATTATATCATCCAGGATCCCACGTTTACTTTACTGCTGCTGCGCCCTCATGCAGGGGAATATTTCTTCAGAACCGAACAACTCCAACCGAACCTGTTGCTAAGTATATAGCTATAGATTCCCCAATTTTTTTTGCTTTTTAAAAAAAATAATGTTTGTGATTATCTTAACACGCGTCAAACACCCGTTTGGGTACAAGATATCATAAAGAAACAATACTATTGCAAAATCATTGTTTTCTTAAAATATTAATAATCATTTTAAAATATTTGGAACCTTTGTTCAAATTTTAGAATTACACCCTGCCCAAATCAAGGCCATGAAGGAATAAAACATATATATATAATATCTGTGCAATTATGTCTCGAACAATAATACCCTTTAATGTCAATACACTTAGTTTATATACATCCTGACGTCATTAGTTAATATTAGTAATAAGTAATATTAGTGAGTTACTATTTGTTATATCACACTACATCTCCCTTTTCTTCGATTTGTCAACATAATGTCAACGACTCTATTGTTCTGTCTTTATAGCTAATGCCATACGGTACTTAGTTATTCTAGTCCCAGATTCTCTCTGGCCTTTAAAGAAAGTGTTTTTATTCTTTTCGGTCTGTTGTTCGTATTCGTATTAGGTGAGTCTTCCTGTTTCTCTTGTTTCTTCTCGACTTGCTGAATTATGGTGTGATTTGGAATACTACGCAGATGTGCTCTGTTCCTTCTTATAACCGTCATAGGGGTGTCAACCAAATATGATCTTGGTTTGTTGGATGTTTTGATTACTGTTCCTGTGCAGTTCATATCTGTCACATAAACTGTTGTTCCTGATGTCAAAGGCTTCATGGTTCGAGCATTATGGCGATTATCAAAATTCTTCTTCTGTTTCAATCTATATTCTTCTTCCTTTGCTTTAAAAAGTTCCTGGTTTGGTAGCTGCGGTGTGAGCTGTTGTGCCATTATTGGTATTGTTGATTTTATCTTTCTCCCCATGAGGAGTTCCGCTGGCGAATATCCACTGGCTAATGGTGTTGATCTATATGCTAACATTGCTTTTGCGGGATCTTTTTCTTTCTTCAAGATATTTTTCACTGTCCTTACTGCCCGTTCTACCTCTCCATTCGCTTGAGGATAGCGAGGACTACTGGTACTATGCTTGAATCCCCATTCTTTTGCAAACTGGGCGAACTCGTCACTGTGGTATTGGGGCCCATTGTCGGAACGTACTTCGTCCGGAATCCCGTGCCTGGCGAAGATGGCTTTTAAAGCTTGTATTATCTTTGTTGAACTTGTATCTTTGGTTAGTGCCACAACTTCAACATATCGAGAATAATAATCTACCACTAGTAGATAGGTCACCTTTTCTAGAATAAACAAGTCTGTTGCGATCAGTTGCCATGGTCTTGCTGGGAGTGGCGTTGGGATCAACGGTTCTGCATGCTGTTGTCTGTGCTTGCTGCAAGGTGTACAATTTTCAACCATAGTTTTGATTTGTGCACTAAGTCCTGGCCACCAAACGGATATCTTGGCTCGTTCTCTGCATTTGTTAATCCCTTGGTGACCTTGGTGTATTTGGGCAAGGGTTTGGCGTTGAAGATTGGATGGAATAACTAGTCTTGTTCCTTTTAGTAATAACCCGTCAACAATTGTGAGTTCTCCTTGTACTGACCAGTATGGTTTTACTGCCCGGGTGACATGATCCTTGTCTGGCCATTGATCCATGCAGTACTTCTTCACTTCTTTGCATACCTCATCCTCATCTTGAGCTTGTTGTATTTGTTTCAATCTTGGATTTGATGCCGGGAGTGCTTCCATTACACTGGAGATGTAGGTATTCATTTCCTGTTCTGCTATCGTTGGTTGAGCTGTGCCCTCAGGTATTTTTCTTGACAAAGTGTCAGCTGTGTAATGTAGTTTTCCAGGTACGTGTCGGACTTCCTTGATGTGAAATCTCATGAGTCTCATCTTATAGCGTTGTAGCCTTGGAGGTAGTTTGTCGACCGTGTGTTGGGTGAGCAGGGGAACTAGTGGTTTATGGTCAGTTTCTATTATTATCGCCTTTCCAATGATGTAGTTGCTTGACCGCTCACATGCCCAAGTAACGGCCAGAGCCTCTTTTTCTATTTGCGCATACTTAGTCTCAGTTGCTGTCATCGATCTTGAAATGAATGATACAGGTTTCCAGTTACCTGGCTCTTCTTCTTGTAGAACTACCGCTCCTAGGCCATATGACGAAGCATCAGCTGCTATTTTTGTTTCTTTCTTGGGGTCATACAAGGTCAGAACTGGTGCTGATGTCAGGGTTTTCTTGATTTTGTCAAAGGCATTTTGTTGTGGAGGTCCCCATGTCCATGCGGTATTTTTGACCAGCAGCTCGCGAATGGGTTTTGTCATGACGGCGAGATTGGTGGTAAATTTGCTGAATTGATTCACCATGCCAAGGAAGGAACGGACTTCATGTATGTTAGTGGGTGGTGGCATTTTCAGGATTGCTTGTATTTTCTCTGGGTCTGGTTTTATGCCGTCAGATCCAACAATCTGACCTAAAAATTTCACGCTGGGGACGTTGAATACACACTTTTCAGGATTAAGGGTGACGTTGGCATCGCCGAGTCGTTGGAGTACCTTTTCCAATCTTTGGTCGTGCTCCTCTTGCGTTGTACCATATATTAGAACATCATCAATGTTGCATTCGACACCTTCTAAACCTTCGAGGATTTGAGACATACACTTCTGAAACTTTTCAGAGCCTGAGCTTATTCCAAAGGGAAGAACGTTAAAACAATATCGTCCCCATGGGGTGATGAACGTTGTGAGAGGTCTTGCTTGTTCTGACAGTCTAATTTGCCAGAATCCCGAGTTCGCATCTAATTTTGAGAAATGCCGAGCACCAGCAAGGTTTGCAAATGTTGTTTCGGGTATTGGTAGTGGGTGGTTTTCGCGTTGTACGTACTGGTTGAGCTTCGTGAGATCTACACATATCCGAACCTTTCCATTGCTTTTTGGTGTTACCACCATCGGGGCGCACCATTCAGTCGGATCTTCAATTCGCGATATCACTCCGTTTTGTTCCATTCTTTTTATTTCTCGTTGAGTTTCTTTGCGGAGTGGAATCGGTACTTGTCGTGGTACTGTGATGGCAAACGGGATTGCATCTTGAGTGATTTGATATCGTATTCTAGGTTTTTAATTTGTCCGAGACCAGTGAAGAGATTGGGATGGTTTTCTCTTATGGTTTTTTCTGTTTCAACCTTGTTTAGTACATCCACGTTGACTTGATTGATTAGCTTCAGATTCTGGGATGCTTGCCTTCCGAGTAGTGGTCTTTCTAAGCCTTTCACCACAAATATTTCTTCTGTCGTTGTCTGGTCCTCGTGTCGGAGCTGCGATGCGAATGTTCCAATACAGTTCAGCTTGTGCTTACATGGACCCATTAGGACTTTTCTAGTCGAGTCGAGCTTTAGAGGTAGTTTTCGTTGTTGAAACGTTCTTAATGGTATCACTGTGACATCAGCGCCACTGTCGATTTTGAATCTGATGTTTTCTTCATTTACTTTGATGTCTGCAGTCCACGGTTTACTGCTAGTGTTGCCGACAGTGTCTAGGTGTAATATTTCACCCAAGAAATATGCCTCATCTTCTGACAAATTCTCCTCCCTGTTTTCTTGCCTGAAATTTAATTCGTTTATTTCTTGCTTTCGGAATTGTTGGCCCGTTTGGCTTCGACATGCCTTTGCCCAATGTCCCTTCTTTGAACAATTATGACATATGGACTCACTTGCTGGGCACAATTGCCTGGAGTGTGGTGTTCCGAGACAACGTGAACATTTGGGCTTGTAAAATTTGCTGTGTTTACTAGTACTCTGAGTAAACTGACCTTCACGGGAACGTTGTTGCTTTTTATTCTTAGATATGTTGTCGATATTGTGCTCGCTATTTCCTGTGACTTTTTCTCCGTGAATAACACTTTGTTGCTTTTTGATTTCCTCGCTTTGTCTTGCTTGAGACATAGCTTTCTCTAGAGTTAGATTTGGATCTAATTGTAACTTCTCCGATAGTTTTTTGTTTTGCAGTCCAACTACGATACGATCTCGTATCAATTGATCTTTCAGTACCCCAAATTCACAGTACTTGGCGAGGCAATGTAGGTCGGTAATGAAGCTTTCCACGGGTTCGTTTTCGTCTTGAGCTCGAACATTAAATTTCGCTCTTTCGAAAATCACATTTCGTTTAGTGATGAAGTGATTTTCGAACTTGTTTCGAACTGTTTCGTAGCTTTTGATCTCCTCGTCGCTGAGGCCAAACGATGTGATTATATCGTCTGCCTCATCGCCCATAGTGTAGATAAGCGCATTGACTTGTTTCTCTTCGTCTTTCTTGTCGAGTTCTGTAGCAATTCTAAACCGCTCAAATCGGCGAATCCATCGGGTCCATTCCGAGGATTGAAAGCTAAACTTTGACGGCGGTGTTATTTGATACGTTGTAAAACTTCGCACAATATTTTCTTCGTCGTTGTTGCTTGATTCTGCCATATTTCTAAATAGCTAATTTTGTATATACCCAGCGCTGCCACCATGTGCAATTATGTCTCGAACAATAATACCCTTTAATGTCAATACACTTAGTTTATATACATCCTGACGTCATTAGTTAATATTAGTAATAAGTAATATTAGTGAGTTACTATTTGTTATATCACACTACAATATCGATCTAACTTTCTTCCATTTTTAAAATCATCAAATATCGTATTTAAAATTCTGTCTTGATGTCAGCAATATAGTTTTGGTTACGTTTATTACGGTCCCAATTAAATCTTCTAAGTCTATATGAGATTTTTGTCAAGTTTATGATAACTATATTTGAAATAACCGAAATTCCTTAAACGACATGTTGTTAAACGACAGGCCGGACGACGGTTTCAACGCATGCATTTGCATGTTGGGAACTATTGATGTTTAGGGATGAATAACGATTTCTTCTATCTGAACATCCTAAATGCCTTTTTATGGAAATTTGCTATACATGCACTTTGTTGGAAGCCATCACAACTCTCCAGATTACCATATTTAGCAAGCATTAATGGTTTTGCTTAAATACACTGAATTAAAACACACCCGCGGCAAAGCTTATTGCATGCCAAGGAGAACAGGAATTGGGTCATTGTCACAAAGAAAAATATATATCGAACAACTTCCGCTCTCCCGATGCATGCATTCTTCTTTATTCCTTAAATTTTTAACTGCATGCGCTCAACCAATAGTTTGTAAATTTAAAAACATTACAAGTGAGTTGCGAGAAGCAATCCATTCTATACACAATATGCATGCATTCATACATTTTTCGTTTCAAAAAATACAAATTTTTATATACGAGCAACAAAAAAATGAAATAGAAAAGTCTTCCTATTTGAAACGCATATATATATTAAATGGAAATATAGTGGAAGATATATATATATATATCATACAAATCGTTCGTATTCAAAGAATTTAACGTTTTGAAAGAAGATACATATCGTCGGTAATAATAATACACCGCAGTGCATGTTAGTTTCTTAAATATGTTCTTTCCAAATGTCAAAAAATCGTTTACTATATATATAACCTATATTATTATACATTATAGTAGTAAAAGCAATTTGATTGGCTAACAGTTGGTTATCTGCATGCTAGCAGATAAGTGAGTTATCTGCAAGTGAGCCTGCAGTGGTTAACAAGCGGTATTTATTTGAATGTATTTATGTATTAATATAATTGATTTATTTTTGGATGTTGCTATTAAATAAGGTTTTTCATTCGTTAATACTATGTTTACTATTCTTCAAATGTATAATAAAACAATTATTGAATTCGGTTTTTGTGATATGCATGCAGAGTCTTCGGCTCTGCTGATAACGCTTACCTCGACCTTGATAACTCGGCATATCACAAAAACCTCATCCAATAATTGTTTATAATTATATATAAGCAATCATCAATATAATTCATATACTAGATTTCTTTAAGTAATGTACGAAGTGCGATTTGAACAGTTTCAGCCGTTATAATTTGTAAGAATAAACTAGAAATAAAACTAGGTTTAGTCCTGCGAGATTTTGCACTACGAAGTAGCTATATATAGCGAAAATAATTCCAGATGTTCTGGAAGTTTTATACAGACATGCTACAATATATCCAGCAGTCAGCACTAATATTAATACTCAAAATACCGTGTTATTTTGTTTATAAAATTCTAACAATATTGACCCGATTTATACTAAGGAGACCGATTGACGGACATGCAAATGCATGATCCGTCTGACAGATAATTCGTTTGAGTATAAACGCGAGACAAACTATATGTAGACAAACTATGTAGAATCGCGCGTTTAGAAAATGCACGGAAAATGATGGATGTTCCGTCTGCCTGTGTTTATTCACAGACAAATTAGAAAACGAAGCTAGCTATCTTTTGCTTAAATCGAACAATTAAGTCTACATATAATCATCGGAATATAATGATACTAACTTTCCAGACAAAGCTCTCTCTCTAACTCTCAGGACGAGACATCAGCAGTTGTTATGCCATATACATTTGATGCGAACCATAAAACAGTCGAATTATTTTGACTGCATGTTCTTAATGAGAAATAATGAATACAAGAATATAGAACTGAGAACACATGCATGCATAAGATTCATGTTTATTTGAACTGAAGAGTGTTATAGACAATCAAGCAAATCTGATTGGAGGATATTGATAAGCAAATATACTCTGGGACAATGTTCACAAAATACGTGGCGCTCTTTTAGCCATTTTTGACACTCCTTTGCGACGCTGCATGCGTGATGTTACCAATATTCTCCAATATTGTACGAAGTTTTGAAACGTGATGATAGATAAAGCCTATTACGGAGTTTAGATTCGCCGAAGGGAATATTCAGGAAGCGGGCATTGCCAGAAAGCGGGATATATATACTGAACATTTGTGCATTAAATATTTTGTTATCCTAGATGGTAAAATAACGGCAAATGCCTAGCTGATCTATACGCCAGATGACCAAGGTATTTGCGCAAAATATAGCGTGTTAAAGTTGGATTACCTTTTTGTACTCACTTTGTATCTCGCACGTACTGATGTACGTGTATATACAGACCAGGTTCCAAAAAACGTGAGACGGGCTATAAAAAAATTGGCGCCGAGCTCTTCAACCGCATCCTCTACTTTCCGCTTTCCATTCTCTTTTTTCATTCGGGTCTATTTTTTTTACTGATTAAACTGTCGTATATTATGCAGAACGTGCATGGGTTCTTCAACAGAGCTTCCTGTTTTTCGAAGATTTTTTATATAGCTACCGTCTACAAACATAAGTAGAAGTTTGTCGTTTAGACTTTAGCCCTCATGCAGTTAAGGTTTTGTAGCTACAGAAATGATGGTTTATTACTTGAATTTCTCAATTAATGAAGCTGCAAGTGACATAAACTGCCTTTTATATAACGCTGCTGCATGCAGAATAACGTTATTATACGTGTATACTTCTAGTAACGTGAGATCTTACGTGATATCAATCATATTATAACCTCCGCTCTCAAACCCGCGACTGCATGTATGACGTGAAACAAAGATGAACCAATCTAGCTAAAAGTCGTTGAAAAGTAACCACCTGGGTGGGGGTTGTTGTTTCCCAATTAAGCTGCCATTTTAAATGGAGGATAAATCTTAATTATTATATTATTCAGCATCCCACATTTACTCGAAAAAATTACTGCTTCTAAACCCTCGAAGGAATATATTTCTTCAGAACTGGCAAAAAATAATCGCCAATATTTTTTAAACCACGAATATTTGTAAGTATCGTAGGCGTGTGTTTAAACACCCGTCTGGATATAAAGAAACAATGATGTTTTAAATTATTGCTTCCTTAAATATAAATTTTAAAATATTTGGACCGTTTGTTCAAATTTTAGCAATTCAAGTATGAATAACCTTTATCTAACCTAACGCGGCCTCAAGTAAATCTTCTGAATCTTTTACTATACGTTTTTGCCAAATTTAACTATTTGAAATACCTCAAATTCCTCAAATAACATGCTCCAGCTGTTCCCCCCTATCTTCCATGTACATGCTAAAGGAAAATACTATATTTTAAACTATACGCGTCACCTCCATGCAGGACTTACTACGTTTGGAAACTATTGATGTGGAGTTATGCATGCAGGGACGATTTTTTTTATAAAACATCCCAAACGCCTTTTTTATGGAAAGTTGTTATGCATTAGTGTTACAAACTGGCCCGTCATAACTTTCTAGATTACTATATTTAACTATGGGTTGTTTTGATGAAACACACTGAATAAAGCTTTGCCAATATAGGAACAGGAATTGGGTCATTGTCACAAAGAAAAATATCGAACTTCCGCCCTTCATTCTATAGATTCTTTATTCCTGAAGGGCCTGTTCATATGGGCAAAAGTTTCCGACAAACCAATTTTTTTTTCTGTTCATATGACGAAACTTTATCCCGCATTCCCCCCGCATACCGGGTAAAGTTTTTAGCTGTGACGTTATACTCTATTCCTGGTTGGCCGAAGTTGGCGAGAAATTAGGAATTCGACAAAGTTGTTGACCAGGCCCAGAGGTTCACTTTTAACTGTAGTTATAAAGACAAAATTGGGCAATTCTGAGTTATTGTATATTTCAATTGTATTTATTTGCGCGCAATAATTGTAAATTAATTATTTATATAAGTCCTCGTAAGAAGCAATTCTATGTGTTTACTATAGCATCGTACAAATGCATATAGTAATTATACCTTATTTCGTTTCGAAAAAATACTAGATTTATGAAAATGAAAAAAAAACTCTTCCTATTTGCCTAATAAAATGTATAGTGCAACATATATTATACAAATTAATTTCGTTCAAAATTTTTTTTTTTTCGTATTTAATATATCCTCGATAATAATTATACAGCAGTTTTAGCGAGTTCTTTCTTTCGTTCTTGTATACGTCGTTTACATATAAGCAATCATTAATACCGGTACCGGGTTTCTTTCAGTATAGCTATGAAGAATTTGAACAGTTCCAGCCGTTGATGTAAAGACCATAAATTAGGAATAAAACTAGGCTTAGTTAATTCTGCATGCGAGATTTTGCACTAGGAGAGTATGAAAAAAAAACTTAGATAAGAGCTATTGGAAAAAAGCCAAAAATGTCATGCATGCATATTAAATTTTTTTTAGGCCGTGCATGTTTAGTCTGTATACTAAAATAACACTAAAATACAGACTTCAGTCATTTGCATTTCGTCGTAATCATATAGAAGTTCAGAAAAACATAAAATGTCGTGGTAAGAAAAGTTTCACATATAGAGCCAGCTGCGACGAGAGAAATCTGCACAGGAAGGGAACACTCGAAGCGGACGCCGATAAATCGCCCACAACTCCATAAATTAGCATGCAGTAAGCATTGTTTAGTTACTATCTCAAAATACCGTGATGTTTTTGCCTATAAATTTTAACAAAATAAACTCTATAATCCTATATAGTCATCGTCACGCATATAGAGATACTATAACTTTCCAGACAATTAGGCTCTCGGGACGAAACATTGGGAAGTGTTTTTGTCTATTTTAGGCATTTGTTATGCCATATACACTTGATGCAAAGTTGCTTGAAGACGCTGCTCCCTAGTATAATATTGGACTGCATGAAAATGTATTAACTTAATTATAATAGTATACCATTTAAAAGAATGCACAATTTGGTTTTTTGCCCTTACTATTACATTTTCATGGCAAGATCTTATTGTATTGTTATTATAATATACATTTTGAGATGATCGCTTTCAAAGGTTTTTTTGTCCACCGCTGAACTATAACTTATTCACTCCATTTCATGTTTCGAATGCTGCATGTTTACATAAATACCTTCAACTGCTTATCGTTCAGCTATGTAATCAGTTTGAGACCGGGCTCAAAATGCAAACGAAGTTTTCCGTTTTGTGGTCATAGCCGTTTGCCGTAAACGTCAATCTTTTAAAAGGTGTCTTATATTCACCGCAGCCACAGGTAAAAGAAATGTCAGGAAGAGCTAGAACAGGCGAGGCGAGAACCTTAAGAGAGGTGTTAAATATATAATCGCGGTGGAAAAAAATATGCTCATGCATGTCGTGACCTTGTATAGCCTGCCTTTCGCCTTCGGTATCCTGTAGGCTTGACCCGAATGTGAAACCAGATAATTATATATGTGAATTACTTGCTAAAAAAGTCTTTGCATTTTTGGAGTGGTTGGGGGTGAAAGCAAATATAATTAATATGATTGATGCTAAACGAGCATATATATATATATATATATATATATATATATATATATATATATATATATATATATATATATATATATATTATATATCACGCGTTAAATCAGTTTGAAGCAGGTCTAGATTTCTACTCGATGCTGAGACAACACGACAAACTATTTCTAGCGTTTACACACTGCTTGAATATAGACCCATTTATACAACAAACTATATTTTTTGACCGCACTGTTAATTTCACGGTGGTAATTAGCACCAAAATAATGTGCACACGAGGTGCCAAAAATGCGCACAATTATACACGGATTTTTGGCACGTGCTCGTGGTTTGGGTGCTATTTTTGCGTAATACACGACATTTATTTAAAAATTGCATGCGTGTTTGTTTATGATTTTATGCGGAGTATTTTATTATGATTTTATGCGGAAGACAATCTCTATAAGACAAGTGGTTTCAGAAGCTTCCCCGGAAGACGATTCTTTTATCTATCCTTCCATAATTATACGATATCAAATAATCCAAAACACACCCATGATTGAATGTATATCTAAAACATAAATACGAATTACAGATATATTTTTCTTCCAGTTTACGGTATATATGCTAACCATAGTGGGGTAATGCTTAGGTACTATGGCTATAGGAACGCGCTAATGAACTGATATTATCAGTGCGTCTGAAAAAACGGAACAGTGTTTATATTGCATTCTGAATGATATTTAATGGCTGTCAATTGCTGCATATATCAAACAACATGCATCGAGCGTTTAATACATGCACCAATAGATTATATTCTGTTTTTAAGACAGCCAGTATTATAGAGTATATTAGAGCTCAAAATATAGAAATGAAATTGGAATGCGTGTTTTACAAACCATTAAAGGAATTGCACTGATGCCGCGTAAACTGCTATATCATCAAAACCGTGGGTAAATCATGCAGTCGCAAATTAAAGAAAGTTATACATTCTTATTGCCGTGACATGGCACAAATTTTCTTTTTTGTATTTACGATTAAAATAATCGAATTGTCAAAAGATTCTTGGCGGTAGGAGATGAATTGCATATAAAATCGTAATATCGAGAGGTACACCGAGAAGATAAAAGTAAACCTAATGGAAGTCCTGCATGGTTAGTATATACCAGTTAAATCTGTTAAGCTATCCCCAAATTCTGCTATTATAGTGGACTATCTGTACAGTATGAAAAAAAAATACACAAAAAAATGCACAAAGCACGTATCACTAGTGACGTAGGGCTAACCACAACCGATGCAATATTCCACATTTTTTGAAGTGCTTCCGACTTGAAAGGTGTGTAGCTATGTTAGCGGAAATGTGGTAACTTCCACTGCTCGAACAGTGAGAATAAAAGCGTCCGAAATGACAGAACTTATAACAGATTCGTCAGCTCTAACACATGCAAGGAGAAATCATAAGCACGAAAGACAGGCTCGGAGAATAAAATCGTACAGTGAAAGACGAGCAATATATAATATTTTGTGGCGAAGGTTTGTGATGTTTATTTCACGAAGATTCTAGTATACATAAATTGTGTATATGCATGCTTGCTATAGTATAAGTTCAACGTTCAGTCTTTTTCAATTCCATATATCAGCACTTAACAGACACACCGAGAACTGTTAGGCTATATGAAATTTTTGTTCATTCTATGCTGCTTTTTAGATGAAATTACATCTCGGTTTGCTGATTTTGTGTTTCGTGGCAGTTCCCTCGAAATCAGATGATCCAGAGCCTCCTCCACCTCCATCGGTTCCTATTGGTCCATTTGATTTAACAGGTATAGCTATGGATTTTTACACTCCTGGCAATCGCCATCGCCTGATTTTAATAACAAATTTGCCCCGGAATCAAAATTGCATTACGTGATACTATTTACTAAAAAAACTGAAGATATCGCGTTGCCTGAATTTCTGTGTAAAGCATTATGCAAAAATATTGTTGATGCAAAATATCATAACATCAGGCTATAGCGACTATCACAATAACAAACTTGAGATGTTCTCAAAACCTAATTTGCAAAATTATTAAAAGATCGTGCTACTTTTGTCGTACTGAACAGGAAACAAAGGAGGTTTCGTGAGTCCACCCGGAGACGATAAGGAAGGGGATTATGATAGAAAGAATTTGTTTCAAGGCGATATTAAAGATTCAGGACGCCGTAAAACAGGAGGGAAGATCGGAGAGGCAGGAACTAGAACACCTTGGCCGAACGGAATTATTCCATATGTCTTTGACTGCAGCGTTGGTAAGCATAAACAGTTCTCCTAGAATATACGGTTCTGATTCTAAATTTCTTCCATAGAGCTATTAACGAGGTGCGTTTAAATAAACTATAAGGTTCTCATGTCTTGCAGAAAGTATCGAGAGCGCTGTAAGGGCAACAAAAGATGCGATGGCAGAGTGGGAAGGTAGAACTTGTGTCAGATTTGTCAAGAAACAGCCACATCACAAAGTTTATCTCGAGTTCATCAGAGCTGCTGGGTAAGTCATTTTTTCGGCAAAGATGTGCAGAAGTTTCCTTGTATTCTCAGCTCGAATTTCGCTTCAAATTCTTAAACTTTTACCTACATTGCAGTTGCTGGGCAACGTACGTTGGATACAAAGGAAAGAAAACGCAAATTTCAATTGGTAACGGTTGTGACTATAAGCACGTCATGGTTCATGAGTTGGGCCACGTGATCGGTTTCTGGCATGAGCAAAGTCGACCAGATCGGGATCAATATATCACAATCAACAGAGGAAATGTTCATAAAGGTAAGCCATATAGTATTTTGGCTTACTGTACAAACATCAACAGGGGCACCATGCAAAGTTTCTGCACAAACCAGAAGAGGCGTAAAAAAGAAATTCGTTGGGCAGAATTGAATATGTGAATGAACACCTCTTCCCAAATCAAAGTTACGAAGTTCATCTATACTTTACGATATTCAATTCAAATTGGCTTTTTTAATTCAATTCAAAAGTTTCTTCTAAAGGCATAACATATTCTAGAATAATTACTGCTTAAAATGAAGCAGTTAGTAACATTCTCTCGACGAAAGCTTTTAGGTTCAGTTTAAGCTCAAAACGTCCAGATTTTTTTTTCTGTTTTACTTCTTATAGCAGATGCATGTCTACCACATTTTATAACTTTGATTCAAACTGACTTTTTTATCGATTTAATCATTCTAATTTCTTTTTAATCGTCATAATCATTACATTTTACTTTATTGTACTTTATTCCAGCATTATTATACAATTTTGACATCGTTAAAGAACAAGTGAACAACTATGGAGAACCTTACGACTTCGATTCTATCATGCATTACCCTTGGAATGCCTTTGCGATCGACAGAAGACAAAATACAATCTTTCCCATAAACCGACAATATTTGCGTTCAAAGAGACCGTACCAAAAACTCAGTGACTCAGATGTCGCACAGACGAACAAAATGTATCAGTGCGATAGTAAGTTTACATTCTCGTCTTGATATCTGCAAAGATTCTGATTCGTAATAGCTTGCTTGCTGACCAATCAATCAACTGTATGCATATTTCGTTCTTTAGAAATCGCACTTGCTCGGGATGCTAGTTTGAAATTTATCAATGACGAAACTAATGTCAATAATGCAGCTTCGTCACCCGGTGAGTGATCAATATCGTAATAAAAACAATTACATTGTTCTCGAGCTGCTTTTTCGTTTATAGCAGCAGAAATAAAATCATATTCTCGACATTTTGCAATTGAATGATCAATTTGTAGAAAACACTACAAGGTAAACCATTAAAATAATGAACTCTTATATATGCAGGTGGAAAATGTCAAGACAAAAATACGAATTGCCCCAGTTGGGCGAAAGGCAATCAGTGTGACCTGGCACCAGACCCAGTGATAAAAACGTGCCCCGAAAGTTGCGGTATTTGCAAAAAGCCTTGCGCCGATGATTACGATGATTGTAAAGCATGGGCAGAGTATGGGAATTGCTTTAAGGCTGGTGATATAAAGACCGTCAGATTCATGCTCAACTATTGCAGAATATCCTGTGGTGTGTGCAATCCAGGTATACTTATCAATTTTGTTGGTCATAATAATATTCGTTGACTTTATTTATCATGTACCTATTGATTTGATTCAATTGATGAATTCAACGCGACTAAAATCCGACATAAAGACTTGGCCTTATAGAGGTTTAAAACATTCAAGTCTCTTCACATGATATCTGCTTTAGATTCTACAACCAAGGCACCGACCAAAGCTAAACCTGCTACAACGATTAAGCCAGTCACGAAAGGTGAGATTAAACGCCATCATAAAAATTAACATGTATAACAAAAAATTAGGTTGCCTTCCCAGGCTGATTTACTGTAAATTAATGCGAGGTCTTCACTGGCAATGTGTTGACTTACAAAAGAACAAGAAAACTGTAGTGTCAATACGCAAATTCTTACATTTCTATAAATTATTTCATGCGTTGTATTTCGATCGTTTCCATTCATTCAGCTTATTTTTCATGTTCCTATTGCTTAAATTAAATTCGACGCAATAACAAAAACGCCATCACAAAAAATTAGGTTGCCGAACCAGGTTGATTTACGGTAAATTAATGCGAGGTCTTCACTGGCAATAATTTGTTGACTTACAAAAGAACAACAGAAGTGTAGTTTGGATACGCAAATTCGTACATTTCTATAACCAATCAGCTATACATGCTAGTGGATACAAATTTTTAACTCTTTTATTGAAACGTGTAGGCACCATCTCAGTGGCGTAGCCAGCCTGACAATTTAGTCATGCTATGCTAATATTTTGGTGTTCATTGACTGTGAAAACAATGAATTTCTAAAGAAATGAATAATGGTAATAACAGAAAATTTGCATAGCATGACTAAATCGTCAGGCTGGCTACGCCACTGCACCATCTATACGAGTCATCATGCGCCTGGAGTAATTTGTCCCCGTTTTCCTAACTTATTGTCTAAAGGGTGCAAAATCAAAATTCTAATTTACCATTTACTGAAAAACGAGCGAGTTTCGGCACAGAAATAATATTTACTACTCAAAATTTTCACGTTCAAAGTTAAACTCTTATAATTTTAATTTGGTTTTCAGAGGGTGAATGTCTAGACAAACATGAACATTGCGCTAGTTGGGCGAAAGCCGATTATTGCAATTTGTCACCTGATCCAATGTTAACGACGTGCCCGAAAAGCTGCGGGATTTGCGATAAAAAGAAAGATGCTTGCACAGATGGTTATAAAGATTGCGAAGGATGGGCAGAAGGCGGACTTTGCAACAAAAAGGATGACCAACGTGCCGTCAAATTCATGATGACTAATTGCAAAAAATCCTGCCGTGTATGCAATCCAGGTATACTAACATAATTTAAGTTAAATCAGGCGATGCGTCATCCCTATTTTGAAGAATGAAGAATAGGAATATCAAGACTTTTCGAGATTTTCTTGCACACCATCTGCTATGATTCAGTTAAGGAAACCAAGGCAGTGCATGCTGAATCAAATCCTACCATCGATCCCGAGAGCAACGCTCCTTACTGGAGGGTGACAACCAGTCAAAAATCTTGAAGATGATGCCCAAATCTTACTCAGTGGACGCGGATCGCAATATTTATCCACGATCCATACGATCACAAACTAACAATGTTGCCATTAATGTTTTCTAGTGCCTTCAAAAAAACCTAACAAACGACCTACCACCACGTTGCCACCAACGACTACCTTATCACCAACAACAACCTTACCACCAACAACAACCCCAGAGCCCACAACCAAAGCACCAACAACGGTACAAATTATGACCACACCTAAATCTACCACGAAGACACCAACTACAAAGAATGGAATTAGACTACCAACAGGAAAATTCACAGGTAATAATTAATTGCAATTGAGTTGTTTTATATAACACTTTGTCGACATTATTCCAGCTGTTAATTGTGTCAATTTTACAACATATTTAAATGATTTGACGCTACCTTCATCAGCTATATCTAGTATGTCGTATTTTTTAGAGTTAACGAATTCTTGCAACATCTCTACGTTTAAGGGGTATTGTGCAAAGATCGCAGCCAATATTGTCAATCTTGGGCAAAAGATGGAAGGTGTGATACTGATCGTTGGGTGTATGACAACTGCATGTTGAGCTGCAAAAGGTTCTCAATCTGTGACGGAAAAATGATTAAACCTCTTGGTAAGACTTGTGATTTTAATTTTTCAATCTAATTCTTCAAAATTACTGATAATCTCAAAAAAATTTTATTTCGTAGTTAATGAGTGCTGTTCATTGAAATTCCAAAATCCAACTTCATTATACCATTGAAACTGATTCACCTATATATACTACTCAACTATAATACCCCAAAAAACTCTAGCACGTTCATCTTATTGTCCTTTACAATAATTGCAGGCAAATGCACAGATCCATTAGGAGTATATTCAAACAAAGAAATTCCTGATAATAAAATGTATGCCTCGTCCACATTTGCACCAGGTATGTTATTTTATTTGGTTCCTTGTGTTTTCGACACGAGCATAACAGTTATTCGCAAGGACTATATCATTTTGTAACTATTTTTTTAATGTTTTGTAATGTAAAAAGCCATACTTAACGCATTATTATCGTATATTAATTAAGGTGGCGGATGGTACGCCCCGGCGTCTTCTGGACGTCTGTACAAAGAAGACGATCACGCCCGAAAACATGTCGGAGCATGGTGTGCTGCTCCTTATCGAAAAACGAATAATTATTTACAGATTGATTTTGGGAGGAAAAGAAGTATCACTGCCCTGGCGACCCAAGGAAGAGATACGTATTTTGAACACGTGAAATCGTACAGTTTGTCTTTCAGTGACGACCGATCAACATGGCGTGAATATAAAGAAAATGGAGTTAAAAAAGTAGGTGAAATGGAATATTATAAAATATATTAAGAGAGTATATATACTATAATGAATGATTGAGCATGATTATGGAGTGTGATTTCGAATTGCAATTGGGCAAAATATTTTCTCGAACCTTGATGGTCACATTGTACAGAATACGTTGACTCAAATTATAAGTGTTTGATTTTATTTGTTTCAATGGAAGTTGTATGCATGAATCAACAGAATGGAATTATTAAAAAAAATTTTGGGAGGTTTAATTTCGAACGAGTTTGAAACAGAACGGTTCTTATCCGTATATAATCTAATAACTTTTCTTTAACAGGTATTCGATGGAAATTGTGATCATGTGACACCGGTGTTAAATCTTCTAGAAAATGCTGAGTATGCTCGTTATATACGTATTCATCCAATCAAGTACATCGCCGCAGCTTGTCTCCGTGTGGAAGTATACGGTTGCTAAGCAATATTTTACACGGAGTTTCAGCTTCGCGTTCGTAGGCAAAAACGGCAAACGTCAGGTGAAAAAAAAATTATCCTATTAAACCGTTAAGTGAAAACGTTTTCCGAAAAATTAATTCTCTTTTTGAGATAGGAAAAAAATTCAGAGTAAGAAATTTTAGGCTGAAATTGCAGCAGAAAAGAACGACATTAGTCTTCACATTGATAAAAAAATAAAGCTCGACTCTGCCGTTGCCCTCAAACGTGAAGTCTAATCTTCCTATATTATCAAATAATTGAAAGATATACTCCGAGCAGTATACTCACTTATTTGTGCTTGTTATGCCTCTTTTGCAATATATTTTTATTAAGATTTTGTAGCAAGATAATTTAGAATAATGATGTAACACTCTAAAATATTTGTGTAAATAATATTTTAAATAGTAGTAATATATTGACTGACTTTGACGTTTAGAGAATTGGACATTGAACGTGTAAGCAAACTTTTAATTAAATATTAGGATTCTCAGTGAAGTCATCAATTAAAAAAATTATATATAATATTAAAAAATTTAAAAAAAATTTCGTCGCATCTTTCTCTTGGTCGAGAACAATGGCTATATATATAATAGCTAATCTTATTGATTTGAAACATTGAATTGGTGTATATATTTATTGGTCTCCGCAGCGAAAGTGGTCCACTATACACTGAAAATACGTTTATCCTGTTTTAAAAAATGAAAGGGATACAATCCTAAATCTCTCCCTAATCGATCATTATCACGTTTCTTAGCAAACTAAAATTTACATTCCCCTTATTTCCATGTAAGATATAACTTAAAAAGTAATAAAGCTAACTTGATAAAATTTTCATAAGACTTTTGACTTGGAGATGAACCTGAAAGAGTTGTATTCACTTCCGCCTAAATAAAATAGCGCCTGTTTATTTTAGACAGTCGTATAAGTTTTATAGTTTATAGCCTGCAAATGCAAGTTTTTTTTCTTCTAGGTTAGGCTACGAGGCAGAAATTTTTACAACTAAATAAAAATCGCTCTAGCGTTAAAACATGGTTAGTTATCGTGTATACAAAAATCGTTCATTTTCCTTCATTGGGTGTGTCTGGTGATCGTAACCTTGGTGACTGCAGATTAACCTCAGAGTATAACCGTCTTAATAATATGGGAAGGATAAAATGTCATGTTATCCAAAGTTAAAGAAAAAAATGTTTGGCATAAGCATTTTAATTATGAATGCATGATGGCATTAAAATTTGTTTGTGGTTACAATTTTTATTAACAATATTCACAATTTGCAAATATGGATAACAATATGGAAGCTTTACAACTCCAGCACCATTACCTTCGATATGTCCCCTGAACTCGACCCTTTTTGCGCTGTATTATACTACCTACTTTTGCCCTTTAATTAACTATAGTTAATTTATTTTGCCCTACCCTGCATCGACCATTGCATTTTAGTAAACTAAATCGAAATCTATATATATATTATATACAATCTATACAATCGTATCAATCTGAAAACCTCTATACTCACGCTAATTGCGATTATAAGAAGCACCCTCAGGAACCAGTCTGTTTATATTAGGAACAAACGCGTTCAGAAACCAACGACCTATGTGTATTTGGGTTTGTTTATGGATGATAAGTTTATATTCCTACAGCATGTTGAGAACCAAATCAAGCAGGCAAATAAGAGATTGTATTATATTAGATCGAACTATGAAAAAGTTGCATATTAGTGGGAACATAGTTGCTATGTTCTATAACGCTACCGTTGCTGCGGTAGTAAATTATGCTAATATTGGCTTTTAGACGCTATACGATATTGCCGCAAAATGAAATGTATTTACATATGAGTAGATGAAATTTGTGCATGTTAAATTTAAATAGGTATGACTATAGTCGGTCTTCAGATGCAATTAAGCTATTTGCTATCCGTGATATCTTCCAAATGAATTTCTTAATTTATCTTATTAGTTGTTATACAAGCTGATTACATCTTTCAAGGAAAACGCAATATATTGTAATTTGACGCCATACCAGAGGATTCTCAAACTTGGTTTTGAAATTTGCTATAAGAGTACGTATACGTACAAAACGAGAAAAGCACGTATATGTACAAAACGAGAAAAGTACGTATATGTACAAAACGAGAAAAGTATACGTATACGTACAAAACGAGAAAAGTACGTATACGTACAAAACGAGAAAAGTACGTATATGTACAAAACGAGAAAAGTACGTATACGTAAAAAACGAGAAAAGTACGTATATGTACAAAACGAGAAAAGTACGTATACGTACAAAACGAGAAAAGTACGTATATGTACAAAACGAGAAAAGTACGTATACGTACAAAACGAGAAAAGTACGTATATGTACAAAACGAGAAAAGTACGTATACGTACAAAAACGAATATATGAACTCCCCCCCATCCCAAGTTTCCGCATCTATATATTCTTTTTATATATTGTACAGTAAAATTTAAGATAATCTCCATGACACCCTCCTTATCAAGTACATATAATATATTATATAACATTCTTTTACCCAATTTTACTGTAATATAAGACAAATTGGCATACCCCAATCTTTTTTAGATCTAGAAAGCAAAGCTCAAAATAATGCAAGCAGGATTCTATAGTATTAATTTCTTTTCCTTTAAATAATAAAATACTCAGAAAATTTTATTGCCACTGACATCCTTTTATTTTTTCAACGTACGTAACCATAATTTACACTAACAGAGGAATAAGCGCAACTAATAACAAGAATTAAGGCAATCATGCAAACTCAACTCATGTGCGACGTTATAGACTTACAGCCTAATGTTCACAGACCAACAATATGTAGAGATCATCACATGCGCAACAAAGGTTTTCATACATATACAAGAGTTTGTCGTCAAAACAAAACTATTCATGCGGTGCATGAATCGCTCCCATTGCAGTTACGGTACTGATAAGAAGTTACACGATAAGAAAAATGCAAGGAACCTGCTCATAATAGAGACTTTTAGTTTCATGACGACATGGAAGCAGACAACGCAGTGAATTGAAAAATATTCAATTCAAAGTTTTCTTTTGTATTTCTGCTTGTGCTTATTCCACTAGCATGAACGGGACTTTACAATTTTAGATGATGCTTCAATATTAATAATTATATGCTGTCAATATTTTAAAGCAAAGCATCGTTCTTCTGAAACGCCTTCTACCATATACAGTGTGTATAAAAAAGGTATATAACCTTTTAGATTTAAACAAGCATAATGCTGTATTCAATTGAATTCATCTGACAGAGAAGAATTGCTTCAAGCCATAAACAAAAGACTTTCTAGTTATGCGTACAGCAGCACAGCATGAATTAAATTATAATTGATATCTTTTGTAAAAATAAGTTTTCGTCGCGTATCATTAACTCAAAGCATATGAGAACAATCAAATCACGTATCAAATCACATCGTTATTGGCTTATTTTATCAGTTTTATTTATTAACAGCATGAATCAAATAAGAACATTTAGCATGCGTATAGGAAATGTAGCACAAACAGCCACGATTGAAAGTTGTACGAGTTGTTATACAACTGGCGTTATAATATAGTGCTATAAAAGCCAGCGAACGACTATAATCAGCCGAATTGGATACATTAGTGTAGAATTTACTTCGATTTACTTAAACCTAAGTAAATCAACTAAGTCGACTACTCAGATTCCCTGTATTTATAGCATCATGTACACAAAGCATTCTGGTTAGTTAACAGCAGTGTACAGTGGTGCATTCTGGTCGGTTAACAGCAATGCATTCTGGTCCGAAAAACGAAAGTAAAATCTTACTTTCAGAGCCCTGTACGAATTAGAATTGCCGACTTGCTCGCTCGCTGCGTCAGCAATTGTTATTATTATTATTAGTATTATTATTATTATTATTTGGTATTAGTTGATCTTTTTGGTGTCATACTATAAAACAAATAATTAATGTTTTCATTCGTGCAATGGTAAGAATATTTTCATGAGGTGAAAGATGCAAAGTTCCATTCAACTCGGCGAACATTCCTTCACACGAATGAAAACATTCATTATTATAGTATACTATACCATAAAAAATAAAATTCCTTATCAATATCTATAGAACGTATTTACATATAGTACAGACATATAAAGCAGGGACGATTTAAGGGAAGTGCAAAGTTTCTAAGTAAAGCATTGCAAATTGAGATACTTTAATGAAATGTATGTTTATATAGTCGCGAAAGCAGGGGCCGAATCTTGTGCAGCACTTCTATATTATATTAAATTTTTATTACATGTGCATGCATATTTTCTTGAGTCAATGAAACACGCCTTCTGAACTTTCCGGTTTCACTTCCTTTGTAATGTTTGCCTCGCTTCCATTTTCCCTGATTATATTTTCGGATATCATACAGAACACACCTTACTCTTGTTGGTCGGATATACGTAAGTTCTTCAACATGGATTCCTGTTTTTTAATAACTTGCATAAAGACTTGGCGCTTAGCTGTGGAGCCTAGCCCCTTTTTTTCTCTGACAAAAAATATTACGTATAATTCTTTGAAATTGGAATTAAGTTTTGCCCCATGTATTCAGTTATTTATTTTAGTCCCTATATATAACTAATCATGAGAAGAACGACGTTGATTACGGCCTTGATGAAATCTTCTAAATCCTCTATGGGTTTCTATCATGTTTAACTATTTAAAATAAATGAAATTTCATGAATGAAAATATAGTCTGCTCTCACTTTTCCTATCATGTCCCCCATAAGAAAATATTACTGATATAAACACTACGTCTTACGATGTTCTCAACGCATAAAGGGGATTCTTTGCATGTATAACATCCAATGCAATGGCCTTTTTAACGAAACGTCTAGATTACTATATTTAGCCATTCATTGCTTTGATGAAACACTCTAAATTAAGTTTTGCCAAGGGAAACCGGAATTAGGTCACTGTCACAAAGAAAAACACCAAACAACTTCCGCGCTTCATTCTTCTTTATTCCTTTCATAACACATCGAATTTTTTAAAAAAATTAAAAATTGAGTTGTGAGAATTGCAGTGCGTTCTATAGGCTGCATGTGTTCTCTTGTATCATGCACAAGAACATCATTCGTGAGCGGAAATGAGCGGAACCGCGAGTTTTTTTAGATTTAAGAGACATGTTGTTTACAACTGAAATAAGTTTCGAATAAGCTAGGGATTTGATAGCAGTTATACGTGGTAAAAACAACTGAAAATTTTGTTACCCAACCAATATCTCAATTGTACAATTTTAAAAGAAAATTGCACAGTTTTGTTTATTGGCCATTACACTTGCATTATATACGTCATTGTGGCAAGATCTTGGTACCGGATGCTAAATTGAAACAACTATTCGTCAAAGTACTCCCACGCATGTATACCTCAAGATAACTTTCAAATGGTTTTTGTCCACTAAAAATTATTTACTCAAACATTTCATGTTTCAAATGCTATTCACAATGCCTTCAAGTGCCTATCATGCAGCTGCATGATACAAAAATTTTCCGTTTTTAGTTTGCGGTTTTCTGTATAAACGTCAATCGTGCTTCTTATATTAATTCGCCATAAGTATATAAAACCACTGCATTTCAGGAGGAGAATGGGCGAGGAGCAACGAAAGCCGTGTTATCGGAAGTTTAGAAGTGCGTATAAAATGATCATGTAAATATAGGTAAAAAATATATGCTACCGGTAAAAAATATGCTTATGCAGTGACCGTTTATAGACCTTTCAGCATTCTGCCAGGCTTGAGTTACTGCATGCATTGCACTGAATTGCTCATAAAATTTGCTCATATACATAAACTTGGTATAGATATATGGAATACATAAACTTAAATAGGCCTTTAAATTTTTGCGGGGATGGGCATGGAAACAAATTTCATTGATAAGATCGCTGCTGATCAAGTCAGTATAAAAATTGCGATAAATACGATCGATAGTCGGTATAGGCTAAGGCTATAAGTTTGCTAAATGCGTTGAATTTACGTTGCATGTGTTTAATTAAAACGAAGATACAAAGATATAAACTCTTTATAAGTGCGGTTAAATCAATATGAAAAAAGTCGATTTATACTCCATAGTGACATACCTAGTCCTAGCTATAGACAAGACGACAACCGCGGTTGTACACTGCTTGAATAATTTAGCATCAAATGTGGTATAACAACTGCCTAAATTAGACAAAACACTTCTCGACGTTTCGACCTGAGGGCCTTCGGCAGGGGCCGGTTGTATCAAGCCCGTTTAGCTTAAACGGTGGATAAATCAAAATTAAATAAAGTATCTTTGTATTAAGGTTGAAAACATTTAGTTTGCTTGTTAAATAAGGATAACCAACGCGTCTTCAAATTCATGATGAATAATTGTAAAAAATGCTGCCGTGTGTGCAATCCAGGTATACTAATTGACTTAAATCAGGCTTTGCGTCATTCAAATTTGGAAGAATTCTTAAAGAGTATAGGACGTTTCGATTCTTAACTTTCTTACATACCATCTGCTATATGTATGATTCAGTTAAGGAAACCAAAGGAGTGCATGCCGAACAATTATTAATATATTAATTATAGGTTAAGTTAAAATCCTCTATTCTCTATACTATCGATACCGTGTACAACATTGCTTACTCAAAAGCGCAACTCCTTAGCTGTAAAAAACCTTGATTCAGGAGGAAGATAATTTGGCTACACCCGATCATTTGAATGCGGTCATGCCCAAACCTATTGTGGATGCAGATCGCTATATTCATTCAAGATCCATACGATCACTAACTAACAATGTCACCATGCACTAATGTTTTTTAATGCCTTTAAAGAAACCAACCAACAGATCTACCACAACATCGCAATCAACGAGTACCTTACCAACAACAACAACCCCTGACCCCACAAAACAAAACACCAACAACGGTACAAATTATGACAACATCAAAATCTACCGCGAAGACGCCAACTGCAAAGAGTGGAATTAGAATACCAACAAAAAAATACCAACAAAAAAATTCAAAGGTAATATACATTGTTGATAGTTTTGTTTGATGTAAAACTTCGTCAGCACTATTCCAGCTGTTGTATCAAGTTTTACATATGTGTCACTGATTAACGAATTCTTCCAACATCTCTGCGTTTAACGG